GTTTGCTCAAAAGCTGACAAATCCCCGGCGTGTGTTGAAGCCGCGATTGTACGAGAATACCCGCCTGTTACCGTTTGATGCACGACTGTTCGGAGTGCCGTATTTGTTATAGCGTGGCCCATACACATCGGTGAATCCGGAGGGCCCGCTTCTGTCCCGCCCACCGCGCCTGTCGACGAAATTTCCACGATTTCTGTCATTGGACCGACCCCTGTTTCTATTTCTGTTCACTGGAATTGGCATCTCCTCTGGTTTGGCAGTTCCTTGCCACAGGTAGAAATTGGCGTATGACTTCACTTTCTTAGGCTCGCTGATGCGCTGCCCGAACCGCGAGACGGGACCGCTCTGTGACACCTCGGAGTCGTCTGTGACTGGGAGAGTCGGTCGGTCAGCCGTTCCCCGACGGCCGCCAGAGAGGCGAGAACTGCCCTCTGACCCGGTGAACGAACGGCGCGGTACCAGTCGGAACTTCTTGAACGTCCTCCGGCCGGATTTGCCTCTCCTCGAGTACAGTCGGGATGGCGCGCGAACCACTGTGAGTTTTCCGAGACCGGACGGTTTGGGGAGCTGTGGGGGTTTGGTGGGGCGGGGCTGTGGGCCGAGGACCCGGCGGATCTCGGAGAGTTCCTGGCTGGAGACGTGTCTGCCCGAGTCAGTCGTGTCACCGCCATCTGCTACCGCCGACTGCGGGTCTTCTACCACCCTCTCTGCGGTGTGACCTACCGCTCCCTCTCCGTCAGAGGGGACGTCAACCGGCGCTGGAGTCGTATGGGTCTCTACCGGCTGCACTTTCGGCTCGGCGGCTACTGGCAGAAGCAGCTGCTCTTCTTCGAGCACGGAGGTTGCTGTCTGGGCTTTGGATTCGTCATCGTCAGGCTGGGGGGCTGGAGTAAGCTCGGATTCCGTTATCAGTAACTCTGGTCCGGATGTGGTTATCTCTGGGTTTCCAGCCGGTGTCTCCGTGGGCTCATTACTCGCAGTTAGAACGTCGCCCGCCTTATGCTGTTTCGATGTCTCTTCCTGAACAGGCGCCGGTTCATTCACAGGTGCAGTATCCGTAGGTCCCGCTGTTTTGCTTTCTCCAATGACGATACCGCTGTCTGGTCCGGTTTTTGTTTCATCAGCCAGTGGTGTATCTTTAGCTTCGTTAATTGTCAAGTGCACGTCAGTAGCCGCTTGTTTCGTTGTGGTCTGTTCTGTGTTCTGATTTAGCGTCTCTTCACTACTGGTGACCAAAGGCTGTTCAGGCTCGACCTGCGTGGCAACCGGCCCTTCAACCACTTCCTGTGGTGTTGTTGCTTGATCTGATCCCGGAACTGAAGATTCCGCCACCACCTGCGAGGAGCTCGGTGGTTGAGCTTCTGATGTATCATCATCATCAGACTGGGGAGCTGCATGCGGCTTATTGTGAACTTCGTTTTGTTGAACTACTGTTTGCTCGATCGCTCCTTGCTGTTCCACGGCTTCGACTGGCTGTTGTTCCACTGGAATATCTTCGGGTTCGCTGTTCAGATCGGACTGCTGTGTTTCCTGAGTCTCTACCGCCGGGCTCTCTGAAGGCTCCGCAGTCTGCAGAGCTGTCGTCTGCAGTGCGGCGAGCTGCGCCTGTGCGGCTGCGCGCGCTGCCTCGTGGTGTTCGTTGGCGAGCTGAGCTCCCAGCTGAGCGGCCGCCAGCACCGCTGCCACGTCAAAGGCCAGCTCACTGTCCGCGTCAGCGGGACCTTCCGCGACGGCAGGACCATCCGCGGCTGCGGCCGCTGTCTGAGGGGAAGGAGCGTTCGCTGTGACTGAAGAGGAGCTCAGCGGTGCGGCTGAAGCGTCTAAGGTGGATGAAGTCGTCACTTGACTGGACTGAGTGAATGTGTTTTCCTGAACAGGAGTGATCACAGGAATCTGCGATTCAGAGACCAATGGTGTAAGAGCGGTATTTCCGGACGGCGCTTCAGATGATACTACTGACTCTCCCGCGGTTTGTGAGAAGTCGGGAAGTGGCGATACCGGTACTTGAGGAGTAGTGCTTGCTACAGAAATCGGTGTAAAATCGCCGGCGACTGTATGGGCATCACTCAGACCGGTGGGTGCTGTTTGAGGTACCAGACTGCTACCGGCAACTTCGAGCGAGTTCGGGACCGCGGCAGCGAATGGGTTTACGCCTGCGGCGGCGAATGGACTCTGAACCGCGGCGCTCAGTGGGCTCGGGCCCGTAGCAGCAAATGGGACCGCCGCGGCCAAAGGATTCTGAATCGTGCTGGCGAATGGATTCTGAACCGCGGCAGCGAATGGGTTCTGAACCGTGGCAGCAAAAGGATGCTGGACGGTGGCGGCGAATGGGTTCAGAGTAGCCTGGTTCCACAGCTGCGGTAAGCCGCCGAATAGTCCGAACAGTGAAGCAGCGGGATGGAATGCCGCAGGCGGGACTGTGTTCTCTGCGCTGAGCAAGTTCTCAGGCTCTGAAGCCGGCTGCTCTACAACGGGCTGGGGTTCCAGAGGTGTGGTGTTCGAGTTCGGCTCTACATTGACGGCAGGTGCTTCTGTCTGTTCTTGCACAGCAGGGCTTGGAGGCGATGTAGTGCTGCCCAGCGAGCTAAGGAACTGCTCAAAGCTCGGGAAACTGATGGCGGAAGGCCCAATCGAGGGCGCAGCTGTGACTTCTTGACCTGCTGAGTGCTGTGGTCTGAGAGGGGGAGCTGACACCGGGGCAGATGCGGCTGGGGTGTAAGCTGCGGTTACGGGCTGCTCGGTCGGAACAACAGCAGGAACCGCCGGCCGGGCCGGGAGGCTTGGTAGTGAGCGTAGGCCACCGTTCAGACTAGCTGACTGGGACGGTAGTTTGTTGACGTTGGTGACTTCCGAATTCGCCTGCCTTCCATCGTCCACGGGAGTAGCGACCGTCGGGGATATCCCCTGACCGACACTGGAAACGAGGTCAGACGTAAAAGCCAGCCCCTGTCCTATGGGCTGTTGCTCGGGGAAGGCGCTCTCGCCGAGCGCTGCCACGAGGTTGGCCGCCAAACTGAGCCCGTCTCCGGCGATGGCCGCGTTGGTAGCCTCCGTCTGCTGAGGAGGTGTGGTCTCCGGGGCCTGGGTCGATTCGGCCGCAAGCTGTTCGCTCAGGGCGTGTCCCACCAGAGCCAGTGCGGTGGCCAGGAAGGCGGGGTCGTGGTCGAGTATGTCACCGGTCGGTCTGTTGGGCTGGGGGCCGTCAGCGGCGCCCGAGCCGAGGATGGCCGGCGAGCCGCGGACGGCCGCTGCCAGGGCCGCCGCCAACACCACCTGTAACAGAGCGACCCGTCACCGATGGTCGGCGATAACATAACACAACTGCTACCGTTGAATGTAAACACTTTGTTGTCGACTAATTGGCAAAATAAAAAGCATTGCCAGCACAATATAAATTATTGTACGCAAGATATAATTAAACACGAGGTGAGACGGGCAAATTCAAACAAACAACGACAGAAATGCATTGACGTAATTATTTAGTAATGCGTATGTTTATGTGCGCGTCAGCATTTGGCGGCGTCACTCACCAGTTGTAGCCCCGGCATGCCGGCTATTCAGCCTGTACTCCAGGCCGACACCGCTAGGGATATCTTCTACTTCCTGAGCCGCCGCCGTTTACAGTGGCCCGCCACTCCACGTTGCGGTGGCTCCTCCCGGTCACGAATTGACGGCTCTGCCCGCTGACCACTGTCCTTTATAGGCGGGCGGCCGCCAAACACCAGACGTCGAGGCGACACGGGACGGACGGCGCTCCGTTTTCCGGCTCCGGGCGCGTCGGCGAACGACGGCACAGACACGCAGGGGTGGCCGTGACGCCCCTCCCCACTCCAGCCATCCCGCCGTCGACAGGTACGGGCCAGTTGTGCAGGGTTGCTTCTTAGTTCCGGCACCTCCTGCCCGTCCTGTCACGGCACAATCCGCAGTCGGCACATATCCAATCACTGCAGAGTCCGTACTGAGCGGGCGGTGCTCCGAGGTATACGGAATGAACGACAGGCGAAATGAGTCGTCGTTCTTTGCGAAGTATTTTCAAGCTGAGTCGCCGGTCCTGACCCTTATCTGCGACAGGTTGTAAAAGATGCTAAACTAAATACGGTGAATGCACATATATAAACACCGGGTTTGGAGAGCGGGAAGAACAGCGTTCGTCGCTCACAATCCCATTGCAAGGTCCTTCACCGCAGCAGGTGGTGTTTTTCGTCCGTCTCTCCGCACTCGAACAATCGTCAGGCCTCGAACCCAGCGACGCGGCTTTTCGTCGTTTTACGATCGTCCATAGTGATTTAATTAAAGTGACGATTAATATTTGATTTAAGTGACGAATGATGATCATTCGTCATTTTGTCATTTGTACTGCCAGTTTGTCTAGTACGACTTATACGAGCAGGTAGTGCGCAAAACTTGACATTGCTGAACGGTATCAGATCGCAGCGCCGATAAAAATGTCGCTCGCCACCACCCTCTATTATTAGGAAGACCGGTCGCTGACGGGAATCGTCTAACGGTTGCAAGGTCATCGTGCGTGGGGAAACCAGTCGGAAACCTTGACCGACACCGCGTCCAGGAAGCGGCCACCGAGGAAGCGCCGATCTACTGTGTTAGTGGTCACGCAGGTGACATCGGTCAATGCACTGCAGCACGGCAGTGTGTCAGTACCTTGACTGACCTTTAACTGCGGGGGGTATGTGTGTGGTGGGGGGGGGGAGGAGGAGGAAACTGCTCATACCCTGAAACTGCTATCGCCCAACCGGCTCCAGTGTGTACAAATGGTGGGTATCACTGGGAAACAGCGAATTTTGCCAATTAATCTTAAAGAACACAAAAAATAAGTCCCCCACACGGATTCCCCCTCACTCGCTTTTCTCCTCCCCTTCCCCGGGTGACCGTCCCGGCTATCGCTGGCGCAAGAATGTTTAAACGCTCTTTGTAATTATGTTAGTTGCAGGTTGATTGACATGGCGCATTTTGTGAGACGAATTCGTTGCAAATGTATATTCTAAAGACAAACTTTGATAAGAAAGCACGTTTATTCTCGTCATTCTGCGCCCACATGGAATAATATTTTGTACTTAGATTTTTCACGGGCAGCTTGATAACTTGTGGCAAGCAACTGCTTATCTTAACAAACCTTTTGAAGATGACACAGCTTATGGATAGTAGCACAAGTTCACTGAGTTAGTGCCCGATAGACAGGTGAAAGAAGGTTGTGAGGCAAAACAATTTCAGAAGCCCATGCACAAATATGTCGCTGACGCCACGGTACCATGCGAGATCCACTGCGTCACTGGCAACCGTCCACCGTAACACACTCCATAGAGCAGTATCGGCACTGGCCGAAGATAACTACCCACCTACCTCTTCACGACGGTCACACACCTCAAACCCAGTCATCCACCACAACACGTCAATCGTCTTACAAAAGTCACCCCAGAAAACCCAACTACCCGGTCGGGGAGCCGGCAATGGTAGCGGCCCACAGCCGTGGAGACCGCCCCATCCCCGGCTATCACAGAGACTGTCTGACTCGGATCCACCCACAGACAGACGCAAAGGGAGGGAACGAGCCGTGCCGTCCACAGCCGGGCAAAATACACCACGACACAATCATTACCTGGTCAGGCGACCAAACGCCACCCAGGATTATATGACAATACTGGACACTGGCGAGCGGTGCGCCACCTCACCTGGTGGCACAGTGGCGGTGTGTCAATCCTCAGGATGTTGCAGTATCGGTGCGTCAGTCCTCATATGATGCAGTACCGGTGCGTCAGTCCTCATATGATGCAGTACCGGTGCGTCAGTCCTCATATGAAGCAGTATCGGTGCGTCAGCTGGCGGCGCGCCAGTTCGGCACGTCAGGCGGCGCGTCAGTCCTCATATGATGCAGTAGCGGTGCGTCAGGCGGCGCGTCAGTCCTCATATGATGCAGTACCGGTGCGTCAGGCGGCGCGCCAGCGTCAAGTTGCCGCTGGCCCGGTAGATGAGCGCCAGGTTGTAGGCCGTCTCGCGCCGCAGGTCCAGCGCCGGGTCGCCGCCAGACGGCTCCAGCTCCAGCGCGCGCGTGTAGTAGTGCACCGCGTTGGGCAGCAGTCCCAGCTCGTGCATGCCGCGGCCCATGTTGTACATGCTCTCCTGGGTGTCGCCGCGCAGGCTGGCGTACTGTCCGAGGAACGCCTGCGCCTGCACCACCAGACTGTGTTTGCGCGTGGTGAACTTTTGCGCCGCCAGGTGGATCATGGTGACACCGACCAGCAGCGCGATCAGCGGGTCGCGCGGCTCCAGTTTATACGCCGACACGTACTCGACCAGCGCGTACTTGTACGTGCCGGACATGAGGCAGTTGTGACCGTTCAGCAGGCTGAGTGCCACCAGCTCCGGCAGTCGGTGCGTCAGCCGCATCAGGAAGCGCGCGTGCCGGATGTCCTCGGCGCGCATGGTGACCAGGTTGAGCAGGTTCCAGAGGGACTGCACCTCCGGCTCGGCCAGCAGCATCTTGCGCACCACCGGGAATCCCATCTCGTAGTCGGCGGCGCGGAATGACGCGATCGCGCACATCGTGTCCAGGTCCTGGCCGGCGAGACGGGGGGTCAGTACTGAGTATCGGGTCGGGAAGAGAATGGCTCAAAACAGGTAAGTAACGAGCGTGGGATGGATTACTGAATCAGTAGCTTACCGAAGGCCGGCTGTTTACTGCCGTACTCGGAGAATCAATGATGGTCAATAGACGGCAGCTGACGAGCCACGTCACGGCAGCCCAATAATTGTACCGTTCCGACTCCCGGTCCCTCCTCGCCCACTGTGGGTCACATGCCCTGTCCCAGCCCCTCCCCGCGTCCCCTGCGGTTCAGTCGGTCTCACCTTTGAGATATCGGTGCGCTGGTTGAACTCGCGGCTACCCTTGGCGCGCATGATGAGGTCGACACAGTCGGAGAACTGGCCGCGCTCCTCCAGGTAGGAGAGCGCCTTCTTAAGCAGTGTCCAGTGGCGCTCTAGCTCCGTGGGACGGTCCACGAACGCCGGGCCCTGCCGCAGAGTGCGGGGGATTTGGCGGTCAGACGGGGTGACTGGAAAGCGGACTGAGACAGAGCGATAGAAGGAAGCACATCGGGGCCAGATGGAGCTGGGTGGTGTCGAAGTGGACCAGATTGGACGGTTAGACCACCTGACAGGTCGAGTCGACAGAAGTCGGAATATGCATTAACAGTGATGACGTTGCATTTTGACAGCGACGTCAGCAAACAGCAGCAGCAAAAATAGAAACAATAGTGGTAGCAAGTGGCAATAGACACAGAATATAGCGATGGAGTGCAATCAGGCAGTGGTAGACAGCGGCAGCTGTACCGCTCCCAACAACACCCCACGCCGCTCACCGGATCGTCGTAGGTGTCTGGTTTTAGTTTCCGCAGCTGTCTCAGCGTGTGCTCGCGCACCTTGAAGCCCACCAGCATCGCTGTGGAGCGTGTCGGGGGGGAGGGGGGGAGGGCGGAAGCGTCACATAGTGTAACAGGCAATCGATGTGGCCAGTAGGACACTGAGAAGAGATTGCGATCATCGGTCTGAACTCTTGGACTACAGGCACAGGATATTAATCTCATCACAGCACTTACATTTCGCCTCGTCTCTTGTCTCCGATAATGGGACAGTACCAGGGTTGGCAGGGGGTGGCAAAAACTGGTTTTTGCCAGTGGTTTTAACCGGTTTAAACCGGCTGGCAGAAACCCCGGTGGCAAAAACTGGCAAAAACTGGATAAAACTCAGGTGGGCCAAACCACAACTTTTCTAGTTAGGAATGGATCTGAAATGTACAAATGCATTTCTTGATGTTATAGAGATGCACCAAACATTCTGAAGTTTGCCTCATTACTTATCCCTGCTTAAAATGTCTATGCATGTCAGTAGGCATCCACCACAGAATGTATTTCCATGTAGGGGAGTGGGGCAAGGCTGCCACGGTAGGGTGCAGTGCGCATATCAGTGGCAGATACCCCTTCGCACTTCTGATTGTGCAGGACTCACTCTTGCACTGGCTCATTTGTCACCCCCAAAAGGCGCCTTATGGAAAGCCCATGAAAATGTTTTTGAGTTATAGAACACTTCAACGGTCAATGTCACTTCTGGTTGAAAGCATAAAGCTTTCACCGAATTCTCCTAAAAATGTTTCATCTTTAAATCCATGTCTAGGCATATCATTGTGCTGGTTTTTAGTTTTTGCCAGTTTTTGCCACTTTTTGCCGGTTAAAACCGGTTGAAACCGGCAAATGGCATAAACTAGTTTTTGCCGGCAAAAATGCCAACCCTGGACAGTACTGAGACGACTGAGGGATACGGCGTCCCTGTGGCCCTCCCTCCCCCGGTCGTCGTCCCGGCGCGGTACTTACATTTGGCCTCGTCTCTGTCTCGGATAATGGGACAGTGCTGAGACAGCAGCGTCCGCACCGTGTCGATAAACTCGACAATGCGCCCCTCCTTCTCTAACAGTGCCGACTTCTCCAGCAGCAGATCTGAGTCGAGCACCTCCTGTTCCACCTCTGTGGACAGATGACAAACGTGCGTCAGTGGACGGATAAAGCTACTCCAGTACTCGCGAAAGAAGAGCGGAGGTACTGGGAATTATCCCTAGTGAAAAGGCAGAAAGACAGAGGACTGAGTTTGTGATGTAACAGCAGAAATCACCCTGTAAGGGAACGGCCTTGGTGCTTACTGGGTGAGGCCGGGACGTCGGTACTTATGCTGTGAGAGTACGTCTCCACTCTGGCACTGAGAAGGCACCTCCGCTCTCACTACTCACCATTCAACAGTATCTCCACAACCAGTGAGATGCCACCTGTACTCACCCTGTGAGAGCACTGCGATGGCCTCCTCGGGCCGCCCCAGCTGGTGCAGGATGGTGGAGAGCACCAGGCGCGCCTGGCTGTGGCTGGGCGCGCGCGCCACCACCTCCCGGTAGGCGGCCACCGCCTGCTCCATCCGCCCCAGCTCGTGGTGACACTCGGCCACGCGCAGCCACACGCCCGCCTGAGGGGCACGGGTAGTGAGTTATGCCTGGGCGTTAAACGGGTGGGGCTTGGTCACAGTAAAGGGACTATCCCACCTTTAACATGGGGTTTGAGTTGAGATAGCCAAGTTTGCGGCGAGGTTCAGAAACCACTATCTATCTAGGTTGCAACCCCCGCGGCCTCTTGGTGTTGAAGAAATTCGTTCCCTTCATTTGAAAATGGGCCTTGTACAACAAGGCCCTATCTTCAACATGGAGCGACCGTTAGTGTGACGTCACCTCGTTTAGTCATTCTGATTTAAATGGGTTTGTTCGTTAAAAAATCGCTTAAAACTTGGTCTGAACTTTGTTGTGATGCCTACAGAGTAAAAAGAATCAGCTTTATGACAGTAATGTGGCCTGGGGAAGGAGGTAATTTTGGGCTGTGACGTCACATATTTGAAAGTTTGTGTTTGGAATATGGGAAGCCTAAGATGTTTAATGAAAAATAAATGCCAGAACCGTGTTCCTGGTCATCCAATCTATAAAGTCGGGCACAATTTAATTGGTTTTAACAACATTTTAGAAGGTGGGATAGTCCCTTTAACACCGATTCGCCGCAAAGACATCCGACATAGAAGGGCAATTCTGGCAATATCGTGGAAACAAATGCGATGAGTCGGCGAGCGAACACATCCAATAGCAAACCAGGCAGTTATAGTTACGTAACAAGCAGTATCATTATGTGCTGTCACGTACCAGGCAGCATTGCGTGTACCGTTACGTAGCGTAACATTGTTACGTACCAGGCAGTAGTTGTGCAGCGTTACGTATCGTAACATTGTTACGTACCAGGCAGTAGTTGTGGGACTGGGTGAGCATGTTGAGCAGCTGCAGCGCGGCTTCGTAGTGTTTCTTCTCCATCAGCGCCTCGGCCACGTCCATGTAGATGTCTCCGTACTCCTCCGGATCGCACGTCTTCAGACTGGGAATCAGACTCTGCGGGACAGAGGGGGGAGGCGTACGGCGAAATGTTACATCTCTAGACTTGACATAAATAAAAAGAATACATATTACGTCGGCTTTGGGTGACGAGTTCACCTGGATTCCGGCGAGAAAGAAGCAATGTAAGAGCATACCTGCCAAGGCTGCCATTGATCAGATGAGTGGCATCATCTGCTTCACACCTCTCCGACCTACGATACCACGACCCCGACCTCCCGTCCCGCCGCTGGCCGCTCACCTTGTCCGCCAGTCGGACACACTCGAGCTGTATGAGCGCCAGCAGCAGTTTGTATTTGACGTCCAGCGGCACTCCCTCCGGCACGGTGACGGAGCGCGCCCCGGCCAGCGCCGCGGCCCAGTCGGACGCGTCGGCCGGCACCGGCGGCTCGAACCGCACGCCGCAGAAGCGCAGCAGCGCGCCGACACACGCGCCCGGTGAACCGGTGGTCAGCAGCAGCTCCAGGTACACGTGGGTGTCTGTGGGAGACGGGAAAACCCGGTTACACCAAAGGTCGGAGTTTGTCCGCACCGGGAAACTCGATTACACCGGGAATGAGTGTCTCCGACACTAGGAAACTTTCACACTGCATGTGGATATTTGCCGAAACCAATAACTTCCGTTATACTAGAAGTGGATACCAATGGCCTCAGTTACACTTACAAGTGGCTCTCTGGAGTCTGGGGTCGGAGAAAAGTAAATAAACGTCCACTACAGGCAGGTATCATCCGGGACCGGCAACTCCCTCGTCACATTGCCTTATTACCTTAGTCACACTACACTAAGTCATAAAGGCTATGAATGACTGGGTTTGGGAATATCCTATTATGTGCGGGTCCCCGACATTGCCATTCAACAAAATTTCAGCCCATTTCCAGTGTCGCCGACTCACCTTCCCAGTTGGCCTTGTCTCCGTGTTTGTCGAACACCTTGGTCCAGTACTCTTTGGCGTCGTCGTACAGTTTATCGGCCATCAGCAGCTGGTGCAGCTCCTTCATCACCCGGAACGCGTCGCCGGCCGAGCCGTCACACATGACTGACGGGACAGAAGGAGGAGAGTCAGGATACATTAATTACAGCACGGAGAGAGCACACTACACATCACATCTGCAGACACGGCAGATAGACGTAGGCCTTCGACACTAAGGGCGCATACACCCAATTGATTTGAATTCCAAAAGGTCTTATTGCGATTTCATTTTGCCTAAGTAGCCGTGTTGCACAAAATAATGCAAGTATTATATTCGGGGCACAAAGAAGGTAAAGGGTCGCGACTCACTGGTGACGGCTCGTTTCAGGTAGCTGATGGGCAGCTTGGCCGTCTTGGTGATGAGTTTGACGAGTTCCACCCTCTTGAGGTGCAGCTCCAGACGCTGCGGCGCCGCCTCGATCGCTGGAACACAGCGCAGACGTGCTACACGACGGTACGGAGACACGGACAGCGGACATTTGGAGGTATCTTCATTCATTAATGTAATACGATCAAAAAGCCGATTTAAGCAGTCTGCACACGATAACGTATAGGGGCACAACGAACGAACAGCACCATCCAAACAACACTCTCACCTGGCCTGTTTGTCTCTGTATGTGATTCTGACTGACTGTAGCTCTATTCTCACCTCAGGTGTAGCAGACCACGGCCTGTTTGTGACTCTGTTTGTGACTCTATTTGTAGCTCTTTTCTCATCTCTGGTGTAGCAGACCACGGCCTCCTTGTCGCTCTGTTTGTGACTCTGTTTGTGACTCTGTTTGTGGCAGAATGTTCTCACCTCTGGTGTAGCAGACCACGGCCTGTTTGTGGCTATGTTTGAGGTTCCGTTTGTGACTCTGTTCTCGCCTCCGGTGTAGCAGACCACGGCCTGTTTGTGGCTCTGTTTGTGTGGCTCTGTTTGTGGCAGTCTATTCTCACCTCTGGTGTAGCAGACCACGGCCTGTTTGTGGCTCTGTTTGTGACTCTGTTTGTAGCTCTGTTCTCACCTCTGGTGTAGCAGACCACGGCCTGTTTGTGGCTCTGTTTGTAGCTCTGTTCTCACCTCTGGTGTAGCAGACCACGGCCTGTTTGTGGCTCTGTTTGTGGCAGTCTGATCTCACCTCTGGTGTAGCAGACCACGGCCTGTTTGTGGCTCTGTTTGTGGTCTGTCTGTTGTGCTATTTGTAGCTCTGACCTCACCTCTGGTGTAGCAGACCACGGCCTGTTTGTGGCTCTGTTTGTGGCAGTATGTCCTCACCTCTGGTGTAGCAGACCACGGCCTGTTTGTGGCTATGTTTTTGGCTGTGTGTGGCTCTGTTTGTGGCTCTGTTTGTGGTTCTGTCTGTTGTGCTGTTTGTGGCAGTCCCTTCTCACCTCTGGTGTAGTAGACCACAGCCTGTCTGTGTCTCTGTTTGTGACTTTATTTGTAGCTCTGTCCTCACCTCTGGTGTAGCAGACCACGGCCTGTTTGTGGCTCTGTTTGTGGTTCTGTTTGTGGTTCTGTTTGTGGCTGTTTGTGGCTCTGTTTGTGACTCTGTTTGTGGCAGTCTGTTCTCACCTCTGGTGTAGCAGACCACAGCCTGTTTGTGGCTCTGTTTGTAGCTCTGTTTGTGAATGTTTGTGGCAGTCTGTTCTCACCTCTGGTGCAGCAGACCACGGCCTGTTTGTGGCTCTGTTCATGGCTTTTGTGACTCTGATCTCACCTACGGTGTAGCAGGCCACGGCCTGTTTGTGGCTCTGTTTGTAGCTCTGGTTAAGCCTTAAGGTTCTATTCGCACCTCTGGTGTAGCAGACCACGGCCTGTTTGTGGCTCTGTTTGGCCTCGGAGATGCGCGCCAGGCGCAGCCACTCGTCCACGTCCGGTTTGGAGAGGTGCGCCGCGATCAGACTGTACTGGAGCCCCCGCTCGTGGTCGCCGCGCTCCTCGTGCATCATGGCCATCGTCTGGAACGGCTCCGGAGCCAGCGGACCTGGGGAGTCAGCGTCTCACGGTCAGCGTCTCACGGTCAGCGGGTCTGGAACGGCTCCGGCGCCAGCGGACCTGGCGGGTCAGCGTCTCACGGTCAGCCGGTCTGGAACGGCTCCGGCGCCAGCGGACCTGGGGGTCAGCGTCTCACGGTCAGCGGGTCTGGTACGGCTCCGGCGCCAGCGGACCTGGGGGGGGGGGGGGGGGGGTCAACGTCTCACGGTCAGCGTCTCACGGTCAGCGGGTCTGGAACGGCAGTCCGGCGCCAGCGGACCTGTCGGGTCAGCGTCTCACGGTCAGCGGACCTGGGGGGTCAGCGTCTCACGGTCAGCGGGTCTGGAACGGCTCCGGAGCCAGCGTCTCACGGTCAGCGTCTCACGGTCAGCGGGTCTGGAACGGCTCCGGAGCCAGCGTCTCACGGTCAGCGTCTCACGGTCAGCGGGTCTGGAACGGCTCCGGCGCCAGCGGACCTGGGGGTCAGCGTCTCACGGTCAGCGGGTTTGGAACGGGTCAGTGGCAACTGACTGCCACATACAGACTTGATACCAACAGACTCAGAAACCGAGAACACATTTAGGTCAGGGTACGCAGACCAGACTATCAGTCTCATCGGCAGGGCATGCAGACCAGACTCGAACATTACGTCAGCGACACACTCCCGCAGGCAGGCCACCAGAAGGGTAGGTCTTTGCCCATCTGACTCTTAGTCACTCACACTGGCGGATGATCTCCTTGCAGATGGTCTCGGCATCCTCCGTGTCTCCGCGCGCGTAACGCAGGTTGGCCTCGCCCATCATACCCTGCGGGCAAACAGAGCGCACAATATGAAATATCTCAGAATGGCTCAGATCGAACATGAGACACGCGCGTGACGTAGGTTCGTCTCGCCCATCTTACCCTAGGAGTAGACAGAGACCATTGGTACGATAGTGATCGATCAAAAGGGCGGCTGGCGACCTAATGACGGTAACTGAGCCGAACAGCCGCCGGTTCTGTGATCACTGACCTGAAGGACGGCCGGCAGTGTAGTAGGACCGTCGGCAGTGTAACCAGTAATCAGTAACCAGTAGCCACTGACCTGAAGGACGGCCGGCAGGGTAGTAGGACCGTCGGCAGTGTAATCAGTAACCACTGACCTGAAGGACGGCCGGCAGTGTAGTAGGACCGTCGGCAGTGTAATCAGCAACCACTGACCTGAAGGACGGCCGGCAGAGTAGTAGGATCGTCGGTCGGTAGTGCAATCAGTACTCAGTAACCACTGACCTGAAGGACGGCCGGCAGAGTAGGTCGTAGGACCGTCGGTAGTGTAACCAGTAACCACTGACCTGAAGGACGGCCGGCAGTGCAATAGGACCGTCGGTAGTGTAACCAGTAACCACTGACCTGAAGGACGGCCGGCAGAGTGCGCCGTTTGAGCAGCCGGCGCTGGGAGCGGATCGACTCGCGGGCCGTCATGTTTTCGTCGTCGTCCCCGGCCCCGCTGGGTACGACCGACGCGGGCCGCTCGCCGCCTGACGACGCAAGGTCAGGTCAGTGGGCGCACGCGGCAACCAGAGTTCCCTGCCCGATGGCCTACAATGGGCAAAAACCAATAGTGTAATACAAATATGTCATCCAACAACCAATGACCATTCCTGCCAAGAATAACTGATAATTATGAGCATTTAAAATGATCAGGTTGCTAAATAAGAGTAGCACAAAGGCACAGTTAGGAGGCCCCAATGTGTCAATAAAGAGAAAGGATAAAAGTTGTTTGATTGCAGCAATAGATAATGGCCTCTTTCAGCTAGTCAGTTGATGGCTGTCATCTGTTGACTGTTGGCAGCGTGGTTGGCAGTCATAGTCAGCTGAGCTTCAAGTCTGCTTTCCATTGGCAGTCACCTGCTGTGCTGGCTGCGTCACCTCCAGTATCCAGCTCGTCCAGGTCCAGCTCGCCATCCAGCTCTGTCGGATCATCGTCTTCTGCCGCCAGCAGCTGAGCATACTCGGTGAATGACAGTTCACCTGGTGGCACACAGAATAGGCACGTACATATTACGGAGCGAGCGGAGCCTTTCATAGATTAACAGAAATTTCTGAGTATGAGCGGCCGGCCGGCCGGCCGTGCGGACGCTTTTGCGAGGCGTATATCTCAGCAACCACTTGACCGATTTACATGCGGTAATTTTTGTAGGGTAGCTTCATTCTTTCTACCAAGTATTAGACTATTCCCAATGCATGTGGGTGACCCCTTGCACGTGCCACGTGCAAAACGAAGAGGTGTCATTTTGTAATAGTTGCAATATCTTGGTAAATACTTAGCCGATTGCGCTGAAAGTTGGCATGTAGGTAGGCACCCACTAGGCAATGCATATCCATGTGCCAGAGTTGGGGTGCTGCTGCACGTGCGCACGTGCAGGGATCGTTTCCAGATCTTGAGAAGGCTGGACTGATGGGGCTCAAATTTGGTACACAGTTAGGGACCAGTTAGTAGTGTGCCGTGCACAAGTCAGTTGGAGGTACCCCGTCGAAAATTCGCACGTGCAAGGCTCACCCTCTCGCTCGCTCCGTTAGTCGCCCCAAAAGGCCTTGTACCTTGTAGAATATGATCTGCTTGAGGTGTTCTACACCAGTTTTGCTCGCTCTTGACTTGAATTTCTTAATCTTCTAACCAGTTTGACCGTGTTTTTTATCATGTAGGAAGTATCATTGTTATAATTGGCTCTTGACTTCTAAGGATGCCTGTATTTTTCTCTTGCCCATAGCTTGTCTAACAATTGTGACATATACTCACACTGTGACACTACGTGACTAATATACCAATAACCTATGATAAGATAGCATTAATTCCTAAATACGAATAACATGTCAAATATTGTGCTACACATCCAATAAATATTACTGCTTCCTGTGCCTGTAACTTACCACGTAGATACTTGTTTGTCAATTCTTGGCCCTCTGCAGCCTCTTGAACCTCCTCAGTCTTCATTCCCACAGAAACCTTTGAATTGGATCCTGTTGCAGACATGGCTGGAATGTTTTTCAGCTGAAATGTCAAAAACAAAGCAAATGAAATGATGTGTACTGCAGCAAGATCAAAGATGCATTAATGACTGGCCTGGGTACCTCATGCGGAATTCATTAAGCATCTTGATGATTAGGTAGGTACCGAGGCATGGTGATGCGCTGGTGGGCTACTGAAAGAAATTATGCATTTAAGACCAAGACTAGTGGGTAAATCAACATTCTTCTAAAATATATTATTTCCCAATTAAAAGATACATAGTTCAACAAAACAAAATGTGATTTGTCGGTAGCTCGACTCTCGGCCCCCCAGGTCCACGTCGTTTGAGACAAGGATTTATTTGAAATGCTATGCTAGATCATGTCGCCCAGTGGGTATAGTGTTTTTATTTCAGTGGGCATAATCCGTGAAACATTTAGATCAAGATCTACCTACAAACGGGCCTTGCTACAAACGACCACACACCTCTGCACCAGCTTGAACGCGTCGCCTTATCATTTACTTTTTGATTTACACTACTCATATTATCGTATCAGGCTGTTAGCATCTGTTCACCACTTGCGCTGGCGGTCAGCAGTAGCGCCAGCCTACGATTGTTAACAGTGGTGGGAGCGGTGGGAGCTTCTGAGCAAATAGCACTTGATGAACACTATGAATGTAGCAGTTGCGGCTTATATGAAACATATATTCTGAATTAACAAAATTTTAAAGTTATCTCGAGTTATCTTAACGTCAAATTTTGTTATCACATAAAGCTTTATTCTTTTTTTTAAACTATGCAATATACCTTCAGTCAAATGATTGAAAATTCAGCTATTCACGGGACAACTATTGAAGCTGAGAGTAAAGTTCCTGAGATTTACTTTTCTGCGCCTTGCTTGCGCCTTCTGCTGCGAAATCTGAGATTGATTTTCGGTGTTCTGTCTTGGCTGTTTTGGTTCTGTCTTCTGTCGCGGGCGAATGGGCTCAAATCTAAATACAATTAACTTATTTCATTACCTAATTGCTGAAAATATTGTATACCGTTGGTAGCGGTAACCAAGGCGGTAACTATACGAGGTGGAGTAGACGGTCGACCACCTGGGTTAGGGTAAATTGATAACGGTAAGTATATTGCCATATGATCCATTCCAAAGTTGTTCCAAAGGCTTGGAAGTTGGATCAGTATTTATGGGTCAAGGTCAAGTCACGACACGAGAGGTCAGACGCGATACGTCTATATCCATGTTTTAACGCTTACGGACTAGGTATCTTGTAACTTGTGAACTAAATATAAATAGATATATACGGTCAAGATGTATTTTGTATGAGCTAATATGTTTCATCAATTTAAGTATAGGTACCAGCCTTTGCATTTCCTCATCCTGCCATAAATCCCATGTCATTTTTACCCTGCAGGTATACGAGGATATTCTTAGTTGTTTTCTCGGCGTCACCGAAAATGAAGTCTATGAGTATTTTGGATTTCCCCATTCGAAAGAAGCCTCGTCGGTCATCGCGGTTGGAGCTGAAAGAAACTCGCGACAGCAAGCCGAGATGTTTTTCGAGCTCGCCCATTGGATTGTTTGACATGCTCCCTCCTGAAATGATGCACCACGTATTTCAGTGGCTTGACGGTAAGTCATCGCGCGGTTTAAACCAAGATTATTTCAAGTTCGAGCGGACAATGGTGCCTTTTCCAGTCTACATTAAGCTATTGGCATGCTAACATACCTACTCAGATCGTCCAGTACGTCCGTAAATTGAGCAACTAAATACCAACAATTCCAAACACAGACTGGCCTGTGCAGTGTGCCTATCTGACGGACACTGGTTCCATTTACTGCGCGACTGGCCGGCGGCCAGCGGTGTCGCTCAGTCGGCTGGCGCTGACGGCCAAGTCGGTGCGCGCCCTGGTGGAGGCGTGGCTGGTGACGCCGCGCGCCATCGCCTGTCTGGTGCCGCCGCTGCCGGACGGAGCCGACCCGATCGGCCTGCCGGGCCCCGGACTGCTGGTCACGGTCAGTTGTGACGACAGAGGCTGCTGAGAGTCCGGGCCCGCCCCGACAGAGGCTGCCGAGAGTCCGATGCAGGCGCACCGGCTCCGCCTCCTCCCTGGTACTGGTGCAGTCGCCTCGCCCTTTTTCTTAGACATGATAGGTGTCGTCTATCTATCACTTCGATGAAAAGCGGTTATTTGGGTAGGTAGCCAACTGTCAAGTTGAGTATTAGATAAGTCATGCATACAGAGTTGTTAAATGTTTACCCGTTTAATCCCACTGTTTCTAAGCAACTCCACGCACCCGTGTGTCGGTTTCAGTTCGCTCCGGCTAACGCTCGGTTTCTGTGGTGCGGTTGGTCAGTTTCAGCGTCTGGGGCTGCTGCAGAAGCGCGTCACCTGCCTCTACTTCACCAAAGACCGGCTGCGCAGACTGTGGGACTTTGTGAACCAGGTGAGTCTTCTGCCGGGTGTGTTAGGGTAGAGCGCTGGGGATTAACGATCTCCGGATGATACTGGGGCAAACAATCTCGCCATGAATATTAGACGATCAAACCCAACAGTCTCCCGTATATTGTGTAACGTTATCATGCCCCGAGTCCTAACGCTAACGATATCGGTGTGTAGTGGTCCTATGAGTGCCGGTCTCTGCCGCTCTGTGCCGGTGACGGCCGCGGTTCCCTCGCCAGGTGGACGCGCGCTGGAGCGCCGCCGGCGTCTCGGTGCCGTGCGTGGTGACGCTGGCCTGCTACGGCCGCTTCCTCCACGCCGCCATCGCCGGATGGGAGGAGTGCGAGTGCGACAAGGTCAGACAGTCGCCGGCCGTCCACGCAGGCTCAGCAGCCACAACTTCGCTCAGAACTCTCCCGTCACTTATATTAGGCGGATTACACGGACCACAAGTCCTTGTTGAAACAGTCCGAGGTTGGCTCGTTGACCAATGCTAGCCAGTAGCCTTTTTATAAACAAGACAAAGTAAAAGTAACAACATAATCATATTTCCCTTTTCTACGCGCAAGCGATCCATTTCTCCCAACATGAAAGATGACGTGGTCGTATGCCAGTGTCTCCCTGTGTGTTCGTTCCCGGCCCGTAACTAACGTGTGCCTCCCGGCGCCCGGCATGAGCAGGTGTTCCGGGCGCTGTCGAGCCGCTGCTGTATGACCCAGCTGGCCGAGCGGGTGCTCAGAGGAACGGCCGGCGCCGCGCCCCAGGACGAGGTCAACCTGCGCCTCTTCTACAGGTCAGCGACCGGCTCCATGCTCGTCAAGATGGCTCGACGCCAATCTCAAAGTAACTGTTACCCATGCAACAATAAAGACAATGTCAGCGATACGTTGACAGAACCATTGTTGGAGTATCCTTGTAATCTACAATAAAATACGCCCGGAACCAGGGCTGCGGAGTCGGAGTCGGAGTCGGAGTTGGAGTCGGTCGGAGTCGACAGTTCTGCCCGGAGTCGGAGTCGGAGTCGGAGTCGCCAAAATCTTACCGACTCCGACTCCGGAGTCGGAGTTAACGCTGCATGGCTCAGCGTCAATTTGATTTGACGTTGAGCACCTGAATTTGATTGACGATACTGCGCTAGAAATTATATTTTGTCGAAAAAAGGCCATTTTGCCGTTTTGGACGAACGTTTTCAGCGAAAAAAAAGCAGAAGACGGTGAAGTCCCCAGAGCCTGCTTCATAATTCTGCACGCTATTTTTAATGCATAATTGCAACGCATAGCCTTGGAACGCACAAGGGATGGTTTCAGGCAAGATAAAAACATCTCCGTTATGAACTTCAATATCATGATATGGATTTTAATAGAACCGTCCGGAGTCGGAGTCGGAGTTGGAGTCGGACTCGGAGTCGATTTTTGAAGCCGGAGTCGGAGTCGGAGTCGGAGTCACCCTAAAATCCATCGACTCCGCAGCCCTGCCCGGAACTTTGTCCTTCTGGCATCGAATTACGATTTCCCCACCACCTTCCGGCCGTCCACTCCGTCCTGTACCCATACCCGCCGCTGCGGCAGGCTGGTGCTGCTGGACCCGTGTCGGACCGCCCGCGACCGGCAGCTGTGGACGGAGCGTATCCTGGCCGGACACTCGGTGCACCGGCAGGCGCGCCTGCTCTACCTGCTCTACGGACCGCGCACACACAGTGAGTCGGGAGAGGGAGGGAAACCGCCTGCTCTACCTGCTCTACGGACCGCGCACCCACAGTGAGTGGGGACTGGGGAGAGCCTGAGGCCTGTTCTACGGACTGTGCACGCATAGTGAGTGTGGGGGGGGGGGGGGGCACTTCGGTGATAGAGCAGCGAGCTATCTGCTCTCCGCCCGGTGTGTGTGTTGCTAATTGCTGTGAATGCTCCTACGCAGCTCCAGACTCCAGTGATGGACGCTGATGAAACATTTGTGCTGTGGGGACGAGCCGCATCGTACGTGGATTTGTGGAAGTCGAGTCCTCGCTCCGTTTTTGAGTGTGCCGTCTCCAACCTCCCCCCGCCCGCCGTCCGCAGAGGAGCTGCTCTGGGAGGAGACCACCGACAGCATCCCGCACGGCGCGCACCAGGCGGCGCAGCACTTTGCCGAGCTGGCGGCGGCGCTGACGCGGCTGGCGACCGCCCCGGGCTGGTCGGGCGCCGCGCTGGCCGACCTGCTCGAGCACCTGGTGGCCGCGCCGGCGCCCTGGCTGGCAGAGAACGTGGCCTGCCTGCTGCTGCTGGCCGGCGAACAGGTGGCCGTGCCGCTGCTGGCCGCTCAGGCGCGCGCCGGGCGTACCGGCCAGGTGGCCCGCCTGCTCGGCGCGCTCTGCATCATGACGCACAAGTTCCGCGTGAGTAGAGGGTCGACGGTGGGGCGAACAGATGCGGACTCTGTGGGCCAGGGCTGTGCGTAAAGGAACATTAAGCCGAGCCGGCGTGGTCCGAGAGTGCGAAATCTTTTCGCCACAGATAAGCCCAGTACAATATGGGTACCGACTACTGACTGCGGTGTCTGTACTCCGCAGCAGATCCAGCACTGGGTGCTGACGGTGGTGTCTGTATTCCACAGCGGAGCCAGCACTGGGTGCTGACGGTAGTGCGCCAGCTCTGCCAGGAGATCGGCAGCGCGCGCGACCGCGGCGGCCTGGTGCGGGCCATCTGGGACGCCTTCACCTGCCAGATCATGGACCTCTGGGACCTGCTCCGGTCACACGAAGGTTCGTTTGTAAGACCGCGGTGGTGGTATAGACTCTGGGCAACTCGCTACAGCTGTAACATGACTGTCCCAGAATCGTCCCTTTGCAGTGTGGTGGTGACGGTCCGCCTCCTCAGTAGGCGGATTTTTATACCTGATTTTTTGACGTATAGTAGGTAATGTCGGTACACACTCTGCGTGGTGGCGACATTCCGTCCCGTTGAGGTACCAATACTGACCGCCCCGCCCGCCGGCAGACCCGGACCTGATCGAGGAGGACATCCGTCTGCTGGTGTCAGCGCACGCCGAGTTCGGAAAGGTGGTCATGTGCCGCGCGCTCGTGTCCGACGGCCTGCAATGCTGACGAAGTCGCCGCCAGCACTACTGAAACAGCCGCCGCCCGGCCGAGCCGGCTTGGTCTGCACTGCTGACCGATTCACGGCTTCCCTCGCTGGCCTGGTGACCTGATGAGTTGCCAACTGGTCAGCCAGGCCCCTGCCTAACCGGGGGCCTCCAGCGTCCGTACTCATTTTCGAGATAAAACCCGCGTTTTTCCATGTTGATGTGATAATCATGACAGTACAAAGACATGAGACCAGCGTCTTTCCACATGCGTGTGATAATCATGAGTACAATGATCTAAAACTTTCATCTCTTCATATTAGTGTGATAATCATGTGTGTATATTGACGCCGTTATCTGTTATATGGTGTTATATTTTTTACTTGCAATCCACATATTTATATATTTCATAAGAACATGGACTGTTCTACCTTTTATGATTTGTGTTCGTTTTTGTGCCATTGATCGCAAGTTGGGAATAAATAAAATCGTATTGCAGCATTAGCTGTGCTAAAACGGATTGTTTCTTCAGTAGCGAATCTGGACCAGGCACAAGCAGGACTCGTATCACAGTGTTCGTTTTTGCCTCAGAGTAGTGGATGGTGCCGGTCGCATATTAGTGTCTTGTAGATGAAAGCCCAGAGGATATTGTTTTCGTGGTTCTATCGGTGACGTTCTACCAAATCTATCGCTTGTTCCGTCCCTCTATCAGTCCTGCCCTGCCAGGTCGGCCCAAGTGTCTCGTCGCGTTCATTCGTTCCCTCAGAGGCAGTGAGTTGGTAGCAGTCGCTGGTATTTCCAACATAGCTCGGGTCATTAAGCGAATACAGATAATACGTCCCGTACCGGATCGGGTACATACGAGTAACATAACGGGTACGCGGGGTCGATCGGTAAACACAATACCAGCCCGGTCCGCCGGGCGTAGCAGCGGTCAGCCGGAGCAGGGAGTACAGTCATTGGGTAAACAAAGCAGCACAGCCAACGTCTCAGCGGATCACAACGAAATCGAACCAAACAAACAACATCCGTACAAAGTGGTTCGAAGTATCCACACTGACACATGAGATTCTCCCGCGTATTAAAGGTAGCAGCGCCAAAAATAGGGGCGCCTCGCAAGGAAGTTCAGGGCTCTTAAACACCAGAAACATGGGTACATTTGGCACCGGGCAGCGGCCAGCGGGCGGCGGCCGCGGCCGGTCGGCGGACCTCACTTGATAGGGGAGCGGCGCCGCTCAGAATGTGTGCGCGTTCCGGCAGACGCCGCAGCCGAGCGCAAACTCCTCGCCGGTGGGCGGGTGCTCCACGTGCAGTGGACACTCTGAGCCCTCCAGCTGGACGGCGCGCGGACCTGGCGACACACGGGAGCGCCGGGCGGTCAGTGAACACTTAGTAAGATATACCGTGCACCCCCCGCCCCTAACCCATCCGGGCTAACCCGTGACCGGCCCTGCACAACGGCCCTAGCACGCTGCATGCAGGGTCGGTCCGCCGGCCGCTCGGCCGGGGCGCCGGACTGCGCGATGGCGTCCCGCTCGGGCGGTCGGCGTGATAGGGGCGCTGCCCCTGCGAGTGTTTGCCTATGCGTTTTTATATCCATACGCCATTATTAAGCAGGGCAGCGCGGGCGGGGGCAGGCGGCCCGTCTGGAGCGCCGGGGGGGGGGGGACGGTATCCTACACCTCTCCCCGGCCAGGGAGGTGTCTCTTATTAGCTCTCCCTGGGGCTGGGGCGGCAATGGCCTGAAAGTGTCGTCCCGGCCCGCCCAGACGGGCGGGTATTCTCATTATACGTCATTTTTTTAATAGTGTTCCTGATGCTTTCTCAGTGTGTGAACATTTTGTGAATAAAACTAGAAAAAAAAGATATACCGTGCACGGCAGGCGGGATAACGTCAATGACAACCCGCCAGGTCCCTCCTCAGCCGCCGCGGCATAACACGGCAGCAAAACGGCGGGCGGGCGATATTCGGCCTCAAGGCAATACTTATAACTACTAGTCCCGTGTGTACGTTTGTCCTCTCCCAGCAGAGTGCATACTCCGTGTAACCATCCGCGGCGCCGGTCGGACCTACCTGCCGGACAGGCGGGCAGCTGCAGCACCGGGATGCTGGTCAGCCGCTGGAAGTCGTCGTGGCACGCGTTACAAAAATGCGTCTTGCCGAAGCAGAAGAAGACGGCCACCGAGCAGCAGTAGCGGCACTTGTACTCGAGGAAGTCGGTGCCGTGCTTGGGGCAGAGCTGGGCGCGCGTCACGTCACTGCACGCGCCGCAGACCAGCTCGGAAGGGTCGTACTCGTCGGCAGCGCCGGCCGCCGCGTCACAGCGCGCCTCGCCGCCGTAGTACGCCTGAGACGTCACAGGGGAGGCAGGCGTGCCCACAGTCAAACAGCAGCAGAAAAAAATGTGCAGGGTCAGGAAGTAAGGGTATAACTTGTTTAGACAAACGCCATGATTAAAAAATGTAGTAAATATTTGTCAAAGAAAGGCTACTCTGAAGAAGCTGATACCACTTCCCACACCGAAAATTTTCCCCGTCCCATGGGCACAACCCACCTAGAAAATGATCTCCCTACGCTGGCACCCAAGTTGGAACAATGTATAATATCTACTGAGTAACAGCTGAGAACTGACCTTTCCGCACTTGCAGCAGACGTAGTAGGCGTATCGGTCCATGGCCATGGCTGCCAGCTGATCGTCCCCTCCGCCCGCGGCGCCAGCCGCCTCGCTCAGTCGCAGTCCGTCGTATTCGCAGCGAATCAGCGCCTTCTTACGGACGTCGGCGTACAGCGCGCGGATCGGCGCCAGCAAGTCCGACAGCATCTCGTGCTCGATCGGCGCCTGGGGGGAGACACAGACGGGGCTACAGATTTGGTCTCACGCACACAAAGATACGGGTAGAGCACATCTGAGTTTGGCAGAGATGTACGGTATAGAAGGCACGTGACGCAGACACATATAATGTGGATACGAAAGGATCACTGGCGTAGACAAAACACAGGCAAGGCAAAGGAGACCTGTCACAGACACAAACACAACTACCAGAGGTTAGTCTGATACTGAGGCACCAACGACACGGCCTGACACAACCAGGAGCAGGTCGGATGGAGTACGTCCCGCCGTCCTCACCTTACAGATGGGGCAGAGTGAGAATCCGAAGGTGATGCGCGGTCCGACCCAGCGGGCGGTGAGCACGCGCCGGCAGCAGTGCAGGTGGAACAGGTGGCCGCAGGCGAGCAGCAGCGCCGGCGCCGCCGACAGGCGCTCCGTGAAGCACACCATGCACATGTCGTCGGCGTCCTGGCGCAGCCGGCCGCCGCCGCAGCCGTGCAGGCAGGGCAGGCAGCGCGGCTCGTCGCGCACGCCGCCGCACGGGTGGCCGCAGCTGAGCAGCCGCTGGCAGGCGGCCCGCTGGTGCGCCGCGCACTCGGCCTCCTCACAGACGGGCGGCTCGAGCGCCGTGCCGCCGCCGGCCGGCGCGCCGCAGAACCGGCACTGGCCCAGCGCGGCGGCGGCCGGCGCCGAGAGCGCCGCCTCCGCGCGCCACCGAAACTCCACCATCGACTTGAGGCTGGGCGCGTCGGAGAGCGCCATCAGCCAGAAGAGCTTGAGCCGTCCGCAGCCCTCGTGCAGGTCCACCCGGATCGCCTCCTCCTCCTCCTTCAGCACCTGGAGACACACATAGGGGGGCGTCAGAGGGGATCCGGTCCATCTTTGAATACACACTGACCGGGAGGGACAGAAGCTCAGGGGCCGTCAGAGCTGAGGCCCCTGAGAACACAAGACTATCGAGAGGGGGTCATCACATAGAAACGGAGACACTTTGATCTTATGCTCGCTGAACAGCTTCCGCTACTGCAAGGTGTTGATTTTGCAGTCAGGCTAATATAGAATCATACTACTACATGCTATATTACGAGGATGCTATAGCTCGTATTGTTGGGATATCGTTGCCCATGTGCTTGTCGCCAGCTTCCCTACCTACCTGTCTGTGGTGGGGCCGCGCCTTCCTGGACAGGTGCAGCACCCGGTCGCAGTCGGCACACAGGTGGCCACACTCGGAGCACGCTACCAGAGCTGTCGTCTCGCCGTCGTCGTGGTTATCACAGGTTGGCTGTAACGGGACCAGCGCGCTAGTCAGTGGCACATAGTTGGTGAGACACATATCAGTACGTATCGCTCAGCTGCTCCAGTTCGTTACTGAAATGGCCACACAGAAATAATTATGCCGGAGATTACCCGCGGCAGGATAACTAGGACACCGACTTCTTTATCGGGCTGGTAAATTGCCGTTATTGTTCGCTGCCGCTAAAAACAAAAACAAACACAAAAACAAAAAACTAATCGCGGCTGAGGCCAACGTTACAAAAGATAAGCCCACTGCGGGTTAACCCTGAGCGTCCAGTGTACAGTGCACGTTGGCACAGTGTACAGTGTGTTCGTCGATCTGTGTGCGTGTGGAGGGGGTTGGGATACTAACCCTCGCCTGACCGCCGTGTCCGGCGGCCGGAGGTGTGGAGTGTGTGCGTATGGGGAGGGGGGGGGGATACTGACCCTTGCCTGACCGCTGTGTCCGGCGGCCGGCCGCCACCGGCCGGAGGTGAGTCGGTCGGCGTGCTCTGGCCGCAGCACACAGAGCGCCACCAGGGCGCGCCACAGCGCCGCCGAGCGCAGGCAGGCGGCCGGCGCGCGTCGCTCAGAGGGCACCCGACTGAGCGCCAGCAGAGCAGAGGACACCGAGCGGCGGGTGACCGTCGCCCAGTCCTCCGACAGCTTACCCTGCGGTATACGAGCAGACATGCGTAACGCATCAAACACAGACAGAACAGACGTCCGGTCAATATGGTAAAGAGACTACTGGAACCCATCAGCCATGACGCCAGAGCCTCCAATGGCTATGACAATGCGGGCATATGCAACACTCACTATTTTTCATTCAAATTATTTCATTATTATACATTCATATTAATTCATTCATGTCACACATGGACACCATCTCCGAAGCACAGCCCCCTATCCCCTCTGAATATCGTCTCTGACAGCGGAGCTGACACTGCTCTTACCTCGCTCATGTCATGCAGCAGTTTGAGGACGCGCTCGCCGACGCTGGCGGTCATGAGGCCTCGCCAGACGGCCGGCTGGCCGGCGTCGTCCAGGGCGGTGTCGGCCAGACGGACCGAGCGCTGCACGCGCCGCGCGCCCTCCTTGTACTTGACCTGCACCGACAGACACTTGGCCACGCACGCCAGCAGCACGTCCAGCACGCCGAACCTGCGAGAGATGGACGGACGGCAAGTCAGACAACTCAGTACAGCATGTGATCCCTGGGCGTACATAATCGCTGAAGCACAGATCAGCAGTGAGCACATAAAATGAGAACATTATCTGATCTAAGCACAGCCCGCTGCCCAATGTATCTGAGGAGACGGCGGCAGGCAGTTTGCAGTAAGCACTCGGGGAAGGAGCATCGCTCACCTGCCGTCGTCCTGCTCTCCGCCGTCGCCGCCGTCCGCTGCCTCCCGCTCGGCGCCGGGGCCGGCGGTCGGCTCAGTGTCCGGCAGCAGGCAGCGCGCGCCCTGCAGCTCGGCCAGCGCGGCCGGCGCCAGCTCGGGCAGCACGCGCCGCAGCAGACTGACCACCTGGCGCTGACAGCGGGCCGAGCCGGCGTGCAGCAGAGCGAGCAGGTCGGCCAGCAGCCGCCGCTGGCCGGACAGGTGGCGGCGGCCCACCGCGCTGCCGCTCAGAGACAGCAGCATTGAGAGCATCTGGAAACAGTGCGTGTCGCCGCCCGCAGCCGCCGCCGCCGCCGGCTCAGACTGGTCGTCACAGAGCCGCGCCGCCTCGCGCGCCAGCGCCGCCATCACATGGTCGCAGATCTGGCGACAGGGAAGGAAGCAGAAATGGCAGTTCAGGAGACGCGATCATCTGTTCGAGACAACATGCACACTCTGGGCTGCTTTTCCTCTAAACCGCGCTGGGTTAGCAACTTCCACCGCCTCAATGAACCGAGACTGACACTCGTATGCGCGGTCCTCGTTTACTCTTCACTAACCGACAGCCGCATACCACTCATACAGCCAGTGGTGAGTGACAGCAAACCCCTACCCCGTTCCGCCCTTCATCATCCTGTCAGAGTCCCTCACGCCCCTCACCTGGGTCTGCAGGTGTGTGAGCTTGCAGCGCGAGAACAGAATGGAGACCATGTGCTGTCGCAGGTCCGTGTCCTCCTCGCCGGAGGCGTCAGCGGCGGGCGCGGCGGCCGGCGCAGGGCCGCCGCTGCTCGGCGTCTCGCCGTCCTCCGTCGCCAGCAGCTTACCGAATACCTGCGGAAAGAGACAGGCTATCAGCCGCTTGCCAAACACCTGTGGACACAGGATACGAAACGGGTCACAGAGACTTCCCAACCACTACAGACTGCAAGAGACATGCTCCACTTTGTCAAACACCTACACCAGCAACAAACGGAAACAATGTTCAAGAGATTTTGAGGAGAGCAGACGCGTGATGCGGCCACACATTAAAGAGGAGCGCAGGGAAACAATGAGCACCGCAAGTCACGGCGGTCGGCCGCCACACATACAGCCCGCGGTGTGTGTGATCCTCTCACCTGAGCGGCGATGAGTCGGAAGACCCGCAGCGTCTCGGCCTCGCAGGCGGCCTGCCGGACGGCGGCGGCGGCCGGCGCGGGCCGCGGCCCGGCTCCCTCGGCCAGCAGGGCCACCTGACGGAGCCGCAGGCTGTTGTCGGGCCCGCGGAGCTCCAGCCGCAGTCGGCAGGCCTCCAGGCGCGGCGGCACGGCCACCGTCAGCCAGCCGGCGTGGCGCGCGTCCACGGAGAGCGCGCGCAGCCGCGACAGCTGGTCGGCGGCGCGGCCGGCGCGCGCCGTCACCGCCGACACCTTGTTCTGCGGGTCGCGCACATTGTCCACGTGGACGGCGGCGAGCCGGAGCGGGCCGGCGCCGGCGGCCAGCGCGGCGGACACCACCTTGGTGCGGTTGCGGTCCTCGTCACCGCTCTCCCAGAACGTCTCCGTGCTGGCGTCGGTCAGAGAGTCGAGCAGCGCGGCGCGGGACGACGTCTCGATGGCCGCGGACGAGGTGACGTCCTCCAGACTGGTCAGCAGAACGCCCGACTGGGGAGGGAACGGAGGGTACAGCGTAACTCAGGCAGTTTACATAAAGAACACTGTAGGACAGCGCAATTAGACCGGAGAGGCAAAGCAGCACGTTCCAACACGCATATCCCGACGATCAGCCTGTAGGCAAAACATCAGGCTAATGAAGCACCCTAGTGAGCATTCACCTTTCTCAGGCCCGGGCAGAGTTCTCAGACTGACCTGTTCGGCGGCCGGTCCGTGCTGCGAGCCGGCCATGCCTCCCTCCTCCCCGGCGCCGTCGTCTGACCCGGCCAGGATGCGGCTGATGTTGGAGAACACGTGACTGCGGTGGAGGAAGCCGTGGTCGGCCGGCAGGAACCGCAGGCCCCAGCACCTGCCGAACACACAGAATATCAGCAACGGCGGGACTGAGGTGAGACAGAGCAGACAAAAACCCGCGGCACCGGCGACGGGACAAAAGGCGGTGACCAAAGGGACGCAGCTGCTGTCGGTGTCCCACAGGACATTTCCATTCCATTCCATTCCAGAGTGTTTATTGCGCATCGACAACCTAGTAAAACGATCGGAAAATGAACATGAATGTTTGAGAAACATGTGTGAGAAACCTATACATAAGACACGTTAGATCCACAAGAAGACGTGAACCAGATGCGATTCGAAAGGCTCACTGTTTCTGCAGCTGACGCCAAACGGCGCCCCTTCTCGGCAATATCACCCACCTGACTGCAGTGAGCTGCAGGCTGGACCCGCCGGGCAGCAGCGGCATCAGGTCGGAGACGGTCTGCAGCAGCGTGTGGAAGGCGGCCGGCAGCGTGGAGCCGCTGCCGGCCAGCGGCACGTCCGACTGCGGGTGGTCCAGCACTGTGCCCTCCTCCTGACGGGCAGAGGGGAAAAGTATAGTCAGTAGGGGGACTCGGGGAGGGGCGGAGAGCCCTTTCGAGGATGGCAGAGGTAAGCCATCCAAGCGATCCACTCTATTTGGGACTAGTCACTCGTGACTCGTATTCCCGCAAATTCATCTTGCCTTGATGCAAAACAAAAGCACAGCTATCATTATCACAGCAGCAGAGCAAGTCACTGTCAGTTGTCACCCTTTCCCGTAATCCCTGCGCCACTCACCTGATGTGCGCCGGGCGCCGGCTCGGGACTCAGCGCCTGGATCAGGTGCCACATCAGGTCATGGAGGCAGGTCGGCTGGGTGACACTGCGCAGCAGCCAATTCAGCGCCTGGTAAACACAAAGACAGTCGGTCAGTGCCGCGGCAAGGCAGCTGCAGCACCCGGCAAACTCTCAGAGGCGTGCAGGCGACTGTCTCATAGTCCAATCAGAGTCTCAAAGACATGTGATCCGGTAAAACAGAGTCCCGCTGACTCTCACCTGCAGGGCGTAGACGCGGCAGGCGGCGCGCCGGATGGCCCGTCGCAGCGCGCGCTGCAGGTAACCCAGCTCGTGCTGCTGCAGTACAAACGCCACCACGGGCCGCGCCATGAGCGCCTGCAGCTCCGCCTGGCCGGCCGCCAGTCCCAGATCGGCCCGCACCTGGCGCAGACGGCTCGATGGACGCACCAGGAAGCCGGCCGGACCGCCGGCGCCGGCCGCCGCGTCGCCGGGCCGCTCGCCGGAGCTGGGCGCCCGCCGGCGGCGCACCATCAGCACGCGGCCGTCGGCGCCGGCCGCCGGCGAGGTGCCCACAGACACGGAGCGCTGGTAGCCGCGGCCGGCGCCCGAGGGAGGCGCGGAGGGCGGCTCGGCGGCCGGCGGCTCAGCGGGGTCCTCCGAGTGACTGGTGGCCGGCATCTGAGGGCACGGAACACGGAGACCGATTACAGCTAACAGGGTCCAGTCACAAGCTCAGATACAGGACATATTAAATATTAATGTCAGCCTGTAAGTGCATTTTATGAGTGGCACTAGGTATTGGACAGGCCGGTTAAATGACTTCCAAGAATAAAACTGCAATCAAAAGCGGTGAAGTAGACATCTGAACTTAGATTAAAGGAACGTCGATGAAAGACCGGAGGGCGGAGCCTGTGTGCCATTTCCCTCCCGCTCTACTCACACAGGCGGAGACGGGCCGGGCCGCCGAGCGTCTCGCCATCCTGCCCCTGCCGGCCGCCGGACCCGCGTTCTCGGCGTCGTTCTGCCTGCGCAGCTCTGCGGACAGCTCGTCCTCCTTGAGGCGGCGCAGGTGCGCCTGCTGACCGCCCAGCGTGTGCAGACACTGCAGTGAGACGGCCGGGAACGGACCCGTGCAGGCGGAGGCGGCCGCCGCGCCCGCCGGCGCCGGCTCCTCGGCCGCCAGCTCCAGCAGGAAGAGCGCGTTCTGCCGCATCACCCGGTGAGTTTCCCACTCAGTCGGGGAGCGGAGAGTGGCCGAGGAGCTCAGCGCGCCGCCGGCCGCCGGACGCCGCCGCGACTTCTTCCGGCGGAACACCTCCGGTCTGACGGGGAGGGGGGAGGAGTCCGTCAGACAGGGGCGGAGGAGACAGTCGCCGCCGCCTAGCACATCCAGTAATTTACTGGTATGCACAAAAGTGAAAAAAAAAACATATTAAACCCAGTCAAACTCAGTCATGTTCACTGTCCAGTCATGTTGATAAAAAGACCTCGCCTTGAAATGATAAAACTGTTCCATAGTAGCCGTGTGCAAAACGACAAAGTCAACCATTACACTCAGTACATAAAAATTAGCCTTTCAGTGTGAAGGTTACCCGGCTGACCTGGTGGCGGCGGCTGCGGCGATGTAGCGCTGCCGGCAGTCGGCGCAGAGCAGGTAGTACAGCCCGCCGCCTCCCGCAGCCCCGCACGGCTCGGCTGCCGCGCCGGCCGGCTCGCCGTACCGGCCCGAGGACAGGTAGCCGCGGCCGCCGCTGGCGCCGCCGCAGCCGGCGTGGTGCCGCTGCATGTGCGCCACCAGGCCGGCCGGCGGCAGCGGCGTGCAGCAGAGCTCACACAGCAGCGCGCTGCCGTGCATCTGCACCGAGAAAATATAACAGTCACTTTACAGCTTTAACCGCGGCAGTTAACACACTTGTCCCCCTTGTCCCCCTTGTTGTCCCCCTTGTCACTACCATATTCCTTGAATTTCCTATTTCCTGATTTCTAGTCCGCCCGAGACTCGGGAGTCTGTCATGCTTGCACGATTCCGACCCGGATTTCAGGCAAAACTGTCGACTTCGACGTACTACGAAATCGGCTCAGTTTTTATCGGCTGTCAAAAAGCCTTTTGATTTGATCCAGGGCCCAGAATTAGATAATAATTCCCGTGATGATGACGGCCCCGTCGTACCTGTTTGACGTGCCGCGCCAGATCGGTGAACAGTCCCAGACACAGCTCACAGCGCTGCTCCGACTCGCAGACGGGCTCTAGGTCGGCGCGCGCCTTTTTGGCGCGTTTGTCGCGCGACTCGCGGCTGGAGCGGTCCGGCCGCCGGGGCCGGGTGGTGCTAGGACTCGGCAGCGCCACCTGCCGGGGGCGACAGACGCCGAGTGAAGGCACATCTCCAAACTGGCAGAGACAGATAAATATCGACAGGCATAGACAGACATCACAAACATCAGCACGGCAGGCACCGACTCACAGCAGCGCCCACCGCAGTAGCAGTGGGTGAGCCATTCCAGTGTCTACCACCTCACATGAGCCGCGCGGTGAGTGCAAACAGACCGTCTGCGTGCCAGGGCCGGCATTACTCACCTGCTGAGCGATCAGTCCGGTCAGGACAGACACCAGACCGTCCCAGATGGCCACCAGGTGCAGCAGCGAGGGCATCTGACCGCCGCACTCGATCTCCGGCACCGTGTCCAGGTCCGACGAGTCGCCGCACTCCCGGTCAGCGCTGAAAAACGTGCCCAGTCAGAACAAGTCAACAACGCACCCAGTCAGAACAGACATAAACACACCCATTTCGAGGAGTCGCCGCCCTCCCGGCCCCGACCAGCGTTGAAAACATCACCAGGTCATAGCAGTCACAATGGTTCTGGCCACAATATGTATATTCAGTAACCCCTCGTGACCAACTCAGCGAGCAGCACTGGCCCCCGTCTCACCCGTGCGTGTGTGCCGAGTCGGCCGGCGGCGTCCTGTGCAGGTGGCTGCCGCCGGACACCTCCAGTGAGTGCCGCTGCTGTCGCCGCTCCGCCGCGCCGGCCGCGCCGTCCACCCCGTCCCCGGCCCCCGCCGAGCCGCGGCGGCCGGCGCGCGGGTGGAACTTGAGGTAGGTGGCGCAGGCCATGGCGTCGTGCACCAGCCCCTCGTGCCAGAGGAAGGCGGCGAACACGGCACGCTGACACTCGGCCACCGAGGGACTGAGCGCCGTGCGCGGCGGCCGGGTCGGAGACTCCCCGGCGGCGGCGGCCGGCGGCGCGGGCCGCTCCCGCCGGCGCGCCGCCGTCGGGCTGCCGGTCCGCTCGCGTTTGGCGCGTACCGCCGGCCGCGGCGAGAGCCGCGCCGCCGGCGGGTGGCCGCCGCCGATACTGAACGACGACCGGTCGGCGCGCGGAGAGCCCTCCGGCGAGGTCTGCGTGCCCGTCTGCGCCAGCCGCCGCTCCGGCTCCCGGACACTGGGGGCAGAGCCGCAGCTCTGCAGTGAGGAGCCGGACGGCGAGCCGCTCGTGTCGCGCGCCAGCGAGCTGACCAGTGCGCTGGTGTCGCTGGGCGCCGACTCGGCGCGGCCGCCAGAGCTTAGCTGGGCAGACATGTAGCGCGGCCGGACGGCGGCCAGCGGGCTGGAGCTGCGGCTCCGGCTGGGACTGTGCAGGCCCGAGGCGGCCGCCGCCGGTACTGAGCCGCTCAGCGGGCTGTCACCGCCGCTGTCTCCGCCGGCGCCCGGGATGGCGATCGGGCTGTGACTGATCCCGGACGGCCGCGGGCTGAGCGGCGGCTTGGGGCTGAGGCCCCGCGCCGCCGCCGGCCGGCCGCGTTTGGGCGTGCCGGGCGGCGTGCGCGGCGGGGTGTCGCCGTTACCGTTATATCGCGACTCGCTCAGCGCCTTGACCACCTCTCGTACGGAGACGCCGCCGGCAGCACCCCGCGGCGGGCTGTCTCGGGCCGGAGAGGAGTCCCGCGCGCGGCCCTGGCTCAGCCACCTGTCCAGCACGGACGGCTTGTGGTGTCCCGCGGGGACCGGGGACGCGCCGCGGGCCGCCGGGGCCGGGCCAGCGGCGGCCTCCGCCGGCGGCGTGGACCGCCCGGTGCCCGTGGCAGCCCCTCCGGCCGCCTGTCTGATGAGGTCCGTGCGCGGCGGTACGGGCGGCGGCTGACGGACGGCGCCGAACACGAACGGCCGCCCGGCGTCCGCCGAGGAGGCCGACCCCGAGAGACTGCCGCCGCCGCTGCCGCCTGAGTCGCCGCCGCCGGCCGCGCGCGCCCCGAAGCTGAAGCTCTTGCTGAGGTTGGTGGAGAAGTTGAATGAGGAGGCGGTGGGCAGGGAAGAGGACATGTTGCAGTGTCCGTTGGCCAGCGGCTGCGGCAGGCGGCGCAGGTACACCAGCGCAGAGTCGGACACCATCGCCCAGGCGTCCGGCGCGTCGGCGCAGTAGCGCGAAACAGACTCGTTGGAGAGTTTGAGCCAGCGCTCGGTGCCGTCCACCACCTCGCCGACGCCGGAGAGCCGGCTGCCGCGCTGCACGGTGGCCAGGCTGCGGCTGCTGCGGACCGGCAGCTCGCGCAGGTTGTGTCCGTCCGGGCCGCAGCGCACCACCTCGTACTGTCCGGGTCCGACCGGGAACGGGCCGGACGGCCGGCGGGTGGGCGCTGAGCGGCTGAGCGCGCCGTCCGCGGCGGCCGCCGGCTCGTCCGGCGGCACCAGCAGCGTCTTGCCCAGGTGCTGGTTGTACTGGAGGCACCAGCCCTCGGCGGGCGGGTGGCGGCCGCACAGCTCCCGCAGCGACTCGGCCGACAGCCGCACCCACACGCCGTCGTCGTTGTGCACCTCGTCGACGAAGGTGAGGTGTCCCCCGACGGGCACCAGGCCGGCCTGTTCCGACTGCAGGCTCGGGTGGGAGCGCACCCGTAGGCCGGCAGAGTTCTGCACGCAGAAGCGGCGCTCTCGGCGCGCCGGCGCAGCGGGCCGCGCCGGAGCGCTGGCGGCCGGCGGCGGGAAGCCGTGCGGCGGCTCGCGCACCTGGACGCGCTGCACGTGCTCCAGCTGCGCGCCGTCCACACAGACGTGGATGCCGTACCAGCCGCTGGCGGCCGGCGTCCAGCTGGCCGAGTAGGTGCCGTCTCCGTTGGACCGGACCAGCATACTCTCGGTGGGCCGGCGCACGGCAGGCGCCACGAACCGCAACTCCTCGAACGAGTAGGCGCTGTAGGCGGGCATCAGGCTGATGGCCTGGTAGCACATCTTGTCTTTGACGGTGGCCTGGTAGGGCGTGTCCAGAGAGGGGACCGGGTGGCCGCCAAACGACCGGTTGTCCACCTGGCTGATACGGCGCATCTTGCAGCTGTCCTCGGCTGGCGAGATGGGCTCAGCACGCACCTCCACCTGCGGAGAGAGCGGAGCAGAGGTCAGGCGGGCCCGGTCGGGTCGAACAGCTCGGTCTTACTTACTAATACACAGTCCTTCCTAGGGAAAACAGTCCGGCTTACCCGGGCACATGACAGCCTGATTATATACGCGCTTAACACGCCTGTCTGACACGACCAACAACACACATACAGGCCTGCGTGTGACTGGTGAGCGCTCTGACCTGCAGTCCGGCTGTGTAGGCTGTCACGCCGTGCTGGTCGCGCGTGGTCACCGTCACGGTGGCCGGCCAGCCGCGGCGCAGCGGCTCCCCGGCACACTCTGTCTCCGTGAGCTCCGGCTCGAGGCGCGGCTCCGGCTGCAGCCAGCCGGCCAGTCGCGCTCCGCTGGTGCCCGGCCGGGCCGTCACCAGGTCCCGTAGGAACTCGCGCTCGTTACTGTGACAGCTGCCAGAGGGAACACAGCGCAGAGATGGTGAGAAGCAGAGGTCCGAACACACGGGCGATACAGACAGTGCCGAGCGGCTGACTCGTGCCCAAACGACATTCAAGACGGTCACTTGAAATTTACGCACCGATTATCAGAGCTCATGGTCGATAAAATTATGAATACATCCGTTCGTGAATTTACAAAATGGCAGTGACATAGCTATGGACGAAAACAAGACTAAGCCGAGTCACAGCGGACGGTCCGCGGCTCACCTGAAAGGTATGACTCCGTCCAGCGCCTGGCTCACAGTCGGCTGACTGATGATACTACATACCGGTCCGCGGCTCACCTGAAGGGTATGACTCCGTCCAGCGCCTGGCTCACAGTCGGCTGACTGATGATACTACATACCGGTCCGCGCCTCACCTGAAGGGTATGACTCCGTCCAGCGCCTGGCTCACAGTCGGCTGACTGAGCCGGTTACAGTGCCGGTCCACAGCTCACCTGAAAGGTATGACTCCGTCCAGCGCCTGGCTCACAGTCGGCTGCTGACTGAGCCAGTCACAGTCCCGGTCCACAGCTCTCACCTGAAGGGTATGACTCCGTCCAGCGCCTGGCTCACAGTCGGCTGCTGACTGAGCCGGTCACAGTCCCGGTCCACAGCTCTCACCTGAAGGGTATGACTCCGTCCAGCGCCTGGCTCACTGAGGACACTGCAGACCGGTCCGCGCCTCACCTGAAGGGTATGACTCCGTCCAGCGCCTGGCTGACAGTCGGCTGTTGACTGAGCCGGTTACAATGCCGGGCCACAGGCTCACCTAAAGGGTATGACTCCGTCCAGCGCCTGGCTGACAGTCGGCTGACTGATGATACTACATACCGGTCCGCGCCTCACCTGAAGGGTATGACTCCGTCCAGCGCCTGGCTCACAGTCGGCTGACTGATGATACTACATACCGGTCCGCGGCTCACCTGAAGGGTATGACTCCGTCCAGCGCCTGGCTCACAGTCGGCTGACTGATGATACTACATACCGGTCCGCGCCTCACCTGAAGGGTATGACTCCGTCCAGCGCCTGGCTCACAGTCGGCTGACTGAGCCGGTTACAGTGCCGGTCCACAGCTCACCTGAAAGGTATGACTCCGTCCAGCGCCTGGCTCACAGTCGGCTGCTGACTGAGCCAGTCACAGTCCCGGTCCACAGCTCTCACCTGAAGGGTATGACTCCGTCCAGCGCCTGGCTCACAGTCGGCTGCTGACTGAGCCGGTCACAGTCCCGGTCCACAGCTCTCACCTGAAGGGTATGACTCCGTCCAGCGCCTGGCTCACTGAGGACACTGCAGACCGGTCCGCGCCTCACCTGAAGGGTATGACTCCGTCCAGCGCCTGGCTGACAGTCGGCTGTTGACTGAGCCGGTTACAATGCCGGGCCACAGGCTCACCTAAAGGGTATGACTCCGTCCAGCGCCTGGCTGACAGTCGGCTGCTGACTGAGCCAGTCACAGTCCCGGTCCACAGCTCTCACCTGAAGGGTATGACTCCGTCCAGCGCCTGGCTCACAGTCGGCTGCTGACTGAGCGCCAGTCCGCCGCGCAGCAGCGCCGCGTGCGCCGTCACCGTCTCACCCGTCACCTCGTCCGCCAGCTCCGACTCCAGCCGCGGCTCGTCGTCTGAGGGCGGACATGTGATACGGATGTGACTCGTGCGCTGGAGCTCCGGTGCTCCTCCAATACGCTCGAGCCTAGAGCACGACACACAATAGGGACATGACGGGTGCACTGGGGCTGACATCGCACGCATAATATGGACGTGATGCGGGCACTAATATTTCGTATTAAAGCTGGCACATACATTATCAGATATTAGAACCTAGCGTACACGTTTTATCAGTGCTATATAGCGCTGCTACAATTGTTTCAGATCCACCCGGTGGAAAACGTCACAGGGTCCGGGACAGGCTGACTGTACCTGAGAGTGCCGGCAGCGGCATGTTGCGCCTGATGAGCGCCGCAGCGCACAGTCCGCCGAGGAAGGCCAGCTCGTGCTCCAGCAGGTGGACGCCGTCGGCGGCGGTCGGCTCGTAGCCGGTCACCAGACAGCGGAACCCGAACTGGGTGGAACGCTCGTCACGTACGTAGTCAGAGGCCGTCTCCAGGGTGAACACCACCTCACAGCCTGACGGGGAGACGAGAGCAAGGTCAGAATACGGGGCCAGTCGGTATACAGATCACTAACGCACCATTATCAGGTCACGGACAAACAAAAACGACGCCAGAGTATTTACATCACACTCATGCGTCGCTACATTCCTCTGGATGAGGTCAGACTTTCCTCCCTCATTGTTCCTCTCGCTTGACTGCCCTCCCTCCCTTCCTCCCTCCCCGTCCTCTCACCTGGCAGCAGTACGGCGGAGCGCGGCCATCCCTCGCAGCCGGACAGAGTGAGCAGCGTCACCAGCCGCTCCGAGTCGCCGTCAGCGGCCGGCCCGCCGACCGGTACCTGTACCACCAGACGGTCCTCGGGCTGGGCGGTGCAGCAGCGCGCGTCAAACTCGAGCCCCATCCACAGCACCGAGACCGGAAACTGTATCCTGTAACAGCAGACAGCGCGCGTCAAACTCGAGCCCCATCCACAGCACCGAGACGGGAAACTGTATCCTGGAACAGTGCAGTACACAGCGCAGAGTCAAACTCGAGCCCCATCCACAGCACTAAGACGGGGAACTGTATCCTGTAACGACACACAGCGCGTCAGACTGCACAGCACCGAACCGAGAAACTACACCCTGAGGAGTACGCGGCGCGGAGTTACTATCTATCAAAAACAGCTGGGAAAGGACACATAACTTGGCGCCAGGGGTCCTTGACTGTCGCAGCCAGTCTCGGCTGCAGTTACAGGCAGCGAGTGCGTCCGTACCTCTGCTGCCTTACGGCGGCCGGGGGGTACGGGTGGTCGCTCTCGACCCAGCAGCAGTGCGGCGACACGGTGGGCGGCGCGTCGGCCGGGTCCGGCGCCGGCTGCTGCAGCGCCAGCCACAGGTTGTTGAGCGCCGCTACGTGCGGCAGGAGCTCCTGGATCAGCGACATCACCTCCACGGCAGCCTGGCGACGGGGAGACAGTCAGACGCCGACAGCTCAGACAAGAGAGACAGGCGGTACACCTTCCACCGGGCGGTGCGTATCCGGAGGTAGCGCGGTGGTGGCTCCCCACTCCCCAGTCGACAAGTACCCTGTACCCGACATATCGAAATGACCCGTTCCCCACCACCTGACACGCAACTAAGGGTTTCATGGTGAATTCAACCGACAGAGACCCTGAGGTGCCACTCTCCCAACCAGCCGCCACGTACCCGGGGGTCGGACGGCACCATGGCGGCCACCTGGGAGAGCGCCGTCGGCAGAAGCCGGATCACCAGCAGGCTCTCGGAGACGGCGCGCGCCGCCGCCGCCGAGCCCACGCCGCGCGCGCCGGCTGTCAGCTGCGCGGCGGCGCGGCAGAGCGCGCGCAGCAGCCGCAGCGCGGCGCGACGGGCGCGCGGCGCCGGCCGGTCGGCGGCGGCCGGCCGCGGCGCCAGGCTGTAGTAGAGTAGCTGCGGCAGCTGGCCGCGCGTCTGATTGGTGCCGTTCAGACTCAGCGGACACGTGCTGAAGGCGAACACGGTGCCGTCCGGACCGCGCACCCGGCTCTGGCCGCCGTCACCGTTACTGGTGCGGCCGCCGAAATTCCGCAGACGCAGCGCGTACTTGGTGTTCTCCTGGAGCGCGGATACAGACACACACACGTCAGTCATTTGGATAGAGCTGACAAAATAAAAAATGGGTTTCTCGGAATGATCAGGGAAGCGAGCCTTGATGAGAACTTCGAAAATAAGTAAGCCGACATCTTAAAATCACGCCTTACGCATACAGCCAAACTAGCAAAACTTGATCATGGCAGTAATTATGATCAGCTACCGAAGAAGATTCCTCACCTTGATGGAGACGGGTTTGTTGAAGCGCACCTCCACCAGTTCGGCGGGCTCTGGGGTGCCGAACTGGCCGCTGGCGGCCGTCAGCACGGGCCAGCGCTGGTGGAGCGGCGCCTCCAGCTCGGCCGGCCGCTCAGGCGCCACCTCCTCCAGCAGCTCCAGCTCGTAGTTGAACCGGCCGGCGCCGCCGTAGAGGACCGCTCCGGCCAGCAGCACGCCCGGCCGGTCCACCGTGAACGCTATGGCGTCTGGCGAGCCGCTACCCGTGTTCCAGGAGCGGGCCGGCGAGACGCGCGTGAAGCGGGACGGCGTCCAGTGCAGCGGGTGCGAGTCCGGACCGACCAGCTCACTCTGACAGCGGCACACAGGACAGAGTCAGTGACATTATAAACCCATCCCACTGACAACAGCAAGTCACAACACTCACAATGTCTCAGCTGCGAATTTCCCGGCCAGCTAGTCACCTCGGCGGTGACACACTGCGCCACTAGGTCCGTCTGGAGGCGCGCCAGTAGCCGGCAGGCGTTCTGCTGGAGGCGGCGAGCCGCGGCCGCGCTGCCCAGCGGCGCCGGCTCGCAGCCCAGCCACACGCGCAGCGGCTGGGTGAGCACAGACAGCAGCTGCTCCAGCAGCTCCGAGAACGTCCACAGCGCCGACGGAGACTTCTCCAGCTGGAACGGACACAAATAGCTGGTCAGCTGGAGTAGCACCAACCAGCACAGCTGCTGTCAGTTTACTGGGACATACGGCAAAGTAGCTGAAGTGGTAGCTCTTTTGATGTCAGATAGCTAGAGAGACCATCAGCAAGCAGTTCTGTTATCTGTCCTAGTCGGACTCACCTGACTGGCCCGTGTGACCGTCTCCACGAGTAGCGGGTGCCGGGTGATGTCACTGAGTGTCGGGTGCGGGCTGAGCGCCACCTCTGCCGAGGGTGACGGCTGTGGCTCATCCTCTCCGTGTACAGGCAGCAGCTGCGGCAGCCGCACCAGAGGGCTGCAGAGGGCCTCCAGCGCCGCCGAGAACACCAGCTCGTGCTGAGAGCCGCCGCTCTGGGAAACAAAACATAACGGTCAGCTGTGGCAGCCGCACCAGAGGGCCTCCAGGGCCGCCGAGAACACCAGCTCGTGCTGAGAACCGCCGCTCTGGGGAACGGCGTCGAACGGGCGTCAGATAAACCTGCATTGGGAATAAGATGACTCGTGAGCCTAAACGTCAATTCATACAAACATGAACAGCCTGTGCGGAGCTCACCGTTTCTCTCAGAGTGAGCAGCTCACAGAGGCAGAGCCACTTGAGCCGGGCGGTGGGATAGAAGGCGTGGAAGCAGCCGACGAAGCACTGGTGGAAAGTGTCGAGCACCGGCTGCAGGCGGGCGGCCAGCTCCGCTGGGGGCGCAGGTCGGGCCGTTACAGATTGTGAACACTTCGCCGAAGTACGAGTCGGTCCGTCACATATACGTGTAGACTGGCATTGTATTGACTAACCACTACAGAGTGACACACCACTGAGGTAAGTGGGGTAACAACCGTCCCGACCCTAGCCCGGGCCAGGTTCTCAAACCCCTACCCCCGTTCCTCCCCATCCCAGCCCCGCTGCCACCAGCTCAGCACGTACCGGAGTCAGTCCGCTCTGCCAGTGTGTTGAGCAGCTCCCCGCCCTCTGCCAGTATGAGCCGCACCAGTTTCCGGACGTCCACCATACACTGAGCCAGAGGACGGGTCTCCGGTACCGACAGCTGACCTGGGGACGCGACACAACTTCAACTCTGCGTAACTGCAGACATTTGTTGGTTATTTCATATACGGAGGGTACATCACAACCAGAAGGTGTGAATCGGGGTACAATCGTATACCACAAGTTTTCAGTAGTTGATACCAAATATGCAGAAAACCCAGTCATTCCTGAACACAGTTGTACCTTCTGGCGGGTAAACTGGGTTTGTTCCGTACCTTCTGGCGGGTAAACTGGGTGTGCTCCGTACCTTCTGGAGGGTAAACTGGGTGTGCTCCGTACCTTCAGGCGGGTACACCTGATCGGTGTAGGTGGTCAGGAGTCGGCCGCAGCTGCTCAGCACAAACGCCAGTCTCTGGAGGTCGTCCAGACTGGCGGCGTCCGGCCGGTCCCGACTGCCGCCGGAGTCTGACCGGTCCCGGGAGGTGCCGGCGTCGGGCCGGGAGCGGCAGGAGGCCACCACCAGTCGCCACGACCAGTCCGTCAGAGAGAGCAGCGCCTCGAAACACGCCTGGAGGCGGAGAGCGCCGGTCACAAGGGACGGTGATCCAGCTGACGACAGCCCCCTTTCCCCACCGACAAGTAGCCTCTCGTCTCGTCCTGTGTCTCATCTCACAGAGGCAGTCAGTGCTAGCCGGTGGCTGGCGTCCTCCGTCTCTAGATGGATACCCTCAGAGTGTCTCCCGTCCCTCGAGAGAGTGTATCTCGTCCCTCTTTTCCACCTTCCGTCCCCCAGCGTCTCCCCGGACCTCGGCCTGCCCCCAGCTCCCTCGTCCCTACTAGCCATTGTTCCCGTCCCCCGGCGTGTGTAGCCTACCCTCGGCGTCTTTCCCACTGACCGGTGTGACGGTGAGCGCCACGCGCGCCGACAGCGTGTGCACCGTGTCATCCAGGGCCGGCGCCGCCGCTGACACTGCCGTCTCGGGAGTCACCAGACGGTACAGCAGCTGCGGCAGCTGGCCAGCGTTCACGTCCGTGCCGTTATTGGAGCGCTTCGAGGATTTGAAGTAGAACACCACCCTGCGGAGCGGGAAGATCGTCAGGCGAGCACGGACCGGGGCTAGGCCAGGCGGAAGAGCGATTAAACCTCTACGGCAGTTTCCCGGCCTGAGCAATTGACTCAGCGCATCTCCTAGCCTTACGTGTCGTAACCGAACCTTAGCCGCATTGAAAAACAATGTTTGGGTCTATTCCTCGCAAAAGTCCGCCCCTTTCAGACCTTCCGCTGACCAAAACACATAAATCCAGAAACCTCGGACCCCCCCCCCCCCCCCACACACACACACCTTCGCTAGCAGCCATGATTCACGCAAACAACCCGGGACCCGCTCTCCGCCTCTACAGCCAGAATGTCAACAGCCTCAAGAGGAAGCTGGGCACTCTGCGAACGCACGCGGGAGAGCTGGCGGAGTTCGACGCCCTCTGCTTTGTAGAGACAAAGATGGCTCCCGGCCTGCCGACTGACTCTGAGCTGCAGCTGGGACTGGAAGGCTTCACCTGGTTCAGGCGCGACCGGACAGCGAACGGTGGTGGGGTGGCCTGTGCAGTTAAGGCCTCGCTGTCGCCCGTCCACAGACCCGATCTCGAGACGGACTGCGAGTCTCTGGTCGTCCAGCTCGGCTCCGGTCGAGCGGCCTACCTGGCAATCTGTTATCGGCCTCCAAGCCAGAATGAGGCAACGCAGAAAATCGCCGACCTCCTGCGGGGGCTACACGCTACTGGACACCCGTTTCTACTGACTGGCGACCTGAACCTGCCGGAGCTTACCTGGGAAGACGGAGAGCCGACCTACCGCAGCCGCACCGCCCGCGCCGAGCTGTTCATCGACGCGCTCACTACATGCGAGGCGGAGCAATCGGTGACGGCTCCGACGCGTGGCGGCAATTTTCTGGACCTTGTGGTGACTCGTGGTGGCGCGGCCCACTCCCGGGTCCGTGACAGGATCTTCGACGCTGACCACGAGGCGGTAGAAACTCGGTTCACGGTGGATCTGGGTGTCCCGCCCCGGGTGACCAGGACCAGAGTGTACAACTACAAGCGTGCGGACTTTGCTGCTCTGCGGCAGTCGCTGAGACTGCTTCCGTGGAGTGTGCTGTGGGATTTTAATGTGAACGATGCGACAATGATGTTCTACGATCTTACTTTTGCCGCTATTCAGGACTTTGTACCTTTGGTAGAGCTGCGTAGAAAGTACCCACCCTGGTATGATAGGACTGTTCGTGACCTCCTTAAACGTAAGGAGATGGCTCAAAAGCGTAAGAAAGTCAGTCCGACTGAAGAGAACATTCGGGCCCACTCCGCTGCCAGAGCTGACTTCAAGCGACAGGCCGATCAAAGCTACCGCTCATACCTACTAGGGTTAATACGAGAGTTTAAAGACAACCCGAAACGATACTGGTCTTTTGTAAAATCACTGAAGTCACATGCATCGGCGTCTCCTGTGCTCGAGTGGGGCGGGCGGGTCGCGACGGATGTGTTCGCTCGCGCTAACATATTTAATGCCTGTTTTGCAACTAAATTCAGTGCCCCGCACGCGGGTCCGCTGCCCGAGCCGCCGGTTCTGAACGCCCCAGGCCTCTCTGCTTTTGACGTGCCAGCGGGCCGCGTAGCTCAGCTGCTGCGCCAGCTCAGCCCACACAAGGCGTGTGGACCGGACGGACTAAGTGCTAGGATTATGCGTGAATGTGCGGATGAGCTTGCGGTCCCTCTTGAGATCATATGTAAACTGTCAGTGAGATCCGGAGTGTTTCCGACGACGTGGAAGCGGGCTAATGTGATTCCGGTATTCAAAAAGGGTTCCAAAAAACTCCCAGAAAACTACCGACCAGTCTCACTTTTGGCAATCAGTTCTAAAATCTTGGAAAAAGTTGTGTGTGAGGGCTTACTTCGTGCATGTCTGCCCGCTCTTCCAGACTCCCAACATGGGTTTCTTCCAAAACGTTCTTGCGTGACAAACCTGGCATGTTTTATGGATCACTGTTGGGTCTCACTGACAAAGGGCATGCAAACCGATACGATCTACACCGATTACTCTTCTGCTTTTACAAGTGTTAGTCATAGGCTACTTTTACACAAGCTTAGGCACTCTTTTAATATCACCGGTCTTGCATATAGCTGGATTGATTCTTACCTCAGCCACCGCTATCAGCGGGTCATTCTGGATGGCAAGCACTCGGACTGGATCCCTGTGCAATCTGGAGTTCCGGAAGGCAGCATTCTCGGTCCGATTCTCTTCACATGCTATGTAGCTGACCTTCCGTCTCAACTTCAGACCAGCTCACTGTCATATGCTGATGATGTCAAAATTTTCCACAGAATTCAATGTCCAGCGGACGTCAACTCTCTTCAGGCTGATCTAAGCCGTCTTAGTGACTGGTCAAAAACATGGCATCTTAGGCTCAATCCGGCTAAATGCAAGACCATCACCTTTACTTTACGTACATCTCCCATCGCATCATCATACTTTTTAGATGGTCACGAACTCGAGCGGTGTACGGAGATCAGAGATCTGGGTGTGATCCTGGACTCCAGGCTAACATTTGGCGCGCATGTTGACGCCTGTGTGAGCAAGGCCAACCGCATGCTAGGTCTACTTATGCGCAGCATGCAGGTCTCACACCGTACCCGGCTGCCGTACTTCGATCACCGGGCAGTCATGGCGGCGTACAATGCCCATGTCAGATCGGTTGTGGAATACGCGAGTGTCGTCTGGAGTGGCGCAGCACCTACTCACCTTGCGAGATTGGAGAGACTGCAACACCGTTACCTGATGTGGTTAGGCGCCAAGACACATAGCCGGTGCTCGATGGACTATGAGTCTCTCCTCCAACATTTTCACTGTATGTCCATCAAAGCTAGACTTGTTCAGACCGACCTGAAGTTCATACGCTCTGTGTTTGCCGGCCGACTGGACTGTGGGCTACTTGTGACTATGTTTTCGCTGCGTGTTCCTGGCCGGCGCTCTAGGCAGACGGGCTTGTTCAACGTACCTTTTGGACGGGTTGATACGGTGAAGAACGGCCTCGGCGTACGAGTCCCGAAACTAGTGAATGAGTTCCTGAACAAATATCCAGACGAGGATTTCTTTCAGCCTAGTCTCCACTGCACCGCGCGCATCCGTGCCTACGCACGAGGCCTTGGTACTTGTATGACGTAGTCACGTAGGCTGCTATTGTTTGCATTACTTTTATCTTTTGCATTTTTTACAGATCATGTGTCATTTTATTGTTCCTTTTTTATTGTATCTCAGTGTTTTGGCCTTTTGCCACTTTTATACGAGCTATTGCTGTCTTAAAGTGTCCCGCGGTTTTTGTCTGTGGTGGGTATAGGCATATGCATGTGCGTAGGCAGGTGTGATGAAATAGTGTGTGTCTTGTGTGTGTGCGTGTGTGCGTGTGCGTGTTTATATTTTACTTTGACCTCAGCCGTCATTGGGTTTTGCCTGTGGCTGACAATGCCTAATAAACAATAAACAAACAAGACCGTTCAACTGTAATTAAATCGCCTTCCCAGTAAGGATGCCCCCGTCCCGACTCACTGGTCCTCTCCGACGACCATGGTCTGTCCGTCCGACCCGCAGTCACTGGAGGGCCCCTCGACGCGCGCCCAGGCCAGGTACCAGCGGCCCGCCTGCAGCGAGGCCGGCTCCGGGAACAACACCTGGCGGATGGGGAGGTGGTGTCAGACGAGAGACGGAGCGGCGTCAGACGAGGGATGGGACAGCGTAACGCCAGAGCAAAGACGGGGGGGGGGAAGCGAGAAGAGCAGGGTGCACATCAAAAGGTATGTACAGCAATCACACTACACAATCATACTACATACAGCAATGACACTACAGTGTACAGCAGTCGTACTACAGAATAGTTCCAAGCTTGAAAAGCTTGCATGCGCCTCGACCAGTTTCACAGTTTTCTCTGTTTTGTTCACTTCCCAGCATCACTCACGATCTATAAAAACAGAATTACCACGCCTCTCTCAGTTTGTCGGCACTAAACTCCTGCCGTACCCGTCGCTCTCCCCCTGTGTCGGCCCGAGTTCACTCACCTGGTGCGTTTGTCGGGCGTTACACTCGTACACGACGTCGGCCGACTGTGCCAGCAGCTCCCCATCCGGCTCATGGTCACCGCCCTCCACGCCCAGGTCATACAGCTGCCGACAGAGGTCATACAGAGGTCATATAGAGGTCACAGAGAGGTTACCGCCCTCCACGCCGAAGTCATACAACGGCGTGACACCGATAATACGACAAAGGTTTAACAGTGTAGACAAAATCATGTCCAGTGGCAAGAGGGAGTCAGTTGATGGGCTCGATTTCTGCTGACCCTTCTTGACCCTCGGTCAGTCTGTATGACCTACCTTGACCCTGGCCTGGTACTGCCCGCGGCCGCCGTAGAGGCCGTAGCCCAGCAGCTGGATGTCGGCGTCACACATGAACCGGATGGCCTCCTCCGAGTGCGGCGAGTAGCCCCATCCGCCGCCGTAGTCTGTGGGGCACGGTCCGGATTATCAGAACACGGAAGGACTTACCAACTACAGACACACCGCGGAGAATCCATGACAGATGTAAAATGACGATAATAACTCAAGTTTATTGTACAAGACAAAGCTTTCGATACATAAAGTATCTTGATCACTGTCAATGAGATGTAGAATATTTGAAAATTCACAAGTAACAAAAACCGACGCAAGTCGTTGCATTTGATCAAGATACTTTATGTATCGAAAGCTTTGTCTTGTACAATAAACTTGAGTTATTATCGTCATTTTACACCGCGGAGAGCAAAGAAACAGAGCTCAAAAGAGGCATTACAGAGAAAGGGAGATAGCACGGACGAGCGCAGCACACCACAGAGAGATAGTCAAACACGCTCAAACGTTCACAGCTCTGTCTGAGCGGCCCGCACTCACTGTCGAAGCGGTGCACCATCTGAGCGTCGTCCCGGGGCGCGGGCGGCGGGCCGCAGCCGGCCGTGGCATCGGCCAGAGACGCCTGCTCGCCGTCAGCGTCGGCGGCCTGCCGCTCGGCGAGCACCGTCAGACAGCTGAGCAGGTTCAGCGCCACCTGTCGACAGACAGAGTCAGAGTCCAGTCAGACAGTTATAGAGTCCAGTCAGAGTCCACTCAGCACCGTCAGACAGCTGAGCAGGTTCAGCGCCACCTGTCGGCAGAGCCAAGGCTAGTTAGCAGACGCCACACCCTGCTCAGCTGACGATCACAGTCAGCAAACTGCCATCAGACCCACGTACAAGCACAGCAATCATCCGCTAGCACGCCCCAATGAGCAGCGACCAGATCCCCCCCGGAATGACCGACCTGACCCGTCCCCCGGTCACTAACCTGCGTCTCGGGCACCTGTCCGCCCGGTGTGACCGGCTTTGAGGAGTGACCTCACCCGTCCCCGGTCACTGACCTGCGTCTCGGGCACCTGTCCGCCCGGTGTGACCGGCTTTGAGGAGTGACCTCACCCGTCCCCGGTCACTGACCTGCGTCTCGGGCACCTGTCCGCCGGGTGTGACCGGCAGCGGACTGACTGACCCGTCTCCTGCTCACTGACCTGCGTCTCGGGCACCTGTCCGCCGGGTGTGACCGGCAGTGCCAGCTCTGCCGACAGCAGGTCCAGCTCGTGGGCCGGCCGCTCCGGTATCGCCGCCCGCAGCACGTTGTAACACCGCAGGCGCTGCGTGTCCGGCTCGAACCTGACGATAGGCGGCACCGGGTCAAAGTCAGATCACGGTCAGCTTAAAGTGATTCATGCGTCCAATCACCAAAGGTTAATAAAAGAGCGAGTCACGACTGTTCATGGCGGTAAAAGCCAGAAGTCAACATGTATTGTACGCTGAAATCGATAAAAGCAGGCAAATTACTAACTAATCTTCCAAGTCGAATAGTTCCCTGGCTAAGGAATTACTCGAAAGGTTTAGCACATGCTACCGATAATTGCACCGATAGCCAGACATCAGATCAATCGTCGCCCCTGCCCCTGCCTCTGTCACCTGGCCACCGACTCACGTCCACAGGTTGTCGTAGGCGTGGTCGAGCGCTGCCACCCGTCCGCCGGCCAGCGGCGCGTGCTCCTCGCCGCCGTACCCGCGACAGAACCGCTGCCGGCGGCTGATCATCAGCGACCCGAACGGCTGACGGTCGGCCGAGCAGCCCGTCGGGAGGATGCCTGAGGGAGGGGCGGGGGAGTCAGCTGATCATCAGCGACCCGAACGGCTGACGGTCGGCGGAGCAGCCCGTCGGGAGGATGCCTGGGGAGGGGCGGGGGAGTCAGCTGATGATCAGAGAGTCAGGCGGCTGACGGTTGGCCGAGCAGCCCGTCGGGAGGATGCCTGGGGAAGACGAGTGGTGACGTAAACGGAAGGAACGCAGCGTTCCCGACCGTAGACAGGAACGGACCGGGCAAATTCACGGCCGAATTAAATTAATGTCCTCGACAATTGACGCAAAGTAATTAACAATTATTGGCAACTAATAATATCCTAGCATATCTTCCTTGCCAAATAGGCAAGCAATAATGCAATTATACAGTTTAGAGCGGGCATTAGATCCGTAGAAGTTTCAAGCGTATAGGGATTGTGACTCATCAAATCAATCAGCCATGAACTACCGTATTCCCTCCGTCCTGTGCTAGCCCACCCTGCTCCTCTGACCGCCCCTCTGAGCCCCCCATGACTGACCGAGGAATCCGGCGTCTGCCACCACGGTGGCGGCAGAGAGCGTCTCGGCGTTCACCAGGCTCTCGTTGATCCGGATGAAGGTCTGGTCACCCGAGGCGCCCACCCACGTGGCCTTCCGTCCTGTGTGCAGAGTGACAGCGGGGTGGTCAGACGGCGGCAGGCACAGCCCGGAGAGCGCTAGGACGGTCGTTGTCACAACAGCACAGTGAGGAAAACGGAATGTCGTGGAGAGACTTAAATTAATCACAAAGGAGCAAAAACTACTTACAGAAGTTCGTACGTTTTCAAGACTAATGGAAAGCATCTCGTAGTTTAATCTTTAAAAGCGGGCTAGCTGCAGCAGGACAGCAAATTATTCGGGGACCTGGCTCATATGTGCCGGGTTTCGGAGGCTACCTCAGTCCGTAGTCCGTTACGTACCGTATCGCGCTCCGACCCCGGGCACCGGCTCCAGCGAGGCGAACCAGAGGCTGTCCGAGTCGGGTGGCGCGTCCGACGAGTCACTGGCGGCCGGCGGCGGGCGGCCCAGCTGGCCACGCTGGGAAAACGAAAACAGGGTGAACCTCCGCCGACAGACAGTCGCAAGGATCAAACCATCATCAGAGCCATGCCATCACATACGACAGCATACATCGGAACGGCCTACAGTAACATCAGGAACTACATAGGTACATTACCGTTTTGTGTCGACCTTAATTATAGTCAACCGTCCTCAACGTAATCACGAAGTTCGGCATCCTCCCGGATGTTTCCATTGCCCATAACGGGTGGCGCTGTTTGTGCCAGCAGCACCGTATGAGCTGCTACTGTGAGCATCTGGCTCACCTGGTGAGACCCGCAGGTGAGCACCTGGCCGTCGTCGGTGAGCAGTGGGTACTGTGGGAGTTATCTCGCCTGGTGAGAGCCGCAAGTGAGCACCTGTCCGTCGTCGGTGAGCAGTGGGTACTGCTACTGTATGAGTTATCTCACCTGGTGAGAGCCGCAGGTGAGCACCTGGCCGTCGTCGGTGAGCAGTGGGTACTGTGGGAGTTATCTCACCTGGTGAGAGCCGCAGGTGAGCACCTGTCCGTCGTCGGTGAGCAGTGGGTACTGTGTGAGTTATCTCACCTGGTGAGAGCCGCAGGTGAGCACCTGTCCGTCGTCGGTGAGAAGCACCGTGTGCCGACTGCCGGCGGCCGCCTGCACGAACCGGCCGCCGTGGGGACAGCGCAGTCGGCGCGGCGCGCAGCGGGCTGCCAGCGGCACACAGCCCAGCTGGCCACAGGCGTTACTGCCAAACACGTGCGCCGTGCCGTCCGCGTGAACCACCACTGCAACAGGAGACAGGGTCAAACACGGACTACCACTTGAACTTATCAAATCAATACTGCAAGGGGACGTCATGCGGTCAGACGGAGAACCAATGGAACGGCACACACAGCTTTACTTGCCACCACAGACTGCAATCTAAAACACGGTTAGATGGACCTACTAAGACCGTGGGTAGACACTGCACACAAACGGAGATGGATGGCCGGTGCCCGGCGGCGTTGAGCCTCGGCTGTACTTCTTCTAATACTGGACGTCAGAACCAGTTCCTCACCGGTGTGGTGGAGGCCGCAGGCCAGCTGGACGGCGGCGCTGTCCGTTCCCAGCTGCAGCCGCGCCGGCGGCAGCAGCGTCATCTTGGCCGCATCCCGCTCGTGGTCGCTGCTCATGACCTCGTCGGCGGCGGCGGGCCCGGCGGCACCACCCGCCGCCTCAGCAGAGCCTGCTGACGTAGGTATATATGGGGTTGGGGTAATGAGAGTGAGGAACACGGCACAACGAGGAGGTCTAGTGAGTTTATTAACAGTACATATGCAGCATAAAAATGACTTTAAACCACGAAGAAACCTATGGTACTCAAGATATTGCATCGCAAATAGCGAGAATCACCGCTAAGCGGTTATTTAGTAAATGGAAAACAGAGTAAGACCGAACTGACACACAGAGCCGCGCTGCCCGGATCTACTTACCGACGGTAAACTGGACCTTGGACGGGTCCCGCCGCTTCCTGGCGTTGTCCTCTCGGGCGGGCGGCTGGGTCCGGCCTGGAACGACGCTACAACGTTAGACAACGACGGCTGTTATATGAGCGACCCGAGCCAGCTAAGTACACCTTTAACCCGAACATCATGACTTCTTTTCCAGTGACATAGCAACAGGCTCCTAGATTAAAAATCAGGGTGTTTATCGGGCGGCAAATGAGAGACGTTTTATTCCGGTGGCCTGTTATAACACCCAGTCCCCAGTCCCCAGGCACCGTCTGCCGTTGGACTTTAAGCCGCCCTGACCGCCGTACCCTGGTTGTTTCGGAGAACGTTGACCACGTCGTCGAGCCCGGCGCTGGCCAGTCGGCGGGCGGCGGCGTCGGCGGCCGCCTGGAAGCCGTCGGCGCCGGCGGTGTCCGGCTCGGCGCAGAGCCGACAGGCGCCGCACTTGGCGCAGCCCGCCTGGCCCGGTCCGCAACCGCACACACTGCAGCGGGGAGCGGGGGGCGGGCAGGGGGCGGGCATGACGACAAATGCTCTCAATGTGATAGCTCATAGCCATGTGATAAATAAAGCACAACTTCAAAAATGTGAAATAACGAAAAATGACAATCTAAGAACTCGACGAACCAATGATTATTCTAGTTGATGATAGATCCGCCTCACAGCGTATCGTACCACTTTAGGCAATCGGACGATCACACAACGCATACTTCCTAATCGTTTGTTTAGTGACTTCTCAAATTGTACGTTCTCATTCCTGCATCCCGTACTATGTCCTCTGTTACGTGTCTTCCTGTCCCGACGTGTCCCCTGTCCCGCGTCTCATAACAATTGTGCATGCGTGTACTCACATGCCGGCGCCCTGTCAGCCCCGTGTACCGTTTATATCCACCTGTGTCATGACGTGTAGCTCAGTGTTGACCCCATGCCCTGTGTCGGTGCTGTACCCCGTATACTCACGTGCCGGGCACGCGGTCTGCCCTGTCGGAGCTGACGCACTGCGCTCCAAACTCCGTGCAGCGCAGACAAACCGTGCACACCATGCAGCTCTCCCGCAGGAAGGCGTGTCGGCCGGGCGGGCAGAGCAGCGGCGCGCCGGCCGCCGGCGCCGGGACCGCCGCCGCCGCCGCCGCCGCCGCCACGTCCCGGCCGCACTGGCCCTTGTTGTTCATGCCGAACGTGTACACGTGTCCGCGGCTAGAGAGCGCCACCACGTGCGCTTTGCCGAGCGCCACGTGAGTGACGCGCACGTCGCGCAGCTCGCCGACCAGGCCCGAGGTGCCCTCGCTGTGGATGCTGTCCTTGCCGAAGATGTACAGGTGGCCGGCGGAGGTGACCAGCGCCGAGGAGCCGTTGTTGCACGCCGCCTCGGTCACCACCTTGCCGTCCATCTTGGCCATGCGTTTGGGCCGCTGCGGCTTGGGCTGACGGCGCGCCTTGGCCACGTCGCCGTCCTCTCCGCGGCGCGCCGTGCCCACGAAGAAGGCGGCGCCGTCGTCTGTGAGCAGCACGGCGTGCTGTCCGTCGTGTCCGACACTGACGTGGCAGACGGTGGGCGCGCGCAGCAGCGGCAGCTCCAGCCACCGGGCGGCGGCCGGCGCAGCGCCGTCCCCGTCTGCAGCCGCCTGCTTCACGCCCAGACTGGAGGCTCGGCCCGAGTACAGCACCTGTGGAACATAGTCACTGACAGTCACTGCTTCACACCCAGACTGGAGGCACGGCCAGAGTACAGCACCTGTGGAACACAGTCACTGACAGTCACTGCTTCACACCCAGACTGGAGGCACGGCCCGAGTACAGCACCTGTGGAACATAGTCACTGACAGTCACTGCTTCACACCCAGACTGGAGGCACGGCCCGAGTACAGCACCTGTCCGACGGGCAGACCACAGTCACTGACAGTCACTGCTTCACACCCAGACTGGAGGCACGGCCCGAGTACAGCACCTGTGGAACATAGTCACTGACAGTCACTGTCGGTAACTGCTTCACACCCAGACTGGAGGCACGGCCAGAGTACAGCACCTGTCCGACGGGCAGACCACAGTCACTGACAGTCACTGCTTCACACCCAGACTGGAGGCTCGGCCAGAGTACAGCACCTGTCCGACGGGCAGACCACAGTCACTGACAGTCACTGCTTCACACCCAGACTGGAGGCACGGCCAGAGTACAGCACCTGTCCGACGGGCAGACCACAGTCACTGACAGTCACTGCTTCACACCCAGACTGGAGGCTCGGCCAGAGTACAGCACCTGTCCGACGGCCAGACCACAGTCACTGACAGTCACTGCTTCACACCCAGACTGGAGGCACGGCCAGAGTACAGCACCTGTCCGACGGGCAGACCACAGTCACTGACAGTCACTGCTTCACATCCAGACTGGAGGCTCGGCCAGAGTACAGCACCTGTCCGACGGGCAGACCACAGTCACTGACAGTCACTGCTTCACACCCAGACTGGAGGCACGGCCAGAGTACAGCACCTGTCCGACGGGCAGACCACAGTCACTGACAGTCACTGCTTCACACCCAGACTGGAGGCTCGGCCAGAGTACAGCACCTGTCCGACGGGCAGACCACAGTCACTGACAGTCACTGCTTCACACCCAGACTGGAGGCACGGCCAGAGTACAGCACCTGTCCGACGGGCAGACCACAGTCACTGACAATCACTGTCGGTAACTGCTTCACACCCAGACTGGAGGCACGGCCAGAGTACAGCACCTGTCCGACGGGCAGACCACAGTCACTGACAGTCACTGCTTCACACCCAGACTGGAGGCTCGGCCAGAGTACAGCACCTGTCCGACGGGCAGACCACAGTCACTGACAGTCACTGCTTCACACCCAGACTGGAGGCTCGGCCAGAGTACAGCACCTGTCCGACGGGCAGACCACAGTCACTGACAGTCACTGCTTCACACCCAGACTGGAGGCTCGGCCAGAGTACAGCACCTGTGGAACACAGTCACTGGGTGTTACTGCTTCACACCCAGACTGGAGGCTCGGCCAGAATACAGCACCTGTCCGAACAGACCACAGTCACTGACAATCACTGACAGTCACTGACAGTCACTGCTTCACACCCAGACTGGAGGCTCGGCCAGAGTAGAGCACCTGTCCGACGGAGGGACCATAATCACTCGGTGTCACTGGCAGTCACTGGCAGGTCATGCTTCACACCCAGACTAGGGGCTCGGCCAGAGTACAACACCAGTGTTCGGAGGAAACCCTCACTGCACACACTCACCAATGAAGACATGATGGAGCGAATCAGACTGCAGCGAGTCTCATTCAGAAGTCAATTCGTGACACAAACACATATTCTCAGGATCATGTTCAAGTGGTGCCGCGGCCCGCCGTTGGGCCGACGCTCACCTTTCCCTGAGCGGTGCGCAGCAGCGCGAAGTCCTTCCCGGCGGCAATGGAGACCATCTCGTCCTCCCAGCCCGAGTCGAGGTCGTACGTCTCCAGCCAGTCGCGCGAGAGGGGTGACACACCGAATACCTAGAGGACAGAACACGGAGGGTCACAGCGGCGACACCGGCAGCTGAAAAGCCACGCATCTGCAACATACACAACACACACATAATAGAGCAGAGTGAACCAGAGCCGCGACAAAATAACATTCCACACACTGATACAAAACTTATATAAGACGTGGGTCCCGTGTCAGACATTGATCAGATCATAGCCTTCTGAGACGTGCTCAGTGCCCAAGGCGTTCCCTGGGCGACCACCACTCGTCCTCCGTACCTGAGTTCGTTTTCTGACGAGCTGCAGACTGTGACTCTCCCGGTGGGTAACCGCCGACGACGTCACCTGGTAACTGTGTACGGCGAACGTGTCCTGAAGGAACAGCGACGACGGCCATTAGCGAATGGGCCCAGTAAATTATATTGAACATAGCATCACACCCGTCCGTCGTTTCCATCCTCAGGATAATCAAATCCTTCGCCTCCACGCCGCAACTCCTCAGTCCGGGCTGGACGTGCAACTTTATCTCATGCGGGCTGCTCCCTTGGAGCGGCATCGCTACTCCCGAGGGAGCGCACCCCGTAGCCGGGTGCAGTGAGTACCTTGGGGCTGGGTGGTCTGTCCTCTGGACGGGCTCAGCCCCAGTGACTCATTAGAGTGCCTGCCCAGATCAATGTCTCCCCCTAATTCCTATCATCCTTCCGACTCTGAAATGGACTTGTCAGACCAAAAGGGCCTAGCCCAACAAATCAAGCGAACATAACATGGGACAACACCTCAGAAATCTTTCCATACCTACTAGTTATACATGTAAGTCTGGTTGAGTACATGGGAGCAAAATAGTCCAGTTCTCATTAGTCGGCGCCCAGTGTTGCGGTCGTCACTCACGTCCTGCTGCGGCGTCAGCGCGCAGAGCCGGGAGCCGTCCGAGAACCAGCGGGAGCCCGACTGGACGGCCGGCAGCGAGAGCGACTCGCGGCGGCGCAGCTCGACCGGGTCCAGTCGGGTCAGACGGCCGCCGTCCGCCAGGTACAGACTCCGCTGAGGCAGACGAAAGCAAAACGGACGGTGTGACAACAGCAGGAAACGGCATAGGTACCGACAAGATAACATACAAGATAACAGCATGAGTAGATAAACGACAGAGCAGACATGTGACAAAATAGCACACGTTAGAAGATCACAGCACGTCCGTGTCAGTCATCAGACAGCCGCTATAGCCCCTCAAAATATGAAACTGTGTCCCTCAATGTGTTCCGTCACTCCGTGTGTGCGCCTGACTGACCTGGACACTGATGAGCTGCCCGCTGGTGATGTCCGTCGACCGGCCGTACACCTGACCCCGACTGGTGCCGCCGAACCCCGTACCGACGCTGTATAGCCCGGACGGGCAGCGGAGGTACAGCCGCGACCCGTCACAGGCCAGACTGACGGCGCCGGCGGCGGCCCCGGCGGCCGGGGACGCGCCGCTGCCGGGCAGGCGCAGCGTCACGGCCGGGCCGGCGGCGGCGGCGCGCGGCACGCCCTCCGTCAGCCAGTGCGGCCGCCGCTCGGCGCCGAGCAGCGCGGCCAGCACGGAGCGCTGCAGGGCGCACAGCGGCACCGGCAACTGCACGGTGCGCGGCCGGCCCTGCCCGGCCAGCAGCAGGGCGGCGGCGGCGCGCAGCAGGCCGCTCGTCTCCCCGCGGACCACCACCAGACTGAGCAGGCAGCTGCAGGCCGCCGCCGACAGCGCCGACTGCTGGCGCCGCCCGCTCAGCGACTGCAGCGACTCGTGCAGCTCGTCTGAGGGCGGGAAGGGGACGGGAAAGGTATGAAAACTGAAGCGGTGGAGCTCTCCTGCCTAACAGTCGAAGAACGACTGTCTAACAGTGGTGGCGGGGACGGTGCGGCGGTCGATCATGGAACAGTACTGTCTGACTGCAGTGACTAGCGAGTAAACTGCGGTCCGTCAGCTCGCGGTCAGTACAGAGGACGGGCACTGCAACAGTTCTCGATGCGTTTCTGCCTGCCCTCGTTTACGTACCGAGCAGCTGAGAGTCGTCAGCGCCGAGCGCCTCGGGCGGCAGTCCCTCGAGGACGGCTAGGAGCGCCCGCAGCGCGCGCAGACACACGTCTGGGTGCGAGTCGGCGCTGCTGCGCACCAGCTCGAACACGGTGCTGAGACCAACGCCGACCAGCTGTAAGGTGAAGTGATCAATTCAGACAGGAGGTGATGATGCCAGTAAAAGGGCATCATGAGTTAGCAGTATCATCATCTCATTCCACACATCAGGTGGGCATTATATGCGGTCGCCCGTTATCAGTCATCGGAGACCGGCGGCAGTACGGCCCGTACACCGACCTTTGGCAGCGGCGGCGGCGGCTCCGGGTCGGCGGCGGTCGGCGGCGGCGACTGGCCGCGGCCCGGCGGCTCGGGGGAGCCGGCCGGCGGCGCGGCGCAGCAGGAGCGCGCCTGGAGCGCCCGCCGCCGCTGCCGCTCGGCCACCAGCTGACGGACGGCGCAGAGCGCGGCGAACCAGCTGGCGCCGGCGGCCAGTGCCAGCGGCGGCCCGGGGGCGCCCTCAGCGGCCGACCACTGCAAGGAAAACAGCGTGGTCAGCATGGTGAAAAGATATCTGAAGACTGGACAGCCGAAACACTAACACAGCCAACACTAGACACTCTAAGTACTAGCAAAAAGGGGGCAAAGCTGAACTGCTGGTGGGAGCAGACCAAGGGCACAACAACTATGACAATCCTTTGGGAATCAGCTGAAAACCAAACAAAAGTCATTGGTCTTTATTTTGCTTCATCAATGTAGGTGCTAGAGATCATGGAAAGCTGGATGCATTTCTTCAAAGAAGTGAAAGCACTAACCACTGATGATATCAAATGTTAGCAGCACAAAGTCCAATGAACTTACCTCTGCATTGTCTTTGTCTGAAACTCTTCCTGGATCCCTAAACCTGGGGAAATGACATGCATGATTAAATGCTATATGGCAAGAATTAACATGAACATGTTGAGTGAAAGGTCACACATAAGAATTCCTAAAAATTGCATCAACATGCTACCATAAAGATACAAAAAGTTAAATACTTGTGTCAAAAGATTTAATCACTGTTGTTTGCTTTACCTAAATATAAAAAAACAAAAATTTTAGTTGCATCAAACATCAATTGTGCATAAATGCTAGCTGATCAGATTCAGGACTTTGCAAAAGAAAGACAATTTTAGACCATTTGGTTTTATGCCTTATTGCAACAAAAATGGATGTGATTGCAAGTTTTTATTTTAACAGGGCTACGGGTGACTTAGGCAAAATGTGATCATACCCATATTTCCTCAGGACAATGTTCTTGAACTCTTCTTGCAATTTGTCACTTAGCACCATGGCTTAATGTTCCTACAAAGCAAAAACCTGAAACAGAACATATAATTTTCACTCAATATAGCAAAACATTGCATTGCTGGTAAGAAGTTTAGGAAAATCATAGGTAGGAAGCATTTACAGAAATTTCAGCAAATCTTTGGTTTTCAGCAAAAACAAATTATCTAAAGAAGTGAATGGATTTTATATCTAGCTAAGAGTCCATTTGCTTTAGGTAATTGCTCAAAAGATAGGCACCTACTTCACTCATTATTTTCAGGATTAAAACTTGGACGGAATCAGGAATACAGGATGCTTTTGGGAGTTTTGAGTCAAGTATTACCACAAGCCTGATGATTGGTACATCTGGAGGCATGCATGATATCTTATTGAGTGTTTGAAACGAAATTACACCAGAAATTACATATATTTCACGATATCGATCTTCAATTTTCATGAACCGGCACGAATGTGACGAATGCGTCAACACATAGAGGCCAAATATTGATCCTTGCTTTTGAAAAGCAAAGCTCACTGGTCAGCAACAAACTTTTTTAGTGCCCCTGGCACAGCTTTAGCCCATGTAATTACCTTTAAATGATAAAATCACATTATTTAGAAGACAAAATAACACCTAGAGCACAACCCCGCCTCAGGGCAACATTGGTAAACATACGTCAAGAACTAATTCAATGTCAAGTCAACTTGGGTGTCAAATTTATTTTTGAAAGATTGAAGTCTTTTATTCAAGCTATGAGTACACAACTATTCTATACAAGGATTGAAACCGACAGTGAAATTGAAAAATGTTTTGCTCTACGTGCTATAAAGACTCTTGATAGTCACGTGTTCCGTATGCCGCCGTTGATTGGTTGTTTTTGGAATATTTTCCAGCCCGTGCGGTTCAAATGCGTCGAAGGGTCCGGTGTCCGCCACGCTAGTTTGTGACTTAATTTTTACTTTTTCGTGGGTGACGGTGATGTTGGAAATAATTTTTATGTAAAGTCTTATTGGCTGTGAAGCCCGTGGCGAAGTGCCAAGCTTCTGTACCGGCATTTATCAGCGTGGTGAGTACCTGACTGATGGCGTAACGGCTGGGGCTCAAGCTCATTGCAATTCAAATTGGCGTCGCCATCGCTATCACGATTTTTTTCTCAATAATTTTGATGTTCAGTGAATGGAAATCTTCAATAACTTTTTCAAAGTTATAAGCATATGGACTGAGGATCCAATGTCCTAAATGTACTCCCCCCCCCCCCCCCGGTGATTTCCTCCATTTTCGCGATTTTCTCGAGTACAAGTAGGTAAGTTGAAGTACGCCTGAACGGATCTGGCCGAAGAAGCATGTTTTTTATCATCTCTCGGGACAATTGTAAAAATTCGGTATCAAACGATGACCTGATGATGTGACCTCTGACCTTATCTTGACCCTCGCCCTTATTTGCCTTCTTTACAGCGTCTAGCTTGGCCGTGTTTTACGGCATGACGCTAACGGTATCGTGGTATTGGGTTTTCAAACTTTTCATTGAAGCATCAACAAACTTTGACGCTCTAATAATGAGTGAAGTCATAGTCGTTACATTAGTAGTTCAAGCTGACGCTTTTGGAGAAGGGAAAAGCTGCGGTTCCGGTTGGGCTCCAGGGCTGGGCCGGTTTTATAAAGCCTTGGTTGGGCCCTGGGCCCAAGTCGCATGACATCTTACGTATCATCACGAACTATGAAGTCAGCTCTCGCAATACCGTAGCGTCAGGTAGCGTCCGTCATGCGCTGAAGCACGGCCGCTGGCCCTGTTGCCCAACGATTGCTCAACGACTTAACCGTCTCCATTTCACAGTTCCAACTACTCAGAAGCCCGACCGAAGCATATTCACTAACCCAAACATGCTGACACCGTTCCCGCCCGTGCTTTCCAGAGGGCGAGTTTTGCGTCGCGCCAGTTACTCTGACGAATATGGCCGGGAACGACGGTGGCAACAACCGGATCGCCGACCTGATGCAGGGTAACCAGCTGACTTTCGGCGGCTTCGGCATCGCCAGCTGGCGCGCCGACAGCGAGGCTGGCTTCCAGGTCTACGTGGACGACGAGGCGCCGCAGCCGGCCGCGCCGCGCGCCGCCAAGGTGTACCGCGCGCCGGCAAACGACGAGAACCGGCCGCCGGCCGAGCTGCGGCCGCGCGCCAAAACCTACAGCCAGGCGGCGGCCGTCTTCACTGACAAGGAGAACCAGGCGCCGGCGGCGCGGCCGCCGCTCGGCGCCGCCTCCTGCAGCTTCCAGGTGTACACGGACCCGGAGGAGGCGCCGCCGGCGCCGCGGCGGGCCAAGACCTACGGCCAGGCGGCTGCCGGCGCGCCGCAGCAGCCGGCCGGCCGGCAGCCGCTGGCCGCGCGGCCCGACCCCGAGCGGCCGGCGCGCGCCCAGCAGCGCAAACAGAAGCTGCGCCAGCGGCCGCTGGAGGAGCAGCAGCACAACACCAAGCGGGCGGCGCTGCAGCCGCTGCCGGTGGTGCCGCCGGCCGGCCGGCTACCCTGCCTGTTCTCCATCTACCAGGACCCGGAGCCGGCGGGTGCGGCCGCGGCGGCCCCCGCTACCGCCTGGCCGGCGCCGCCGGACGTGCACGAGGCGCTGCTGCGGCCGGCTCCTAGCGCCTCGGCCTCCGCCGCAGTCCTGGAGCCGGCCGTGCTGTACGAGGCGCCGATGGCCTCACCCGAGTCGCTGCACTCATCACTGGACAGTATCAGCATCAGCCCGCGCCGCGGCCGGCTGGACGCGCTCTTCTCGTACGAGGAGTACGCTGCCGACCTGTACCTGATTATGCGCCAGTTGGAGGTGAGACTCGTCACCCAGCCGACAGCAGTGGTCACGTGCTCGGCACACGGCGGTAGCACGCACGCCATAAGCATCACGAGTCGTACCTACTTACGCTACCGTACCTTTTTTATCGAATTTGCTAAAAGCAGCCCATGTGGCTGGGCGAAAACGATTGTTTCATTGTTCTGCAAGCATTCCAATTTTTACGCTAGCTTTTGAACTAAGTCTTTTGATCGTTCTCAAAGTGATTGATCGATCACTCTTGCGTTGGGATGACTAATCATTGTAGGTGCTATCTGCATAACGCTCAATAAATCAATCATCGAACAAAAAAATGACAAAATGACCTATCGATTCAGTTAGGACAAATGCCTCCTGAAGAACGTGACTCCATTGACCCGTAGCCCGTCGTATAACCGTGCGTCCGTCCCGTCCCGTACAGCTGGAGCACCGCGCCCGGCCCGACTTCATGTCTCGCCAGCCGGACATAACGGTCACGATGCGCTCCATCCTGGTCGACTGGCTGGTGGAGGTCAATGACGAGTACAAGCTCAACTCGGAGACGCTCCACCTGGCGGTCAACTACATCGACCGCTTCCTCAGTGTGATGACGGTGGTGCGCGCCAAGCTGCAGCTGGTCGGCACCACGGCGCTCTTCATCGCATCGTGAGTCAATGACTGCCCATCTCAAGTCCTGGGATACGCACCAATGGTAGATTACAGGCCGATGACTCAGCTGTCGCGGCTGCCTTGGATATTTTACAAGTGTACTTTTATGGTGTTGATGTTTTATTTCGATCTACGTCAGCTACCTGCTCAGGATAAAAACGTTGACACCCTCCGTTCTGATTGAAAAAAAAATTGTCATGTATTGGACTGAACGTGCGTCTGTGTTGCGTCTATAAGTAGCGTCCGTTTTCCGGCCGTCTGTTTAGTGATCGCCGAGTGACTCGATATTCTGGTACGGCAGGAAATTCGAGGAGATTTATCCGCCGACGGTGAAGGAGTTTGTCTACATCACCGACGACACGTACACGGACACCCAGCTGAAGCGCATGGAGCACGTGATGCTGAAGATGCTGGCGTTCGACATGTCTGCGCCCACCTCCAATTGGTTTCTCAACTATTTCATAGATAACGGCGGCGCCGGAGAGGACACCGTCAGGCACCTGGCTCAGGTCGGTCGCAGCTCTGCTGCTGCTCGTCAGTCTGCTAAGGACTCAGTTTGTTGAGAAGCTTTATGCTGTCCATTTCATTTGGCATGCACAGATTCTAGTGGCATAACTTTGTGAGACGTTAATTGATATGCACGATTAAAACGTAGTTTTGAGTGATCCTATTACAAATAAAATGGGTACAGTGTCCCAAAATTGCATTTGGGGTTGGGTGTCAGAGGGAGAAATTCCTCACCAAATAAGGAGATAAGAGTGGAAAATTGCCGGCCAGCTGCATCCCAAAAAGAGTGAAAAAGGTCAATATCCTACATTTGTATGCATTGTCATATAGGTATTAGGTAACGTATGTTATAAAATGAACATCCGCTCGAATGCTTTTTTCATTACAATTAGGAGTGGAAAATCGATCTAAAAAGAACGTGAGAGTGAAAAATGATTTTCATTTGGATGTCAGTTCCCACCCAAATTGACAAATTTTGGGACACTGAATGGGTAAGGGCGTTGTTGCTGACAGTAATGTTGATCTGCCGATATGTGACACCGGTTAGCCTGTCTGTGTTCTACTGGCTCCGATCTCGGTCGGCCGGGTCTGACCGCTGTCCCTCCGCCGGGTCTAATCTCTGTCCGTCTCCACCGGCCGCAGTTTCTGGTGGAGCTGACGCTGGTCCAGTACCCGATCTGTAACAAGTACGTCAGCTCGGTACAGGCGGCGTCGGCACTGTGTGTGGCGCGCTTCTGCTGCGGCCACGTGCCCTGGACCCCGGCGCTGGAGCGGCTCACTGGGTAGGTCACCGTCCGGGCCGAAAACGGGCTATGTGCTCTGAGGCTGTAGTGGCAGATGTTTGAAAATAGCATAATATTACAGTTGTGGTATTTGAAAAGACTTTGAAACGGCACAACACGGGCCTGACTATCGAATGCAGTTTTAAAATTGGGGGTGGGGGGTGATTATCCGGCGCCTGTCCCGCCTGCTCCGTCATCTCACTTGCCGGCTGATGCTATAACTGCATTCAGTCGAACTTGGTCGCAGCCCACCGACCTAACCTAACTATCGAAAAGCAATATATCGAGCCGTATAAGTGCCTTACCGTAAAATGTAAATAGTATGTACGGCGAGGTGACTCACCTCCTGTCATGTTGTGCTTTGCTATCACAACCGGTGTCGGCTATTGGGCTGTGGCGCTGTGCTATGAGTTGGTTGCGCCCTCTGTCGTGTTGTGCTCTGCTGTGACGCCCTCTGTCGTGTAATTGTGCTCTGCTGTGACACCTCTCGTCCCGTCCTGCAGGCTGGGCCGGGAGCAGCTCCGGCCGTGTGTCCAGGAACTGGTGGCCGTGTACCAGATGGCGCGCGACCTACCGCAACAGGCCGTGATCGATAAGTTTTCCAAGGACAAGTTCCTGAGCGTGGCGCAGCTGGAGCCGCCGGCCGCGTTCGTCTGGGACTGAGGGAGCGCGGTCAGCCGCCAGTCTCTGATCTCACGCGTTTCACTCACGGTACTCAACCCGCTACTTACCCAGCCCGGCCGGGCGGTGCCCCGTGCCGTTTTAGCCTCCGACCCAGCGCCGTACGGCTGTACGGCGCCGCACGCGAAACGACCTCCACTCCGCGACCGCCGGCCGCCCGCCGGCGCCTTCACCCGCTGCCGCTTCTCATGACTGTCGCCGTGTGTTTCAGACAAATGGTTTTACGCTACGCATGTCGACGTGTCGATGCCTGTCTCGTTTTAGAGTGAGTGTTTAGCTCGTGCGCATGTGTCGTGCCGACCGAGACAGCCCCGGTCGGCGGGGCGCCTTTTTAGCTGAGAACTTTAGTGCAAGGAGCGTTGTTTGGCTGCCCAGTGCAGTCTGACCCCATTGGACTCAGAGTGGCTCTCACTTACGGCCTATCGGTCACACAGTGAGATGCGCTATAGCCAGGGAGTCGATCGATTCAAAGTGCAAATCCCCTTGTTTGCGCCGTGGTTGTATGGTTAAACTGTGGTGTACATACGAATTTGCTACAAAATATAAATGTGAGAGTATTATCCTCAGCTCTTTCACTAAAACTTTAGGCCCGGGGAAAATTTGTCTCCAAAAGTAGGTCGAAACAGCTTGAACTTGTGCTGTTCAGCGCTCGTTCCTGCTGCCAGATGTATCTGTTTTGCGACTGCTCGATGGGTAAACTCAGTAGGTGGCGCTGGAAGCGGCGCTGGCCGGTGCGTCTTTCTCCGTAGTGCAGGAAGACGACGAACAGTTCTATTGGTTTAGGATTCGCCAGGAAGGACCAAATGCAAGGACATTACTTCCGCTGGCCCTCAGCGCCCATCTTGGGTTTTTACATTCGAGGTGCGAGAGCAGGCGTCCCTTCCTGAGAATTGTAGCCGCTACGATCGCGTTACTGGAGGTTCCGAATACCTACGTGGCTAACTTCTACCTTTGGGTCATTAACATGCTTAGTGCCTATCGGCTGATGTAAACTTATTCTGATGAAAGTAGACAGGTTGAAAGTGTAAATGCAGCAAGGAGCTTTTGTTAATAATCTCTAGTCGTTAAATCGTTAATGAGAAAAATGCTGCTATATTTTTGAATGTTTGTAGCCCTTGAAAAACCCAGAGGTGGGCATCGCTACCGAAATTTGGGAACCGCTACCGCTACCTTCCGCAACCTGAGGTACCCAAAGCGCAATCGCAACTCCGAAACTATTTTGCAGATCGTAAAACCGCAACTCGCAACTCCGCTACTGACCTCTATTAGGTACCTATCTTCAAGTTTTGGTTCAGAAGTGCAGTGTTATCGTTATGTCTCATTTTGGCCGCCAGGGGTCAAAAAACGCCAAAATAGTCAATATTGACCAAACTGCAAACATGTTTTTTTCGGGCATAACTTCTCACATAATAAAGCTAGGTCAATAATGTAATCACCATAGCAGTCTTGACGAGATAAACTTGTCCACTAACTCTCGCTTCAATCCTGTATCTCGGTCCCGGTAGCGGTTGCGCTTTAGAATTTTTCGCTTCCGCAACTCGCAACCCCGCAACTTTTTGGGCTCGGTACCCGATCCGTAACTCCGCTACCAAGAGGGCAGTCCGCAAGTTGTGAACCCGCGCCCCAGTGGCGGTCTCAGCCAACTTCGCCCTAGTGGGGGGGGGGGGGGGGGCATATGTTACCACCCACCTCTAACTTAAAACCTAAGAGGGCTAGAAAGACGCGGTAAAAAGCAGTTGATAGCTCTCAATGCGTACCTGCGTTTGAAAGTATTTCAGTCATTTTTCATCTTAGAGCAATATTGGGGTCACCAGAGGTCATCAAAGGTCAAAATTTGCCAATGCTCATTACGGAGCGAGCGAAGCGAGCGTAGTCTTTCCTTAAAAATGAAAAAAATTGAAATTTCTGAGTATGAGCGGCCGGCCGGCCGGCCGGCCGTGCGGACGCTTTTGCGAGGCTTATATCTCAGCAACCACTTGACCGATTTACACGCGGTAATTTTTGTAGGGTAGCTTCATTCCTTCTACCAAGTATTGGACTATTCCCGATGCATGTGGATGACCCCTTATGCACGAACCACGTGCAAAACGAAGAGGTGTCAGTTTTGTAATTGTTGCAATATCTCGGTAACTACTTGACCGATTGCGCTGAAAGTTGGCATGTAGGTAGGCACCCACTAGGCACTGCATATCCATGTGCCAGAGTTGGGGTGCTGGCTGCTGCTGCACGTGCGCACGTGCACGGGTCGTTCCAGATCTCGAGAACGGCTGGACCGATGGCGCTCAGATTTGGTACACGGTTAGTGTCTAGTGACCAGTTAGTAGGGTGCCGTGCACAAGTCAGTTGGGACCCATTTTGCACGTGCGCACGTGCAGGGTGCTGCCGCTCCCAAATCTCGAGAACGGCTGGGCCGATTGTGCTCAAATTTGGCACATCGCTAGAAACCGGTCAGTAGGGTGCCGTGCACAAGTCACTTGGAGGTACCCCCTCGAAATTTCGCACCTGCAAGACTTACCCCCTCGCTCGCTCCGTTAGTCGCCCCAAAAGGCGCTATACTGGTCATATTTTTCAGAAAACATGCCGTTATCCCAGGAACTATGGTAGCTAGAAAAACGCATAGAAAAGCAATCGATAGCTTTTGAACTCTTCTTTTGATAAGATCATTATCAAATTGACCTCAGGTCAACGGTTTAGCCTCCAGAGGGCAAAAACTCCAAAAATAGCTGTTTTTACGAAAAGAGTTTTTCGACAATAACTTTCAACTACAAAAAGCCACGACATTTCTATTGCCAAAATCGTGTTTCTCTCACCGAGACGCGTCGAATGAACGAATTTGACCTTGAAAGGTCAACTTGAAAATTTGACCTCAGGTCAAGGTCATGACCTGACCGGAAAAGGTCATGTTGCATATCAGTCGATGCGTCTCGGCAAGACAAACACAATGAGACCATCCCCAGCGTTCTATCTCTTTCCAATCGCGAGTTATTGGCAACAATCTGTTTGTAGCCTCAAATGACCTCGGATGACCTTTCTAGAGGCTATCAGCAAAAATAACACCTTGGTCATCATGGGTGGTCCAAATCACTGTGATTCTGAAATATTTGGACTGCTCATATGCGTACACACGGATCTAGAGGCATTTTCATTTTTCTCCATTGTCTTGTAATGGAAAGGTCACGCCACTGACCTGACCTTAGGTCACGGATATAAAAAATCCGAGATATACAAATTGTAGGCGCCCATAACATCATGCAATCCACCAAGTTTAAAACCTTTCTGACATACACTGCAGGCTGGACATGATTGCAAACTTTTTTAGGCTTGGTCAGTTAACTTGACCTGGTGACCTGACCTGACATAACCTGGGGTCAAAAATTTCACACATTGTCCAAAATTGATATACCGAAAGCTACCCCAAGCGGCGCGGCGCTACGCGCCGCGGTTTTTTATTTGCACGCAAAAAACGCGACAGGGTGGTAACATATGCCCCCCCCCCACTGGGGTGAAGGTTAAAGGGACCCTCCCACCTTCAAAAAAGTTTATGAATTGGCATGAAAGTGATGTCGCTCGGTTCAGAAAGAGCTAAAACGAATATCTACCAAATTTCATCGAAAAATATTCACCGGTTTTCAAGATATTAGACTTTTACTTTTGTTTACTTTTTGGGATCTCCGCTGTTCCTAGCGACTTTATTTAAAAGTGCGGCATTTGTTGCGCGCAACGCAGCATATTCCACCGCGTGCTACAAAACGTTTTAGTCAAACATTTAAAAATCGTTAGACATCTGCGCTGACGCCACACATTCAGAGGGGTATTCCTATGCATTAGCCCCTCTGAATCAAAATGCTGCAATTTTGAAATTCAATATTTCCGATTTAAGGCATTTCTCGATGTTGTGAGTGCCGAAACCGGTTATTGTGAGCCAGGGACCCCATTTTGGCTATCTCAACTCAAATCTAATGTTAAGGTGGGAGGGTCCCTTTAAACGGTCACCTTTGGTCACCAACGGAAAGGTGTACTTCCTCGTATTACGTTGTAGGTTTGTACATACCAGGGCTGCGGAGTCGATGGATTTTCGGCGACTCCGACTCCGACTCCGACTCCGGCTTTCAAAACCAGCTCCGACTCCGACTCCGGGCAGAATTGTCGACTCCGACCGACTCCAACTCCCGACTCCGACTCCGCAGACCTAGCAGGGCTGCGGAGTCGACAGATATTCGGTGACTCCGACTCCGACTCCGGCTCGGGTTTCTAAAATCGACTCCAACTCCGACTCCGACTCCGGTCACAACTGTCGACTCCGACTCCGACTCCGACTCCGACTCCGACTCCGCAGCCCTGGACTACATACCACACACGGGGTCGACCATATACCCCGTGATCTGGCAGGGTCACCGGTAGTCTGGACCAGGATGGGGAACTGTTGAAACGGCGTTTAGCGCTGGGAATCCTGTCTCAAGCACCTGGAGACATGATTTCACATCGTACTAGGAAGGTCCACAGTGCCTAGTTATTGCAATCCTTGTGCGACGATGAGGCCGCTAAGGTCCGTTAGTTAAGTCATCAGTGTTTTCGTCAATAGGTATCTCCCTACAAACTTGAATTAGGGAGTTAAGATAAAGAAATGTCGACCAATTAAATCCGAATGGGATGTCGAATCAAATGACAAGAATACGACCTCCATTCACCAGCTCTGACCTGACTTTGACCTAATGAGGTCAACAACCTTTCCTAAACTTAGTCTATTCTTCGGGGCTGTATAGTGCATTGGGTGACGGGATGTCAATCTGCAGACTGCAACTATTTCTATCTGTACAACTATTCGCCAAAAATATGACTTCTCGACCTGACCTAGGCCATCGGTCGATCGAGAAGTCGGATATCAACATAGTGGCTGACTGACCGACTCCGACCCAATATTGCTTTTCCTATATAAAACTTTTGACGAAAATGGCCACCCAAGCCGGATGCTATCAACATCCAACGAATAAAAGTAGCCAGGTGTTTGGCAGAGACTTCAGTGACGTGTTCTTATCTTCGACTGCTCCGGCAGCCCGTATCGATTGAGCATTCCGTCCCCGGCTCCGAAAAAAAATATATCGGTGACTTCGGCTCGGCTCCGGGGAAAACGCACTGGCATAAACACAACGCAGACGGAAAATGCGATCGACTCGAATCGGGAACTGAAACGAAACGGGAACTCCCAACTCCGACTCCCAAGCGTAACTTGGCTGGGCTCGTGTCACATGCGAGCCGGGGCGGTAATAGGACTAAGGCTCCAAGAAACGCAGCACTTATCATCCTGCGTGTCGTTTTCCCTGCACCGTGACGAGGGAGGGAGGGCGTTTTGACGCTCCGTTTGACGTTTTGCGTGGCCAGTAGACGCCGCCCCCGTGTGCCCTGTGCGCGCTCCGGTGAGCCCTGCGCCTATCCCCTGCGCCTATCCCCTGCGTGCCCGTGCGGCCGCCGCGCCGGGCCGCCCGCGTCAGTCGCCCGTGGAGTTCTGTGCTGGTCGGTCGGCCCGCCGCGGAGCGCTGTGTGACTCACCGGACTCGGCGGCGGCAGCGCGCACCCGGCGTGGGAACGTTCCGAGCACCGTGGGAAAATGACGGTAGGTGGCCGGCGGGCTCAGGTGCGCGCCGTGGGAGGGGGGGCGGACGGGTGTCTCGGTCGTCCGGTACTGTCCCTGCACAGCGCTCCGGACCGGCTGTCAGTGGAGATACGCGCCTCTACCGGTGTCCGTGTACTCGCTGTGAGACTGCAGTCTGCGTGGTGACCGGTGGGAGGGGTTGTGTGTGCCAGGGTAGCTGTCGATCGCCGTCGCTGGTGGGAGGGCCGTACACCAAGGGGCGTGCCTCTGGTCACCTGGTGAGTGACCCATCAGCGTCAGCGTTTGGTATAGCTTGGCGTTTTCAGGGTTAATTGAATTCATAGTATCTCAGTTTTACCGAATTTAATTTTGATGCAAGGAGTTCTGGTTGGCTGTAACGTTTAGGTATGCAGTGTAACCATAGGCACCTGACTGCGTTACCTGCATTTGCCTCCATTTTATTTGCGCACTGACCTATCATTTATGAGAAGTCGAACATTACGTTTTCTATTCCTGACTATTAATAGTTCAAATTGCATTATCTTTACCGTTTAAATATGCTGTTTAACTGTTTAAGTAGTTAATTGCCCAATGCCCACTATGATAGCAGCAGGGGTTGAGGGATCATCATGCTGATGCTCCAGCCCGTTCTACATTGCCCGTTCTACATTCTACAATTAAAACAAATACTACTGTCGGTTATTTTTCAACACACAATTGTGAATACTGAATAGGTGCACTTTCGGTGCATACCTAAATCGTAAATGTAAACCAAGGTTCTTGAGTAACTTTTATCTAAGCAAGTTTTCTCTGTTATCTGTCGGTCGCTGCCGAGATCCAGCGTGCCGGACGTTTTTAATTTTCGCAGAGCTGCAGTGCACGATTCAACAAAGACGGTTCTCGCGGTACTCCCTGCAGGCTGGTTTTCTGATTTCTCTTTTAGGATCACTTGCAACGCTTCATTTGTGACGTTATGCTTGCAGCAGAGAGCATGCTTTGAAATGAAAAGGAAGAAAACCGATTGAGCAGCATGATAACGTGCTTCGTTTGGAAACTGTCCGGTTCAGGTTTTCAGAATTTAACACCTTCTTTAAAGGTTTATTTTGTAAGTTAACTTTGCAATAATTTTAAGCGCAAAATGTAATTAATGCGCTGGGCATTGGGTGGGCCTGGCAATTTGTTTGGAGATTCCCAAATGCAGGGGCGCGGGAACTACTTTCCGACTGGGGGGGCACACCATAATAGAGATTAACCTAGGGTACCCCCAAATCTAGTTTTCTCACCAGTTTTAGGCCACTTATTTTTCACCCCTCGGCTTTTTCAACAAAAAAGAAAACATTTGAAAAAAAGTGTGGTATTCCGTCTCAAAGCTGTGGGGGCACCGCCCCCACGGCCCCAGAGTTGGGGGGGGGGGCAAGCTGCCCCCACTGCCCCCCCCCGGCTCCCGCGCCTATGCCCAAATGTTTACCACAAATATTGAATTATTATAGAAAATAAGTCACATTCCTACCAGAGTCCCGGGGTTCCAGGACGGAGATATTCTGCACGGATGGTGAGTTATGGCGATATCCAGAGAGTCGCGCGGGCTCCCGGTCGCCCCATCCCACCCCGGTCCGATGACAGTTTCGCGGCCCCTCCGCCCACGACCCCGGCAGCCGGGCTGTGAGCCCCCCACCGACCGTTACTGGCCTTCGTGTGGCACGTGCCGTCGGACCATTCAAACGGCGCCGCCACAATACGGCAGCTGGCGCCCCGGCGTCCTCCGACCGTCCCCCTCCCCCTCCCCCACCGTGACTGGATCGGGACACGGCGCTGAACTGGGGAAGAGGGGAGGGGAGGGGTCAGTCGCCGATACGGCCGGAACAATAATCCGGGCGAGACACGAGCAGCTCCATTTCAAATGATTTTCAGCGTCAATATGGCACCAGGGGAGCCCCAAGAGGGACGATATTCGGAACCATCCTACTGCGCAGTTCTCAGGATTATTGGAATTTTTAAGTCATACCTCAACCCGGGGAGAAGTTTGAGATGACTGCCGCCTACCGAGGCTTGCATAACCCTTCAGCTAACACGCTGGCTGTTTGGAGCTCCTTGCGAATCTCGTGTGCCGGTCCTAGAACATGCATGCTAGGCCCAGCCCGATCTGCCGGAGACTGACGCCTGACTCTGCCATGGGAGTCTGCACTTTTTATTTCAAATAGATCACTGTGGCTGTTTCAAATGCCCTTCAGATCGCAATGGCTTTTTGCCATGAACATCGAGCGTGCTACAAGAAGTGCGGAAACCGCCTTCCATGTCAACCAAGCTTGATGCACGGTTACGCGGCAGCATAAACCTCTTATACGCACTATCTACGAGTATGTCAATGTAGTGCCTAAGTGCGGCACTGCGCAGCTTCACGGGGCGGCCTAATGCAATCGGCATCTCTTTTTCGCTGCACTCGCTCCTACAGTCTCTCGTTAGATTTCGTTTTTATCCCTGAGGCTCTCCGTCGACGCACATTGGTCCGTGGTGTCCAGATCTGTCGGCGACTGATGAGCTGATTAGGTGCCGGAGCCGCGCACTGCCCGTCTCTGCAGCGCCGCCCCGGCCGTTCCCACGGTGTCCGCCTTTTCCCACGCCATCCGCCGGCTCCCACGGCCGGTCTCCGCGCCGCCGCTTCCTGCCGCGCACCGACCGATTGCCGGCCTAATCAGACCATCGGCCAGCGCCGGCGACTTATGCGTGAAATGCCGCTCAGCGCTGCACTGCACGCCGTACTCTGCAAGTGCAGCCGGCACGGTATCGTATCGTACGGGGCCGTCAGAGGCCGGTGCCGCAGATCAGTCGGCGCCCGTTCAGGCACCGTCTCGGGTCGCCGAGAGTCGAGGCTGCTCGGTGCAAACAGCCCGGCGCTCACCCGTCTGTTTGGACAGGAGACTGATTATAAAAACAGCGCGCCGGCGCCGGGCGCCCGGCCGGCTCCGGTGTCCCCACGCCGCTACCGCCGGCGCCGTTCCCACGATGTCGGTTTCCGGCGGAGTCCGGTAGGTGGCGCGCCCGGCGGCGTGGGAACGGCCCGCCGTCTCCCACCAGTCGGCCGGCCGGCGCGGCGCTAATAGCCGACATCCTGCGCGCGGCGCGTGGCTCCCGCCGCGCCGCGCGGCGTGCGCCGGAAGGTGTTCGACTGGGGAAATGAGCCTGCTCAGCGCTGGACGGTACTAAGTACCGGCGGCCGGAGAGGCGCGGGCGGGCGCCCCGACCGCCAGGTGACCGGCCTGCTCCCGGCGGCGGCAGACGCCCGGCACATAATGGAGCGCCGGACGGCTATAACGCCGCCGGCGCGCCGGAAATTGAACAGCTTAATAACTACCTCCGGTCTGAATGAATAGCGCCTCATCAGGTCATCCACAGCATTCAGCAACGATGGGAAAAAGGAATGCTGTACCTGTGCTTCCTCCTCAGCAGCGCAGTTGCTTGATAGTTGTTTTGCATGGACATGGCACATTCTGGATCCACTTAATGTGACCAATGTCAACTCACAAGACATAATTGATAATTTTAATGCGATCTTATCCCGACATTTTCTCTGGGTATTTTCACACATCTAGTGTTTTGGTCTCGTCCCTCGGCACCCCTCCCGAGTCCGGGGTGCGGTCCCACCCTCGGCGGCGGGGCGGGCTCCTGCGGCGGCCCATAGCTCATACAGTCATACTCCGCCCCCGGTCCCACGGTTGGGGCGGTCAGCTGTGCGGGGCGGGCAGCCACCGCTGGGCTGGGCCCCGCCAGTGACGTGCCGCCCGCCGTCGAGACACGTGGCTCTGTGCTCGGTACAGAGGCGTCAGGAGACGAGTGTGATACCCGTCCGCGATATCGAGCCGTGCTACTGACTAGTGATACTACCCCGTGATACCGAGCAGACCGGCCGATGCCGATCCGTGATAGCTACTCGTGATATCGGTCCGTGACAGTCACACAGACGTGTGATAGGTGATACCGACCTTCGATACCGGACGGTGATACCCCCTACTGCCCCGTGATACCGGCATCTGCGGCGGTGGACCGTGCCGGTTCCCGGTCCCCGTAATACCGCGATGAGTGAAGCGTTTGGCACCATGTCCAGCCAGGATCAGGTCAGTGGTGACTGCCGACTGGTGAGGTGATGCACGGGCACTGGCAGCGCGGCCGGCCGCTACTGGCGGGATGTGGGATGTCCAACCAATGCCCATTGTCTATCGTCCACTTGGAGTGTTGTGCTGATAGAACTTTTGTGTCTGAACTCTGATATTACGAAATTTATCCTGACGACATGGCTAGTGTCCGTTCAATTCAAGCCACATCGAATGATTTTTAAAGCCTAAAAAAGCCCTTACAATCCTAATATCCGGTGCATAACTGCGTAGCCAAGAGTCTACCTTTATTTAAGACTTAGAAGGTCGTAAACTACTGTGTGCTGGCTTTTCAACATTTAAGTCTATATCATACGCAAGTTTTTAATCGTTTGTTTCACCCACACACCTGTGAATTTCGGCCCGATGTTAAACTTGTGTGAAATTTTTGGGTTATCTTTTGGCCACCGAATGGTGGGTGACCTCACCTTAACCCTGGCGGTGAAACTTTCACGTTTAACGAAACAAAGAAGACGTGAGGTGACATTTGGCAGAAAAAGGATGGCCTTGTCACTGGTGTGTCAGTTGTCACTGTGTTTGATAGCATTTCTAAAAAAAGTGGTCGGTGAACCGTGAACGGCTAAAGTACATTTATGGTCGCGCACCTACCTACCAAACAAAATATGCCTTTATGAAAAAGGCGTGTTGCCAAAAAAGGTGTTCTATTTCTCGAGTGAATAACATGCACGGTGATATCGCTTTAGAGTTTAGACCGTCTCGTCCGCTCGTCCCGTTCCCATTCTCCCGGGCTGCCGGCCGGACTTGATGCCCGTCCCCAGATGTCCAAAAGACGACGACCGCGCATGACCAGCATAGCCGTTCTACCGTATCAGTGCTAGATTACAAAGGTCGTCATGCATAACATTCGATTCGACAGGTCTTTCTGATTTTTGAGTACCTAAGTCCGTTAGTGGTTTGCACGACTCGCTAGCTAAATTTGATCAAGAGTTTTGGGCCTGGCATAACCCATAAGGTTGTCGGAGAGACGGCCCAATATCGGTGCCCATCGCCATATAGAGTAAGGGTGCATTGCACTGCCTGCGCAGTAATAACGTAGGAATGTCATGCCTATTGCCTGTTCCCCGATACCCGGTCAGCGCGGTGCCAGCGGTCCGCCATTTTCCCGGGCAGCCGGCCGGCCTGCGATTGGCCGACGCTGGCGATCTCCCGGCCCGGCGGCCGCCCTGATTGGTCTGTGGTGGTGTGACGTCACGGCGATCGTGGGAATTCCGGCGCCCATTGCCGGCGGCGGACTAAGCCAAGGCCCTATATACCAGGTAGGGTCGTCCGGCGATTCTACCTTTCCGTGACGTCAGCTCGTGACGTCATTTGGAGTCAAGTCTCGAAGCCCCGTTCAATCCCCATGTAAATGAGCGATTTTCGAAGCACTGTAGAATGAAGTCTGCACAAGATATATCAAACTTAAGTATCTTACCTAAAAGAGCAGACAATTTTCTGCAAGTTATCTATTACGTGTTTTTCGCTAAATCTTTTGCTTTTTTCACAAAAGCGTAAAATGTCCCCCCATGTCTCCGCAGCCTCCCTGCCGCCGGCCGCCGCGCGGTCGCGGTAGTGTAGTGGTTAGCGTGCCCGCGCAGTATTCCAAAGGTCCTGAGTTCGAATCTATGCGGTGCGGAACTTTAATTGCAATTCCAAGCTGAATATACGCACATCCATAATAAATTATTATTCGTATAGCTAAACTGTCACCAAGCTATCCATATAAATTGACTTCACCCAAAATATCGGCAAGATTCTATTAAAATAAAAATTCAAATATGGCGGCTTGGACTGCCGCGTGCGTTAGGCTCCGCCCATAGCTCCGCCCACATGCGTGACGTCATTCGTGTTAGTGGACACGCAGAGAGATAGGGGACGACATGGGCCTGGACTAAGCACGGTGGCTGGGCCGAGTGTGAGGGAGGCGGGATCTACAGTGGGCACTGTTTGAAAAGTCGTTTGAAGAAATGGAAATGCAATATAACCAAGACGGGCTCCTTTCCTTTCATTCCATTTTATCATGTTGTTCGAGAGTAGGACGGTCACCAACTCACCTCGACTTTGTCTCGGTCCCAAATATACCGATGTAATCGGTCGAAATGGTCGAAAAAAACGGCTTCTTAGATTTAAGCATTTTTATTGACAAAGTCTGACCGACCGCCGACCAGCGGTCAGTGCAGTCGCTGGTCAGTGGCCGCCGTTCGTCGGTTGATGCCCGCTGGCTGGTGGCCGGCCGTTGGTCGGTCGTTCATTCCGTGTTCTCACGGTGCGGCGATTCACGGGCCGCGCCGTGGGAGAGCGGCAGTGCGGAGCGTCCCGTGGAGCCGCCCCGGTCCGGCGGTTCACACGGCGGCGCCAGCAGCCAGCAGTGACCGCCGCTGACCGCAGCCGCCGGTAGCCGGCGCCGGCGGCTGTACAGAGTTCACTGTCTGCCGCCTCCCGTCTACTGACTGCCGTCTGCCGTCCACTGGCCGCCGTTCAGCGTCGACGATACACTTAAATACCGCTCAGAGTCCCCCGTTCACAGTTCATTGTCTTATATCTGCCGTCCACCGTAAATACCACTGCGACAGTATGGGCTCCATTCGACTCCGTCTGTCTCTGTTTAATCTTACGGACCCCGTGTGACAGTGTGTGTTCTACACGTGTTCCAGGGCGCCTACAGTTACCCGCAGCCGGGCGGGCGCGCAGAGGCCGCCTGGCCAGCGCCACCCGGCGCCGAGGGGCCCTACTCGCCGCCGGCGCCGCCACCGCACAACTTCTACGCGGAGGTCAGTGGTAAACTATAATCATCACATATATTCCATTGGGAGGTCGTTAGTCAATGCCTTATCATTGGGCGTTTCGTACGCGCATAATTACTCGTATGTTTGGTAGATAAAATCGACACTGTTGAGCCTTGATAGTGAACTAATTGTGAAAAGGTTAACGATATGCGGCTTAATCATGTCCAGGACGCTGACGACGCTCATGGCAAACGACAAGAATATGTTTCGTGTAGCTTTGCTTTGTGAAGCCCATGCCCATGAGCCTCATCTCGTCTATCATAGAACTGATATCGTATTCTGATGGTTCGCCGTCTATGTTGATGCTGAACCTGCTGTGCCTGACTGGACTGTCGTGCTCTTCTGGCAGGGCGAGGGCAGCCTGGCGGATCTGGCCGCTGATCTCAACCGGTCCGAATCCGGCGCATTTCCGGCCAGATATCCGGACACGACCCCCGTGGATCTGAGCTCGCCGAGAGACATGGCCTATCGACGCGATCCGTACAAAACGGAGGAGCTCAGTCTCAACATACACGACGGTGAGTGGTGTGTGCCGCTCCGGGCGATCCGAGGGAGGAGGCTCCGTCTGTCTTGGGCGAGGCACGACGCCATGGTCTCTCCGCCGCTATCCGCCCTCTGTGTCGGTGTCTGTGTGTCGGTAGTGTCCGATCTTTGCTCTTTATCGGTATCTGTGTTGAGTGTTCACCGTCGGTGTCTGTGTTTCGGTAGTCAGGCCTATATGTCGGCATTCGTTCCTTGTGTCGGTCTCTGCGTGGTGTCGGTAGCGTCTGGCCTTTGCTCCGTGTCGGTAGCTGTGGTGGGACGAAGCGCTGCTCGGACCGATCCCCGTCGGTCGTTCCCAGCACCTTCCGTCGACCGCCGCCGACCGCTGTGACCCGTCCGTGACCCGCGCAGGGGTCGCCGCTTCCGGTGACCCCGTCCGCACCGGTGGGAACGGCCCCGAGCCGCCGTTCCCGTCCCCTCCCTCACCACCCCTCCCCCTTCCCACTCCCCACTTCCTGACGCGACCGCCACCGTCGGGCCCTCAGCCGTCTTATTATTTAGTCCCATTACATTGAAAGCACAACCCTTTATCCGGTGCGGTGTTGCTTTAAGTGGCGGTTTTTAACATTTAGTGCCGCTGTTCTTTCGCAGGCTGGGGATCACACGACAACAAATATGACAATGCGGCATACCACAGGTGTAAGTACATCAAATAATGACATGATGTAATAATGACATAATGACAATATTATAGGCAATGACATCAAATACGCGTTAATGCATTTTACATATACGGTAGCATACGATTTGATTTAGATTCAAAACACCTATTAATTAGATTCTCGTATTAATATTGTGGTTTACGTGTATATCATGGACGGTTATTTTATTTCAATCACAACCGTGCACCCTCCGCTGTGTTGTAGACACGCCGGCCGGTACGCTGACACCTCCGGACGGCGCTGGGTACCCGGACCACCTGACGGGCCACCTCCCGCCGCCGGGCGGTCTGCTGGAGCTGCAGACCCCGCCCAGCCCGCTGCCGACGCCCAGTCCGCCCGTACCCTACCCGCTGCCGTGAGTACTATCAGACCCACCTGTACCCTGCCCTCTGCCGTGAATATAGGTTTACAGACGGCCGCCCGTATACTACCCGCTGCCGACACCCAGCCCGCCCGTACCCTACCCGCTGCCGACGCCCAGTCCGCCCGTACCCTACCCGCTGCCGTGAGTATTTACAGACCCCGCCCAGCCCGCTGCCGACGCCCAGTCCGCCCGTACCCTACCCGCTGCCGTGAATATAAAGTAAACAGCCCGCCCGTACCCTAACCGCTGCCGTGAGTACCCGGCCGCCCGTACCCTACCCTACCCTGCCCTCTGCCGTGAGTAACGGACCCGCCCGTACCTAACCCTCTGCCGTGAGTAGCTCTACTGACGATACCCTGCTAGCGATGTCCCATACATTAGCGTGAGGCATCATGAGCTTTTTCCGAGAACTTCGAGCACCATTGCTTTTCCGATATGCGATGTCATTGTGCTTGTTTATGATTTCGCCTACTCCAGTCGTTGTGGTGCCACGACATCCACCGTCCCTCTGTTGCCGTGTCCGCAGTGTGAAGGAGCAGCGGCTGACGCGGGAGGCCATGCGCCACTACCTGGAGGGCGGCCACAGTGACCAGGTGGTGGTCATCCTGCACGCCAAGGTTGCTCAGAAGTCGTACGGTAACGAGAAGCGCTTCTTCTGCCCGCCGCCGTGCGTCTACCTGTACGGGGACGGCTGGCGGAGGCGGCGGGAGCAGATGCTGGCCGGGGGAGAGTCCGAGCAGGGCGCCCAGCTGTGCGCCTTCATCGGTATCGGCAGCGCCGAGCAGGAGATGCAGCAGCTCGACCTCAACGGGAAGGTGAGGAGTGGACCTCAGATTTCGCCGGAATGGGAAATGTATGAGAACCTCGGCTCTCAGACAATCGGGAAGGCATAGCTATGTATCCTCGAATCTCGAAACGGTCGGATAGGTGGGTTTCCCGGCCCTCGGCTGGTTAAAGGACGTGTCTCTTGACCACGGTGGCGTCAATACGACTGTTGTTAAACCACCTACATATACCTTCTTGTATTTGAGGAAACACGTTGTCCATGTTAAACTTGTAGGTAACTCAAATATATTGTCACTAATCCATGCGATGACAACGGCGTTGTTTTGCTTTTCAGCATTTTTGCGCGGCAAAGACGCTGTTCATTTCCGACTCAGACAAGCGGAAACATTTTATGCTCAGTACCAAGATGTTCTATGGAAATGGCATGGACATCGGCATGTTCCACAGCAAGAAGATTAAAGTTATATCGAAACCCAGCAAGAAGAAACAGTCGCTGAAAAATGCAGAACGTAAGTTATTGTTTAAAAGCAAGACATTAACGTTACAATTATGAGTATTGGCTACATGAACTTGTAATTGAATAAAAGGAAATTGCACGCTCAATGGCAAATAACGTTGCTTAGTGTCGAGTTACCTATAACATGTCGCGGTAAAGCTGCCGCTATTCTGCGGCGCCAAGTGCCAAGGCTCAATGCCAGTGTGCCAACTACCGCCCGTGGGAGGCTGCACTCAGCCCTGACGGCCCTGGCCCCGTTTCCAGTGTGCATTGCGAGCGGTTCGAAGATCGCCTTGTTCAACCGGCTGCGCTCGCAGACAGTCAGCACACGGTACCTGCACGTGGAGAACGGCAACTTCCACGCCTCCTCGGCGCAGTGGGGCGCCTTCACCATACACCTGGGTGAGTATCTGCTCAGTGGAGCGATGACATTCTGCCCACCTCAGAATGTCATCATTGGGTCATTGAACTTGAAGTGCTGATACTCGTCAACCTGAGCGCTAAGATCTTTCAGCTGTCTGCCCATTTAATGAGACTTCGTTTGTTTGTTTGTTTTGTTGGGTTAGGCCCTTTCGGTCCAATGGGACCATTTCAGAACCGGGAGGATGATAGGATATAGGGGGAGACATTGGTCTGGGCAGGCACCCTAGTGAGTCACCGGGGCTGAGCCCGTCCAGAGGACAGGCCACCCAGCCCCAAGGTACTCACTGCACCCGGCTACGGGGTGCGCTCCCTCGGGAGCAGCGGTGCCGCTCCAAGGGAGCAGCCCGCATGAGATAAAGTTACCTACCCAGCCCGGAAGGGGGTTGCGGCGTGGAGGAGAAGGACTTCTGTATCCTGAGGATAGAAGCACGGAACGGTGTGAGAGACTTCGTCCGCTAGTCTCTATATATTGGTATGTGGCCACTCCCTTCACATAATGTGGCTCATCCTTCCACCTCCTAACGTGACTCCACTCGCCCTAACGTGACTCCCCTTTGTGCGCAGTGGACGAGTCGGAGTCAGAGTCGGAGGAGTTCACCGTCCGCGACGGCTACATCCACTACGGCAGCACGGTGAAGCTGGTCTGCTCGGAGACGGGCATGGCGCTGCCGCGACTCGTCATCAGGAAAGTGGACAAGCAGATGGCGCTGCTGGACGGCGACGACCCGGTCTCGCAACTGCACAAGGTGGCCTTCTACATGAAGGACACAGAGCGCATGTACCTGTGCCTCAGCCAGGAGCGCATCATTCAGTTCCAGGTGAGGGACGCGATGACGCTAACGGCCAACTGGCCTAACGTTCCACTTACGGGCTCCACGGAGCGATATGATGACGGAAGACGGGGAAGTGACGACTTTTTTCCTTCGTGAACATTTTGTCTTTGAAATAATGTATGGTCCGTAGATCGGCGCTATCATGATGCGATGACGTCGTGTTATCCATCTTATGTATGAAAATGTATAACCTGCAATACGATTGACGCGTACATACACTTTCTGAGTGCGGCCACATTACGTAAGGAGGTATGTATCCCCGCTGACCGTCGCCCCTGACTACGGTGTCCACAGGCCACGCCGTGTCCCAAGGAGCCCAACAAGCAGATGGTGAACGACGGCGCGTGCTGGACCATCATCTCGACCAGCCGGGCCGAGTACAGCTTCCACGAAGGCATGGGACCGGTGCGCGCGCCCGTCACGCCCGTGCCCAACGTCCACAGCCTGCACGTGAGTGGTCCGCCGAAGATAGTTAAATTATTGCAGACTGCCCCGTCGCCGGAGGGTAGTGCACAGAGACCATGGTCCCGACAACCTCAGGTTATTGTAGGGTATTTCACTGAGACCGTCCTGCAACCCTGGTTATTGAATTTTATTTTTGATCGCGTCATTGCCATTTTTAAATCGTAACCCTTAATGATGCATAGCGGCTGAGTGGCTAGCGATTTGGCCGACCAACCCGCGACATGTTCCTGTTTGCAGCTGAACGGCGGCGGCGAGGTGGCGATGCTGGAGTTGTCGGGGGAGAACTTTGTGCCCAGTCTGCGCGTCTGGTTCGGCGAGGTGGAGGCGGAGACCATGTTCCGCTGCGGCGAGTCGATGCTGTGTGTGGTACCCGACATCTCGGCGTTCAGAGGCAACTGGCAGTGGGTGCGGCAACCGACCAACGTGAGTGATAGCTGTGCTGAATTGTGAATGCCGTGTTGGACACTAAATATCGAATATTGAATATAATTAGTGTTGACGGCTGTGCTCTATAGTCTATACCGAATATCCATGCTCGATGTTCTAAACACTGATGTAAGTTTTCTGTTTGGCTTGAACGGAAGCCGTATATTACTACCGTTATGCCGTCCGATGCCTGGTGTCCGGTATCTGTGTGTTTGTTTGTCTCTGTGTATATGTCCATGTTTATGTACCTACCTACCTGACTCCGACCGCCGTCCCACAGGTGCCCATCTGTCTGGTGCGCACGGACGGCGTCATCTACTCCACGGGGCTGACGTTCACCTACACACCGGAGCCGGGCCCTCGGCAGCCCATGGCCGGCGTGGCCGAGCTGATGAGGCCCGCCCTGGCACCGCCCGAGCACACGACGAGCACAGCCTGTCTGTGAGAGCAGGTACCGGTGTCTGCGGGACTCACAGGGTGCCTGTGAGAGTGACTCTTTTCAGTGAGAACGACACTGCATGTCCGTAAGTCACAATCAGCTTGTGACTCGTTCGTGAGAGCCCGGAGCTGGTGGTCTGTGAGGGTCGTTGCCAGCACTGCAGTCAGACTCTCAGACAAGACTGTGATATGATCCCCGCTCTCTACTGTCGGCTTTGCTGAGATTGTCGGCGGGTGTGCCGTTCTACACTTAAGCTCAACGCGACGATCATCGAGTGGGTTGCAGCGACAGTGTTCATTGATGTCTGGTATGATACGGGTGCCGACCGGGTCGGTCTACTGCGGTCTCTCGGACCGTAACTCGCACACGGTGGCGCCTGGGAAGGCATGGGGCGTACCTGAGGATACCTGCGGCTGGGTATCTGTGTGACAGAGGGCATCAGCCGTCGGCCGTTTATGTTGGGGACTGCGCGGAGCTAGTGAATAGATCGATGGTGTCGGGTCGGTACCGGCATCGATCCCCGCCGGTCGGGAGACCGACTTCTGAGGCGTGCTCCGGTGACTAATGAGAAAAGACAGCTAAATACCAAAGTGCTGCGCGGTGCTGTCTGGTGGCGTCCCTCTTACGTACCTGCCGTATCTGTCTGTGGATGTGTTATGAACTCGCCTTCTCTCATCGGACCAATTGACCGAGCGGCCGTGCCTGATGACCGTTCAAGTTACGGCCCGGTGATTGCATGCTCGTGCCTATTGTATGGACCCATTTCCTGTGTACATAGCCTAGCCCGCGCGCGTGGGAAAGAGCAGCCGTCTGGGGTGATACGTGAGATGGAATTCACTTCACACGGCTCACCACTAGAAATGGGACGGTGCTCTCTAATCCTAAAACTGCAGTTTCATAGTGTATTACTCTTGGGTGCGTTGTTTGAATCCCTCAAAGGTTTATTTTTAGTAAGTCAAAGTGAGTGGTCATCGGTTGCTTGAATGTTGTCTGTATGTATGTAGACCTGTATGTAATGTCCGCCGGTAGACGGCTAAAAATGAAGTGTAATGGCGGACTTTGGCATAATACATATATTGTCACATCCATCTTCTCCATTGGGCTTACCTACCTACCTAGCTGGTTTTCTTGCCTCCTGAGACCGGTTGGGTCGTGAAAGTGTCTGTTGTTTACATGTGACGATACGGTATTTTTTTTTGCGTAGGTAGGTAATAATGTGTTTCTACTTGTCTGAACAGCTCACGTATATTGCAAAGTGCTCACGTAAGCAGCAGCGCATATCTTTGTCAATGTTTTTACATAGAGGATCATTGTTTGCGTCTTGTTTTCTGTATTGCATGAAATAAATGATGCTCCATGTTACACATGGTTTCAACTTAAAATTGGGTGCAGTTCAGCGGACATCGGGGGCAATATTTATCTCACCCGCCATTTGTCATGTTTGATGGTGTCGCTAGATGCCGTTGGTCTTGGCGCCTGCATGTAGGCTGCACCGCAGTGCCGCATCGCTTACAACTTCAACCGCTAGATGTCACCAGTCGTGGACGCCTGCAGTTAGGCTGTACCGCAGTGCCGAATCGCTTATAACTTCAACCGCTAGATGTCACCAGTTGTGGACGCCTGTAGTTAGGCTGTACCGCAGTGCCGCATCGATTACAGCCTCAAACGCTAGATGTCACCAGTAGTAGGCGCCTGTAGTTAGGCTGTACCGCAAAGACGCATTGCTTGTAGTTTCTGTCGCTAGATGTCACTAGTGGTAGGCGCCTGCAGCTAGGCTGTACCGCAGTACTGCATTGGTTACAATTCTTGTCACTAGATGGCAGTAGTGGTAAGCGCCTGCAGTTAGGCTGAACCGCAAAGCCTCATTGCTTGTATAGTTTCTTTCGCTAGATGACAGAAGTAGTTGACGCCTGAAGTTAGGCTGCGCCGCAGTACCGCATAAGTTGCAAATGATGCCACTAGATGGCAGTAGTGATACACGCCCTAAGTTAGGCTGCGCCGCAATGCCGATGTGGTTATAGTTTCTGTCACTAGATGGCAGTAGTGGTAAGCGCCTGTAGTTATAGTCTGTGCTGCAGGGCCATAGGTGCTTGAAGTTTTTTTTTGTTTAGCTAGACGCCACTAGTGTTGAAAGCATGCAGTTAGGCTGCTCCGCAATATCACATCGCAATTGGTTGCAATTTCTAGCGCTCGATGACGCTGATAGTCAGCGCCACCTAGACAACGAAGGCAGCGTCGAACTGTTTGAAGATAACCAAACTAGATGGCAGTAGTATGTGGAAAGGTGCCTGGTTTGTCCCGAGATGGTACCGATGCATAGGCGTCGCCAGAGATTTTCGGTTGGGGGGGGGGGGGCAAAATCAACTTTTGTGTTAAAACTTGCCTTTCCCCAGTCTTTACTCACTCGTTTTACATATCATTCGACGCGCAATGGTGCGAGGAATCCGATGGTGATAAAGGTTTCCTTCTAGCTATGACATGTAACTTTTTACAAAAAAAAATCGAAATTTTGAAATTTCATGACAAAAACGACTGGTAGAATTATAGTATATAGTGGCTGTGATTGCCGACGCACTGCAGAGGGCCCCTGTGCAGACGCTCGACGCTCATGATCATTACCCAGAAAAGGTGAAAAACGCTCCATTTAATCGGATCACCCAGCTAAAACTTCCATTCACGCATGCATATTGCATGCAGAGGTTTTACGTGAAATGCATAGGACTTATCCCAGCCGCCGATCGTAGCTTAGTTGGGCATTCGGCGGAGAGTGAGTGTCAGAAGTGTGAATCGGAAGTAATTCATCTTTGCTTCAGTGAGAGGAAGTGTTTTGTTCACTCGAGTGTGAATAAAAGTTTCTCGTTTTTCGTGTGAAGGGAAGCGCTGCAAACGCGAACAAAAACTGTTAAACGGAACCAGAAATTACGCACGGCATAGCGGCAATGGATTCCTTGGAGATAGGCTTGGGACTTCCAGGCCATTTCAGGCCACTCAGGGTCAGTGCTGACTCTCAGAAGCTTAGGTGGAGACTGCTTAGGATCCCGGAGATCGGCGTGGGTCACCTCAAATATTTACGTGTACGTGGTGCTTAAGGCTTTCCGAGCCCTCAAAAGCCAGTGTGGGCGGCGGGCGCTAAGAGCTCAGGGTGAGCCTGGTGCCCTAGGATAACAGTGTGAACCCTCGGGGTCTGTGTCGAATCCCTAAGGACCCTACGTAGGGAGAGGGACATAATAAACATGTGTTGCGGACCTCAGAGGGACACTTGAGCTGTGACCCCTCAGATGCCGGCTTGGGGTTAGCAAAGTCTGTCGCCTCAAAAGTTTGGCTGAACTATCAGAGGCCAGTTAAAGTTCTCAGAAACGTTCGAAGGCTCAAAGATCCCTGCATGGGCCCTCAGAGAACATGGACACCAGTGGGGCTTTCAGAGGCCGGTTTGGGCCCTCTGAAAGCTTCTGTAGGGCTCAGTGGAGCTCCTTAGGAGCCTTTGTTTAAAGCAAGCTCATGAGCCCTGCGACATTGTATGGTACTTGAGCCTGTCGCAGACATTTGACGAGAGTTGAGAAAGGCCCCGAAGATTTCGTTTTACGCTTTGAACGAAAATTGTGTCAGCACTCCAAAACTTATGAAAATCAGCTGTAAAATGTAATAAAGAACGAACTAGGAACATGGAATGAATCACAACATTGTCATTTCCGAGTCTGGACTTGGAGTCTGGAAGATTTTGGCGACTGCGAGTCAGGCTCTGGTTTGAACTGCACGCTCCAACCGAGTCTGACCTCACAGGCATTCTCAGAAAGATACCCCCATTTTTTCCCCGACTCCAAAATCTCATCGGATCTGTATCGATCTCAGGGGGTGCCCGGTCCGAGGTTGGGGGGGCAAGCTGCCCCGCTTGCCCCCCCGTGGCGACGCTAATGTACCGATGGCTCGGGTAACTAGCCGGACTACACGCAGTTGTTACATTTTAGGAGCATTGAAGACCCCTTTTTCATAAACACCCAGATTTCTTTTCAGCATGCCGTTCAATTTCGTTCATTCTCTTAAAACACAAGATGAAATATTAAATACGGTCTACGAAAATAAAATCAAGTTGATAGCACGCAACAACTCGCAAGTCTCTTAGCAAGCCACGCTTCATGAGCCAGTTAAAAACTACTATTTTATGCATGTCTTGCATTTCAGATATACATACAGGCATGTCATGACACAGTAGCACACTGGTTCATTGTTTATGTTCGTTTGATACAATGCAATTACTATGAGGTCCATATGCAATATGCATGATATAGCTACTCTACTTTCTCTCGCAATCCACTCATATACCGCAGCTGGGCCGGGAGGCAGCCCTGACCCGCCTCTCCCTGCTGAGTCCTGGCTCCAGTCCATCAGTCCATCAGTCCAGAGCGGGGACTCTGAATCAGTCATCAGTCAAACAACGGCACAGCGTCCGATTATGGATAAAACACATCGTCCAACTAAACATACGATACGTCACACAATAATATCACAGTGGGTAGCGGTCCGCGCGCTTCTGACTTGTAGAGGAACATGGATACGGGCGCTCTCCTCGGGCCCGGCCGGCGGGGTCACATTGCCAGCAGCAGTAGCGCCGCCGCCAGGGCCGCCAGCGCTGGCGCTGACACCTGGCGGTGGCCGGCTGAACTGCGCCGGTCCGGCCGCGCTGTAAAGGACAGAGGGCGGTGTCAGACAGCCAACGGGTACCGTGGCAGTGCCGGCACCTCGCAGCTACTCTGGGCTATCACTGACCTGCAGTGAACTATTCACTGCTCTGACCCTTCCCCCGCAAGATCCCGTGACCTGCGGTGCCTCAACCCATCGCATCGGACTGCTGACCCACCCTAACCGGTCCACCGGCCCCTGACCCACCCTGACCCGTCGCACCGGACCCTGCAGTGCCCTGTTTCGACCAGCCTGACCCCGCAGTACCCTGCCCGGTCCCACCGACCTGTGATGGGTCTCCAGGAGCGCCGGGTGGTGGGCGGCGGTCGGGGCGCGGATGTCGGCGCCCCGGTAACGCTGACAGAGGGTCGCTCCAGGTCCGTGGACGGCCGCAGTCGCCGGTCGGTCGGTACAGGGTCGTCCACCGTGCCGTCCTCACCCACACACGGAGCTGTCGGGGGTGCATGCAGCGACATCAATACACTGGGCCAATGCACTCCCAGCAACACAAACAACACAACAAATCATTCTTATCCAAAGAGCATCTTGAAGAAACAGGCTCCCCGGGATTATTTCAGGCAAATCCGGTCATCAAAGATCCTTACAAATTTGAGCCCGTCTTGCCAGCTCAGTCCTAACCGTCCTGCCTCTCTGCCCTCTCCTGACCATATTCCCTTCCCCGACCACCTTCTCACCTGTCCTCCTGATGAGCATGCCACTGGTGGCCGGGTCGACGTGTCTCCGACAGCCCGTCTCCGTGCTGGCGTCCCCAATAAACACCCGGCCGTCGGGCAGCACCCGGCCGGCGAAACACTCGTAGGTGAGCGCGTCCAGCCGCTGGGTGTACGTGTAGAGCACGTCCCCCTCGCGCCAGGTGCCCAGACACCGGTACTGGCGCTCTGTAGGAGGGAGAGAGAGAGGGTCAGACAACGGGAGAGAGAGGGGGGAGTCAGACACCGGGGGAGAAAGAGAGGGACGCATTCAGACAGCCGGAGCGGAGGGGAGGGGCAGACAGACACGGGCGCTGACGCTCTATGAGAGGAGTGGAGAGGGGAGGGGCAGTCAACGACAGGGTGTCACCAAAGTACCCCAAATGACACGCGCTGTTGGTAGGCCAGGGTCAACCGGGAGCTACCCGCCCTGTCACCGACCTTCACCAACTGCAGAGCGAGTGACAGACAGACAGACAGACAGACAGACAGACAAACGGACCGCAGTACCGGCCATGGAGAGTCAGCCGGATGTGACCGCCGCACCGGGCGGCGCCCGACACGCCCTACCCAGCCCCCCTCTCCCCCCCTCCCCCCGCCCCGGATGGACTAACAGACCACACAGCGACCAAACCGTCCGGCCAAACGGACGCGTACAGTCGGACGAGCCTACTGACGGAGTGACAGACACACGGGCAGCACAAAGATGAACGAATGGACGAACAGATGGACAGACGGGCTGGTGGGCAACGGAGAGACAGACGGACAAACGATTGGGCATAAAGCGGAAAAGAGCTGGGCAGACGATAATCAATCTACGAAAAGACTACATGAAACATGGCCTACATTACTAGACTGCAACTTGTAACCGTCATGGTGACAAGGAAGAGGTGGAAATTGATCGTTTACATTTCCGACGCAATAAAACAGCGAACTACAGCCAACTCATTCTGGTGAACGGTCGAGTGCTCATGCTACCGTGACGCAATACCAGCACCTAGGGCCTAGGCTATTGTTCATGGATCGAACAGCGGTCAAGGCGTGCCGTGCTGGGCCGCGCACTACACAGGTCAGAGTGGGGGGGGGGGGGGGGGGGGCTGGTGAATTGGTGCAAAAATTGTGCACCGGGGCGCTGTGCCGTGGAACTGGTGTGTTGGTGCTGTGTACAGGGTCGATCATTCTGCAGTGCTCTGGGTCTCAAAATGCACTGTTGCTCTGGTGCTACGGGTGCCACGTTGCTCAGGTGTTTCGGTGCTAAGCTGCTACGGTGCTCACGGCACTCCATTGCTCCGGTGCTCTGGTGCTATGGTCCGGCGGAAGGCGCCCTCCACTCCGTACCTTCTCTGTATCCAGGCGGCACCGTCAGAGTCTTGGCCGTGGTCGTGGCGGGGGCAGGGACCGGCGCTGCCGTGGTGGCCGCCGGACGGCTCTCTCCGACAAAGCTCGGCTCCGGGGTCGGGTCGAAGCCGGGCAGCGCGGGCCGACGGGGCGGCGGGGGCGGCGGGGTGCTGGGCCGGGCCGGACCGATCGGCTGCACGGGCCAGCCGCCGCTGAAGCTGCCCCGGTAGCCGGTCGGAGCGCCGTCCCGCTCCCCCGCAGGCCAGCCGGGCCGCAGGTTCGGCCCCGGCCGCAGGTTCGGCCCCGGTCGCAGCTCAGGCCCCGGTCGCCGTTGGTCCTGACGCCGGCCCGACCAGTACACAGACGAGTTCCGGGGGACCGCCGGGTCTCTGACCGCCCAGTCCCGGCCAGACTGGTCCTCAGCCGTCCCCCTCCCCTGGCCCGGCCTCTGGTAGCTGGTTTGATCCCGATCTTGGGAGCCCTTCCACCGTCCATCTCGACTACCGAAGGTATTCTGAGTAACACCTGTGTCTCCTTTCCGCCCCGGGCCGGGGTACCGGCCTGGCTGCCTACCTGCTCCCCAGTTACGGTCTCCACCCCTCTCTGGGGTGGGTACCGACTCCTGGTCTCGGCTGCCGCTCTCCCGATCCATGGTCGGTCTTCGTCTCTCTCCAGAGCCGCGCTCGCCCTCTGGGTCCGCTCTGGCGCCGTTCGTCCGTCTAAAGGACTCTCCACGCCCGGCGGGATTTGTACCCCGCTCCTGGCCCGGCCGACGGTCCTGCCCTGCCGTCGGTCCGTCCCTCCTCCCTGGCGCCTCTCCTGGTCCTCCGTCCTCCTCCTGTTCCTGGTGGTAGATCCACGGATCATAGGCGTCATCGGCCGGTCCACTGGTGGTGGTGTACGCCCCGTCCCGCGCCGACGGCAGCGCGTAGCTGACCCGCGTGGTGCGCGGCTGTGAGACGTGGTAGCGGACGGCGTCCCGGCGCCAGCGGCGGCGGGCGGGTGACCGTTCCGCGCCGGCGGCCGCTCGGTCACTGGTCGACTGTCTGCCGGCTCCGGGCGGCCCCACTGGCCGGCCCCAGCCGCTCCACTGACCCGACTGTCTGCCCCTGCCGCCGGCGGACTCTGAACGGCTGACATGGACGCTGGGAGTCCCTGGCCGACCACTGCGGCCACTTGATATCTCTGGACGTCCGCTCCAGGTGCCGGGAGTTTCTGGGCGGCCTCTCTGACCAGAAGAAGTTTCTGGAACGCTTCCCTGTCTAGCAGAGGTTCCTGGCCGTCTACCTTGGCCAGAAAAGGTTTCTGGGCGGCCTCTCTGACCAGAGGAATTTTCTTGAACGTTTCCTTGACTAGCAGATGTTTTTCGAATACTTCCCTGTCCGTCAAAGGTTCCTGGACGTCTTCCTTGGTCAGCAGAAATTTCCCAGAGTCCTCCCTGATCAGCAGCAGGCTCCCGACGACCTCCCCAGCCACCAGCGGTGTTCTGGCGGTGCTGCTGCTGCGGAGTCCCCCTGGGCCGGCCGGCTGGGCTCTGTGTTTGCCAGGGGTGGCTCCCGGCCCTCTCAGAGTCCCTGCTGATCGGAATCACTGCAGGCCGGGACGGGAACTGCTGAGATCCCGAATTCACTACCCGACGACCGGATGGCGGCTGGGATGCTGTAACGGAAGAACGGTGACGGACGGCTCCAGATGGGGAAGAATGCAAGTGCGTACATTTGTCGAGACGTTAGGGATTCCACATATGTAGTGTGGTCACTCGGTAAGTTCTCAATATCAAGATATCGAGGTAATTAAGTATTAACGTATACGAGCGTTAATTATGGCGTGCACTCGTGTCATGTACTCGTTAACACTTAGTGTGGTGTGTAAGCAGTAGAAGTCTGCTGCAAAAGTCAAAGTGTCTTCACTGTAGTTTCACTTCGATAGGCGGCTTCGGGAAAGGAGATCAGAAGGAAGGATAGAGGAATAGAGGGAGAGAGATAGAGTGAGAGGTTGGTGTACCCACCTTCGTAGACGTCGGTGCTGTCGACGCAGCTGGTTACGGTGTAGAGCATGTTCTGTGGCCGGCGGCAGTCGGAGGAGAGCCGGGCGCACAGCTGACCGCCGGTGGCCGGGATGGTGCCCACGTACTCTCCCGACACGGGACACGAGGCTTCCTCGACTATACGCTGGCCTGGGGAACACGGAGATACAGATAAGACCTCAGTACCGGGCACGAGGCCTCATCGACTAAACGCTGACCTGGTGAACGCGGAGGGAAAGGTCAGGCCCAGGACACTGGCCCAAAGACAGAGGACATCAGACAAAGGCCCAAAGACACATCAGACAAAGGACATCGTTCGTCATAGAGGGACACGGACCCGGAACCAGCACGGAAGAATATACGGACGTGGAAATCAAATTTATGGAATTAAGTGGTACTCACGTCCTTGCGTTATCCATCCGGAGTCCTCAAACCGATGTGGACTGCACAAGCTGTTAGAGATGCGAGGACTTGGTGAAAGACCTGAAAAAAGATAAATTGAGATTAGTGCGCGTACCGGCACACTCATACAAGTGCAGGTACGGCATCACTGACTGATCGACTGACTGTGACTGATCGCACCCTGTATTGTAACTGCAGTGACGCCTCTATATTGCTTGTCTCACGACTCGAGACACCATCATCTCCACGATGACGACCCTCTGACGACCCATGCCCGATTTGGACAACCCAGCCGTAACAGTAAACACCCTGTAAACGGCTCTCTGGAAGCGGCGGGCGTCGAGGCGTGAACCCGCGCGCCTGGCCTTGGCCGATAGGAGCCATCCAGGGTTCGGGGGTCGGGGTGAGAACTCATCGAGCCGTTCACACACGCACAGGGCACACAGTCGGCGCGACGGAGCGGCGGGTACGCGGGGGGTAGAGAGGTCGGCGGGCCAAGGCCAGTGCGGGAGGGTGGCAGTGCAGACAGCCGGGCGGCAGACGGACAGAGCTGAGAACGCCGGCAGCCGGGCGGCGGGAGGGGAACGAGTGCAGCATGATTGAGCCCGCCCGGCCGCGATAGACAGGAAGTCGTTGAGTGCGAATTCGAAGATAATTGCCGGCGTCGTTAGCGTCGCTTCCGATGACCGCTGCAGCGCAGCTGGTCTCCAAATAAAGCTACTGGCATCCACGGAACGATTAAACCCAGTCTGCAACTCGACACTGAAGGGAAAATTGTGCGAACGTTTCACTTATAGAGCCCCACATAGTGGAATAGTTTTACGTTTTACGATCGGTGTGAGGCGCCGTGGCTGCCAGAGGTCAGTGTGCGCGCGCCGGCTGCGGCTGGTCGGCACGGCCCGCCGCCGGCCGGTGTCGACCCGTGCACGCCTGGCCGTGTGAGCCGCCGCGCGCCGTACCGTGTTGCAGAGCCGGCGGCCGGCGGTGCCACCGGGTCGGCCCCGCCCCCGACATTACTGCGGCCGGGTCGCATTCCTGGCGCCACCCGGCGTCCAGTGCAGCCCGCACCTGCGCTCGCCAATTGAACGGCAAATTGCCGGCCGCGGCCGCGCGGCGCGAGCACAAATCACAGCGCCGGCCCGATACGATCGGCGCGTCCCAGCGCTGGTGGCCGATTGGCGCACAGGTCCGGCCGGGGGAGACAGAGCGCACCGGCACACGCACACAGTAACCGGGGGACAAGCGATCGGTACTGCACACACTAATGGGTGGGCACGCACGCACAGGGTCAGCGTGGAACATACTGACCGGCGGGCAGCGCCGCACACGCCAACGGTTAGTCCAGGACGTACTGCTATAGTACCCGGGGGACGGCCCGAGCTAGGACGGATCAGGACCGAATCAGCTCAGGTCAGGGTGAGCGGGGTCGATTATTGTCAGGTCATGTCGGGTCAGGCCGGATTGGATCTGGTAAGGTAGTGCGAGCCAAGTCAGGTCAGGTCAAATCAGGCCACAACGTGTAAGTCAGGTCAGATCGAGTGGGGCAGGTCAAATCGGACCGGTTCAGGTTAGGTCGGGTCACTAGCGACAGTACTCACCGAGCTGTAGTTCCATAACATTGACGGCCCGCTCCTTGAGCCAGATACAGTTGTACTGCTCCTCCCCGCTGTGGGCACACAACGACACACCGTCAGAAGTGGCCAACAGACAGCTCAGAAGAAACGTGATGCGTGACAAATCATCGACTTGTAGAATCACTAGATTTAACGTCTCTCACTAGACAAGAGCCAATTTTTGCACAGTTTGCTTACATCGTCGTAGCGTCGTCTACACTTCACATGGCGTGACCTGCCGCGAGGCGCAAACTCGAGGTAGATTGATGGCTGACTCACCAGTGCGACCGGGTGTAGATGACGAACTTGTCGTCGCCGCCGCCGACGCAGCGCGCTGTGTAGCTGGCTAAATTCGCCACATCCTTGTAGACGATCGTGTTGCCGGAGATGTGCGCGTGCTGCCAGTGGCCGTGCGCCCACTCCGGGAAGGTACAGGTGGCGCGGCGCACGGCCGGCGGCCACGGCCGGGAGGGGGCCGCGTACAGCACCAGCCGCTCGGGGCCGTCCGTGGCGCTCTGCAGACGACCGTGACACGAGCCGTCCGGGGACAGCGAGAGGAAGATCCGGCCGGTGCCGACCTCCTCCCGGTATAACTGACAAACACAGGCACAGACACAATCAGACACAGACACAGACACACGACTCACACACATACGGCTCAGATGCACGGTAAATGACGGCGGACAGCGGACTCGCGCAGCATTTGCGTCAAACAGGCTGTGCTGCGAGTGATTCGACTGTCGACTTGGCAGCCTCAAGTATTGATTAGTTACCCCGCAGAACATAGAGCATAGCTGCTCGGCAGGAAGTGACACTGACACCTCCCCCAGGCATTTCCCCCCGGCGGTGTATAGAGACGGTCCGGTCAGTCAGTGTGTGTTGAGCGGGGCAGCCGTTGGCCGGCGCTCGGCTGAGGTCATCCGCCGCGGCCCGGCCGGCCCGGCAGCTCTGCCTGCACGCCGCCGGCCGTGCGTGATCTGTTGGAGCACGATGGCACAGCCGAGGTCACGACCTTCTGCACCGGGCGGGCGTTCAGCACACACCTGGGACGAGCGGTCAGCCCCGGGGAGGGCCCACGTGACCACCGAGCTCGGCGCGGGATCCGGGCTTCAGCCGAACACACCCCGACCCGCACCAACCGCCACCAACGAGCGATAAACCCGAGCGGCTCATCCATGATGGAACAGTCATTGAATCGACAGGCTCGAACACCCGTCAATCATCTGTTTACTGATGAGATGAGAGGCATTCCCCTATTGATTCCATCCGTCATTACGACATTATTTCGGAGCCATCACCGGGTTCGTGTCGGCGGTGCCCTGGGCGGGTCGCGTTGGGTGGACAAAGGCCGACACGGCTGCGGTTTCGCGCGCCGGTCCCGCGGTTATCCCCCCCTCCCGCCGCCGGAAACCCCCACCAACAGGATGCGCCGCTCCGCCCCGAGCCGGGCTGAGCTGAGCTGACCGGACCGGACCGGCCGGGCGCTGCCGTGACGGCGGGCCATTGGCGCGGGCGTCCTTCGCGCCGCCGCCAGCGACCGCCGCCGGCGACCGGCGGAACACCGTGGGAACGGAGAGCGGCGGCGGCGGCCGTCTCCGGAGTACAGGAGATCGATACCGGATCACCGGGGCAGTGGAAGATCGGTGCCGGATCACTACGAGTAAGTGATCGAAACCGGGTCACCGAATCAGCTGAATATGTACCGGATCACCACAGGATCTGTACCGGATCACCAAATCACTTATAATGTCTATATCAGATTACCGAATCATCAGATGATCAGCACCCGATCACCAAATGATCAGCACAAGACTACCAGAGGATCCTGGATCATCAGATCAATGAAAGATCTAATCCGGATCACAAGACCTGACTATGAATCACTACAGGATCCATGCTAGGTCGTCAGAGTCCAGAGAACCGTCAGATAATCACAGTGGTCTTATCGTAACCACAATCGGTGGCCGGCCGGTGAGGGGTGGCGTAGGGTCGGTTAGTCAGTGGAGAGAGCCCTGCTGGGTACTCAGTAGCTGGTACTCACGGCACATCTGTAGCGCGGCCGACCGGTTGTGAGGGGTGGGGTGTAACTGGCGGCGGTTGGTCGGTGGGGAGCGGTACTCGGTACTCGGTACTCGGTACTCACAGCGCATCTGTAGCGCGGCCGACCGGTACCCGCAGCGTTCACGTCCATCAGCGTCAGGTAGCGGCTGCCGCGGCCGTCGTCCCAGTCTGCCAGACACTGGTACGTGGCGTCTGTGGGGCGGGACAGACGGCGGCGTCACTCAGAGGGCGGTGACTGTGGGGAGGCGACTACGCCAGCCATTCCGCCCTGCTGAGAGCCGATCACTATTTTACAGTCAATGTCTACACATGACAACATTGCAGTCATCGCTTGGCTTGACAGCACATATCATAGCGCTCCAACCATTCCTCAGCAGCCCTCGCAGCACTTCACAGCAGCCGGCACCCGGTAGTCAACATACATACTCTCGTAGTCCACAAGCTGTCACCCTGTGGTCGGTAAAACCCTTGCAATACATCACCGCAACCATCAACCGTTAGTCGGAATTCCCCTCGCATCTCTCCAGCCACCACCAGTAGTCAGTATGCCTCTCATATCACACAACCATCACCCGGTAGCCGGAATTCTCCACACAGTCTCGCAGCCGCCACCCGGTAGCTTGTGATGAGCGACCCATACGTCACCTCCGGTCTGTAATCACGGTGTCTGGTGCCAAAGCTGCGGCCAACTCAAACCGCTTCCAGGAGGCCCGGCTAATGAGGCGTACATCACCGGTCTCGGTCTCGCCGCTAAGGAATCCTAATTGGCGCGGAATGTGATAATGCTACCGTGGCCTACCGCGCCGCTGTGGCCGCGGGGCGCGTCTGTCGGCAGCGCGGCCCGGTATGCTGACGGCCGCCTTACCGAGAACAACAGGCTGTGCTTGCAAGGGCGCGTATTGTCATATATCTGGTATAGCCGCCATCAATGTCGGACATTGCCCGGGGCGGCAGGCGGCTCACACAGTCCGCCGTGCGACCGGCCGCCCAGGAATGCAACCGGCGCGGTGGCCGCGCGGCGGACGGACCGCACTGCCGACGGACACTAGGGGAGGACGGGCGGGCGGACACTAGGGGAGGACCAGCGGACGGGCGGCACTGCCGACGGACCGACTAGGGGAGGACGGGCGGAGGGAGGGACTGGGGGAGGGAGTGGGAGGGTGTGGGAGGGTGTGAGAGGGAGTGGGAGGGTGTGAGAGGGAGTGGGAGGGAGTGGGAGGGAGTGGGAGGGAGCGGGGGCGATCGAGTAGAAGCAGGGCTGGGAAGGAGGAGCGGAGGTGGAGCGAAGGAGGGATTGGATGAATCAGGATAGTCAGGTAAGACGAACGGTAAGAAAGGGAGAGCAACGGAAAGGAACGGGTTGGGACAGGTGGCAGATATAGGGGAAATGATAAAGTATGAAGAGGGAAAGGCTGGATAATGCATCAATAACGCCCGATAAGGATCAGTGATAACCGAAGCGCATGGGACATGCAGAGCAGATCATGATGTAGGGGATCAAGTTATACCGGTGGCCTGGACCGTTTGCGGCCCTCCGTTCCCTGAAGCGGGTTAACTGTTGCGCCTCTGCCGAAGGGAGCGGCTCTGGCGGTCGGGCAGTCAGCTCGGTCAGTGGCTCGTCCCGGTGACCGGTCCGCGTCCGCCGCTGCCGGCGCTTAGTCGCCTGACTGCGACTGTGGGATCTCTGCAGCTGGTTGCCGCCGGCGCCGGTACCGTGACCTCCCGGCCATCAGCGGCGCTCTCCGCCGGCCGCCGCCGCCGCCGGGCCCACGCCGCCGTGAGAACCGCCCGATAGGAAGTGCTGGCCGTGTCTGCGTGCAGTCCGTACCCCGTGCAGTCCGTACCCGTGCAGTCCGTACCCGTGCAGTTCATGCAGTCCATCCTCTCACACCACGCGAGACAGGTGAGAAAAATAGAACAGAAAGACGTGGGCATGCTTACAAGCCTTACTGAGGTTCTTCTGGAACGAGCAGCCGCGGAAGTGCAGATGGAGGCCGAAGCCGTACGGACAGTTGGAGGAGAGTTGAGAGCTGGTGCCCGGGCAGACGGCGCCCTCCGCCTCCGACTCGTATGTGAACGAGAAGCGGCCGCTGATCGGACAGTAAACCGGCGCCGTATGCTCCTCCGACGTCCGCGTCTTCGTCTCTGGAACAGACGGAGGAGACGGGCGTTAATCGATGCAATAGGAGGGAGTAGAGATGTCCAGTTACGTATGTTTCCTCATTAGCAAGTGGGGTGCGATGTGTCAGCTAGCGAGCCATTCAAGCTATTGTGGTCACCGAGCTTCTACGCCGTAAAAACGTTTCGAATAAATCCAAGCTGTTAATGGGATAACCATAACTCAACATAAGGTAAGGACGGCAGCAAGCTTTGAATCCGCAGCAATAAGCCATTGATGCATCAACCCTCTGTTAATTCAAACATTTAGCCGTTTAAAACTAGTAACATAAATTTGCAAAACAGCAAGTCTTTACGCTGCGATCGTAAATTCAAGACGATAAAATGATATATTTCTACTCACTGTACATGATGATTTCGTGGACGCGGCCGCGGCGCCTCGCCTCCTCGGAGCTGAGCTCGGCGGCCGTCGGACACAGCCGGTACGTGTCGTTGAGGTTGGTGGCGCAGCTACTCTGAGGGTCCCGCGTGTGCAGCTGCAGGACGTTCGCAGAGCGCACCGCCATGTGGAAACAGCGCAGACAGCCGTTACTCCTGCGGGACGGGTCAGGAATAGTCAGAGCGGACCGCCATATGGAAACAGCGCAGACAGCCGTTACTCCTGCGGGAGGGGTCAGGGTTCGGTCAGAGACACACGCGGTAGACGCTCATGATAAACAAACATGAGAGTCATTCACAAAATCCGGCAGAAACTGTAAGCATAAAAACTACAAGAAAGGCACACATTTCAATCAGCAATGCTCAAACAGCACAGCACAGCGTTCACCCATCGTTGCAGTTAACCTTTGCGTAACTTACCCATCCCGTAGAATAAGATTGTCATCGACCTTTTTGTGGCAGAAGCCGTACGGCAGGATGCTGTTGATCTCGATGAGTACCTCGGAGTATTGGTTGGGCGCGGTCTGCACCGCATAGGTGCCGTGATACTCGAACGGAAAGAAACAGTCGCCCAGGACTGAAAACAGACAGACACAGTGTCACTGTCACTGTCTCCGGCCGTGCATTCAGTGACGCTAGAGTGAGGCTTCACACCGTCTAAGCAAAACGTCCATTGATTATCCTCACTCTTTGAGACAAAACGAACATTGTGACAAAAAATGAAAACAACGGGAATATTAAATTAAAATGATTAAAGAGATGAGTTTTAAATATTAGGCGAAGGGTCATGGGCGTCCTTACAGCATGACGTCAGTATTTAACACATTTCTGTCAGAAAACTTATAAGATGCTGTCTTGGTCACAACTGCAGTCTCCGCCTTGGCTTGGTGTTAATGGCTCATGACTTCGTTGCAGTCTCTTCATCGGCTTTATGCTAGTGACTCATGGCTCTGTTGCAGTTTCCGCCTTGGCTTGGTGTTAATGACCCATGGCTCCGTTGCAGTCTCTCCCTTGACTTGGTGTTACCGACCCATGACTCCATTGCAGTCCCTGCTTCAGCTTGGTGTTACCGACACATGACTCCGTTGCAGTCTCTCCATCGGCTTAGCGCTAGTGAGTAGTGACTCATGGCTCCGTTGCAGTCTCCACCGTAGCTTGGTGCTACCGACCGGTTGCTCCGTTGCAGTCTCCGCCTTACCCCGAATTCGGAGTCTCCCGGACGACGAAGATGCTTCGTCGTCCGACCAATGCCGTTGAGGTTGGCGGGGGCGGGACTGCGCGGCTATCGAACGGGATTGGCCGTTAGACGTAGAATGTTCTTCTTCCGAGGAGACTGCAAACACACCCTTAGCTTGGTGTTAGTGACTCATAGTTAAGTTGCAGTCTCTCAGTAACTCGTCTCGTCAAAAGTCCTATTATGGTCGAGTCCGTCACAATCCTCACATAACTTGTAGGACTGGATCTCTTGATTGAGTTCAAATTGTTTGAATGAATGAATGAACGACTCAGTGAATGAGCGGAGACCCTGAGATAACCCTGACTAGTCAAAGTCACGTATGATCGACGAACTGGTGGATTCAACAGGGCCAGGACGCCGCTGCCGGCTGGAGAGGGGCTGACTACTCTGAACCGGGCTCGTGAGCTAACTGAAGTCACGACTCCAGCCCTTTTCCAGACATCAGGACGAGCCCGCTCCTCTTTGCTGATCATCATCCCTCGATCTCCTATTCCGAGTAGGAAGGTCATCTATAAACGGTCAGCATCCATCGCTAGCCTGCTAAAAGGCTCCTACATCGTCACCTGGTCCAACAGCTGCCCCTCATAGCTACAGTGGCAATTAGCAGCCTCTCACTCCTCCTCGCTGATCCCCTGCTGCCAGCCCGCCCGAGTACCGTTGGAGCCGGACTTCCGGCCGCCCCCGCCCACCGCCGGAAGTGACCGCTGGTGACGTCAGACGCGGGAGTGACGTCACGATACCCCGCCCGGACGGGTGGCTCGGCGTGGGTCACGCGTTCTGACCGCGCTAACGGTTCGTGACCTCGTTATCACTCGTTAGATCTTCACGGTGTGTATCAACAAATATCCGTGATTTTGTCACTTAAGAGCACTTCTACCGAGGACTCGAGACGGAATGTGCTCGTACAATTTGACTTCGTGAAAATGCACTGAAAGCTGTTTATAAAACGCTTATAACACATACCTGTTTTTGAACGAAAACGGATCATCTTGCGACGGTGCTAAGTGGCTCAATTTAGGACACAGTGAGCTTTATGGGCCAATTGAGATAACTACCCACCGTGGTGGTGTTCAGAACAGTACAAAATGAGCAGCTGAGTGCAGTTGGGCACGAGTTCCCGCTAGCCAGGTGTGGGCCGGTGGCCCGGTGGTCCGGCCGTGCTGAGCGGCAGCTGCCGGCCGCTCGTCCGGCGGCGCGCGCGACCAGCTCACCGGGATGATTACGATCGGAATTGGCGGGCGGGGCCGTCCGGTGGACGCCAGTTACGACTTACGCAGCCGGTGGGGGCTAGTTGAGCGCGCGGCGGTATCTGGACAGGGGCAGGTGATCACTGAGCAGCGGGGAGGTCTCAGCTGCAGCGGAGCTGGGCCCGCACCCGCCCACAGCAATTTGGCAGAGGTGATCACCGTCCGCCTCCGTGAGGTTTTCCGGGCAGCTGCCCCGCACCGTTTATACACTGCCTATTACCCGGTATTTGGGAAGCTGCCGAAAACCGTTTACACACCACCTCTTCCCTGGTATTTGAGAAGCTACCCTCGCCCCTCACCTCCACCTCCACTGCCGCAGACCGGTTCAACTGGAGCCCCTGGGTGCCGCTGATCTGCACGATATACGAGCAAACCATTTACGCCAGACATAAGACGAAACCGCAAAGGTAACTTCACTCTCTCTCTCTCACTTTACCCTCAGTAAGAAATGCCCGGCTGAAGAAATAAATTCATTCGCTCAGTCGAGTGAGATGTACGAATTCGCCAGTAAAGTTTTTATAGCAGCAATAAATTGAAAAATTTATTTTATTCATGTAAATAGTGCACATCTGCTGAATTTTGTGCGACTACCATACTATCCATTGTAGTCATATGACACTCGTTTCAGTAGTTGACTCAAATCAGCTCGGAGGTGGAGCAGCACTCTCGATATAGCACGGTGCGCGGCCGTCGCCCCCGCACGGTCGTCCCGGAAGTGGCGTCACCAGCTAGCTGCCGGGACACACCCACTAATACGGGCACCACCCCGCACCGGTCCAGGCCGCCACCCTGACCCCGCCCGATAACCACAGGCACAGACACCCGGGCCTACAGCCACACACACAAACCGATCGGAAATCGATCGGAATGTTCCACCGCGCCCTCCCGTCCGCTGTTGGAATGTTTAGTTGTACCCTCTCATCCCGTTGAAGTGACCGTTTGAGTGACTGGGTGCTATCCTAATAGGGCACATCCGTTCCAACGGGATGGGCTCGGTTGCGGCAGTGAACCATTCTGAGGTCGACACTCTACAAGCCCTTTGTCTCCTCAATAGCATAGTACCTATCACACGGATCAGAAACGATCCCCGTAGGACGAAAGAAGACGAAACAAAATCAGCAATCTAAGCAGTCGAAACCCGACCCAGACCAAGACTGATTCACCAGAGGTAATCTAACGGCAATAACGTTTCGGAATGTCCACATTTCCGCCCGTTCCGCTCACGGAGTGGTTGCATATATTCAGTCCGCAACACCAAGCAAGGACGATCCAAATCCCGGTGATCGGTGTGGGGGACGGAGGTGTTTATATGCTTTAGATCAAACGCAGGTGCGCGAGAACTGAAGAGGCTAGGCTTGAGTAAATGACCACATGACCTGTGGAGGACTTCAAGTTGAGCCGCCTAAGTGTTGAAAGGCTACTGACCTCAACCTGGCCCTGGGCGAAGGGCTGCGAGAGGTGAAATTCCGCAATCTAAAATAACGTCTTTGGCAGTGTATGAAAAGAAATGTAGCCTGACCATGGGCTGTTTTCCTCTCGGCTCTCGGCCAGCTGAGGCCGCCAGTGCCGACTGACCTGAGTGCAGGACGGCGAGGAGTGTGGAGAGGCCTGAGTGAGTTATCGCTGGGACTGCAGATAGAGGCCACTGACCTGAGTGCAGGACGGCCAGGAGTGTGGTGGCCGCCAGCCCCAGCCACATGCTGCCACCGCCACCGGCGCCCCCGCCCGCGGTCACGCAGCCGCACGGTCGCCGGATTGTGCTCACAGTGTCACACACGCTCACCGCTCACCACTGATCTCAGAGCCACACACCTCCCGTCGCGCTGCCGTGCGAACCACTGCGGCGACCGGGCCGCAGCGGGCCGGCCGGGCCGGGCGGCCGGTCCGTCCACCAATCACGGCTCCGGCTGCCGCGGCCGGCGACCCGCCCCGCCCCGCACCAGACGCCCCGCCCCGCTCCGCAGGAGACGCTCCGCCCCCTCTCAGCGTCCTGCGTCTCATGTAACACACGAGCGACCGGAATAAGCAGCTCATGTCCGGCCACCGTCCGGCGCAGACGCTGCCCGAGAATACCGTCAGAGATAACCGCTGTCCGGGAGGCTAGAGCAGTTTCACTGTCCGGGGACAACCACGGCCACCGTCCGGACAGTCAATGTCCGGAACGGTCTCTGTCTGGGGCAGTTCACTTTACGGAGCCCTCTGGCGGCCCGTAGGCCGGCTGGGCGAACCACCGATTGAGTTCCGACTCCGTGCCACCCCCGACTGGCCGAGAATACCCGCCGGATCAGAGCTACCGTGTGTTACGGCCACCCAACAGCCAGACGACTGACGAAAGGTCAGCTTCAGTAGCAGCTCCATATCTCTTCGGGGTTTAGGTGGCTGGGGGCAGCGGGACTCCATTCCAGTGCGTAGCGGACACAGTTTCTTTTTATCCTATCATCCCACGACACTGAAATGGTCCCAGTAGACTACAAGCGCCTTATTCAACTACAGCATTGTCAGCGGCAAGCATCGTCTGGAACGCCGCTGTTCATGCTAGCCGTCTATGACAATGCATTGTCACGGACGGGGTAACCCGGGCCGGCCGCGGTCACAATATCGACAACGTGACAACGTCAAAGACAGTGGCTGCACTACAGCGGCCTACAGAGACCCACAGCCGCCAGTCCTGCCAGCCTGTGCCTCGTTTTGTCATTCGCCGTTTACGTCAGTCTGGGTGTCTGGCTGTCCATAGCAATACCTTGCATTTGTCAGCAGCCGGCTGATCTGGATGGATGATACGCCACATGATCAGCATCAATCTGTCATAGGGTCTGTTCCAGTCGCGCTTCCTAACACCTCTAAACTCCTCCAAAATTGCTTTCCTGTTCCAGTGGCAGCTCTAGCCCCTACAAAGCCAAGGAGGGCCCTGCTCCAACCTCCTCTATCTTGCTCTTGGAGGAGTTTAGAGGCGTTAGGAAGTGCGACTGGAACAGACCCGTAGTCTGCAGTGGCGCGGTGCCGCGTGCAGTTTGCCCAGTCCTTGAGGTAGACATGGTGGACACCTGAATACGGATGAGCCGCATAGTGAAATCCCAATCTAACCAAATTGAAATGGGTAACTGGGCTCATCGAAACATAAAATCATCCAGCAGCTATGGAAGGGCTCACACCGTCATGAGGCCATGAGACTCAGTACTCACAGGGGCTCAAGTTCAGGGTAAGTATAAGAGCGCCCCATTTTAATGCTATCGATGTATCTTCGTCACCCGCTCATAAGAGAACGGGCAAAACGCTGGTGAGATGCGATCCCACGCCGCGATGGAAGAGAGCAATAGGAATGAGAGGTGCCCTCGCCGAATGAAGGCCCACAGCTAGGTAAGTAATTGAAATATAAGAGCACACAATGTACGTGCATTCACTGTGTACCGTTAGGCGTTATGTGATCCGTGTTTGGCTTGGCTGTCAAGTTGTTCATGCGTTTAGGTAAACGGCACATCTAGTTCTGCATCGTTGATTGTTCGCTGCCCAAAAGTCGCAAACGTCTCAAAAAATGTAAGATGTGACCTTAAACTGCTATGCAGGTAAGATGCCAAAAAACAAAAAGAGCTATTATGCGAGAATGATAAGCTGGATTTTTTGCCCATTTCCTCCACGCAATGCAAGCTGCGTGCTGACGACAGAAAGGAAGCTAGTCCTGAGTCCGTGACCTCGTCATCGATGCATTCTTCATTTTTTTTTACGCCGTCACCCACGATCAGGTGACCAATAGTCCCCTCCCTCTACCCCAGCGACAGTGAGCGTACCTACTTACGAGCAAGCATACAAACACGCGGGCAGGGCAGGTATACAATCACGCGGGCAGGTATGTACGCTCCAAGACCTCGAAAATAAGTAAGATTGTAAGCAAGCAAGCAAGCAAGCAAACACACAAACAAACAAGCAAATAAACAAATGAACAAACTAATAAACAAACACACACACGCCAACAAACACACAGACAAACACAGCCGTAGGTAGGTAGGTAGGTAGGACTAGGTATATAATGAGTGACTTTGATTCCCTCACCCGTCAATCCCTTGCAGCTGATGAACTGAAGATATATGATGCAAATTAATTAAAATTGTTTTGAAAATGATCTTGGAAGCGTGCACGACCAATAAAAGATATGCAACAGCACTGAAACATAGAAATATAAATTACATCTACGTTTTTAGAGCACTTTTATGTTACCAATGGGCACACAAGTCGAAAGAAGAATAAAAGTAATTTTTATTACGATAAAACTCGGTCCCGTTGGGATTCGATCCCACGACATTTCACGGAACAGGCATAACTGAAGCGCCTAGTTGAGAAAAAGAGACGCCCGTGCTGCCATATTTCATACTAAATTTTTGGATACTGGAAGAAAATCAACTAAACCGAAAAAAAAAACAGAAACTGGGGGTAACTAATAACCAAGCTAATAACTGCATTTCCTTCTTGTGGTTGCGCATGGATTGTTGTTTACTTATTCGAACTTGATTGGATAAAAAGAAAGCTTTTTGATGAACCAGTAAGTAAGGCTGTTCAACTAATCAAAGAGTTCCAGAAATCTGAAACCAGCCAGATGCTGATGTAGTAGAATGGAGATTGGAGGTCTTATGTAATGAACTTACAGGCCATTTTAATTTCGTAAGCAGTGCTATATAAACCTGTAAACCATTTTGAGCGAAAGTCTTGGACCTCCGTTCCGTCGTTTCCATCCAGAGGCGGATCCAGCTCAGAGTTTTGGGGGGGGAGGCAAACCATAAAATTTATTGATTCTTTCCATGCATCGTCCATAGGCGTAATGTTAAAATTATGCCATTTGGGGGGGGGGGCAAATGCCCATTTTGCCCCCCCTGGATCTGCCACTGTTTCCATCCTCAGGATACTGAAATCCTTGCTTGGCGGGCTGGTCGGCCTGTCCATTCGGACGGGCTCAGCCCCTGCGACTCTAGGGTGTCTGCCCAGTAATGTCTCCCCCTAACTCCTATCATCCTTCCGGCTCTGAAATGGTCTTGTCAGACCGGAAGGGCCTAACCCAACAAAAACATACAAAGTCTTGGAGGTGAAGAGCCAAGGGGGCTTTTGGGCGAATTATCCTCTCACTCTAGCACATTCTAAGACAGTAACTCTTTATAACTGTTACATACTAACATTCATACTGCTGTCATGTGTCCAAAATTTTCGAAAATTAAGTTATGTTTGATCTCAATGCATGTGCATCAGACACCAAGACATGGGTGTACAGCACAGTGTCCATTGGGCAGTGAGTGCCTGAATTGGGACATGATCTGGAATGCAGTTGCTTGAGGATCGGAAGTTAGCTCTGACACCATGCTTTCTATGCTCTTTTGTTTCAGGTTGTAGCACTGAGTGCCTATCGCCATGCATGGCGATTTGTCCAGCCATCTGCACTCCCAAGAATGCAATGAGCTGATTGAACAACTCAAGAACTGTCATCAGGAGGTAAGCAGTATAAAGAGTTTGATGCATGCATACCTATGTACTAAACTCTGACCAGTTGGGTTAGATTCCCAGGAAAGACACAGCCTATAGCTCCCTGGCCGCATGAAACCAGGCCGGACAAGGTGCATTTTCCCTTTAGAACTTGATACGCAGGATGCTTGAAGAATAATCATTGAGAAGTGAGAAGTAGAGATTTTGCAGGAAATTATGGGGGCCACTAGCCCAAAAAGTATCAAATCAATCGCATGCGACTACACCCCAGTGGTGAAGGTAGATACAGTTTCGTCCCTTGATCCGCCCTATAGTGCTTAAGACATTTATTTTGCCGTTTGATGATTTCCGTTACTTGCTTGTTTTTCATTCTGATTCAGTCCTACAATGACGTGAGGTTTGTCTGTTTCAGCAATTCTTCGGGAAGTGGTTCGGCGCCTGCAGTGGAATTGACGTGAAAGTGCGTCGGTGTCTGAAGCTAGAGGTAGGCCGACGAAATGCTGGCCACACAAAGATGTGGGGCGATAGGCCTGCTATGGGTTAGCCTGTTCCATTTTTGTTGTTACCTACTGGTCGTAATTCGTGGGGAATCGGTTGGAAATTACAACTAAAGGATGTGTGATCAGAAGTCCCGATGAGAGCTCCGGCCTTTTCTTTCTGTTGGTTTAGGGCAGGGTGGTTGAGGTAAACGCAGGGATTTCCTGGTTAGGCTGATGTTTTTTCACCATACTGACCATGTGCGTCGCCGTCGCATTTCAGCGGTTGGAGCGACAGAAGACCAATAACGAGCTGGCGGCGGCCAAGCACCAGCAGTTCCAGGAGCGTATGAAGCAGCGCACCGCCGGCGCCGCGCAGTGACCATGACGCCCGTGCCGGCCATCGAGCACTCGGTGGAGCTGGAGGGCCAGCCGCGCGACTTCCTGGAGCGCTACTACGAGTGCCGCTACGTACTGGACCGGCGGCGGCCCGGCCACGACTACCGGCTGCTGTTCCACTCCAACGGTCTGATCGCGCTGATGCTGGCGCCGTCCCACCCGCTGGTGGCCTCCGGCGCCACCGTCACCGGCATCGACTTTCAGGTGAGGGCTGTCAGTCGACCGGCTTTCGCCTCAAAGGCAGAGTGAGATATCGTGACAGCCCGGAGCTCGATGATTGCGTTATGACCGGCTTGGGAAGGATTAGTCAGGGACTGAGGGTCAGGGATGAGGGATTTTAATGGCCAGGGATGCTTTATTTTTTATTTACCTTAAGTATTTACCTTAAGTAAAGGTCATTAGGTACCCTTTCGAGTAATCAGACCCTTTACTCAAGAGATGCCTCCTCTTCTTCTGACAAAGACGAGTAGGCTGCCATGCTAGGTGAGGCCATACATTGATGGCCACGATGATCATTAGTATGAGAACTTGTAGTTGAACTTTTCAGGGTGGTCCTTCCATTCCTTCCCCAGTCTGTACTTGAACACATCGACATTTGGAGCATCGATGGTGTGGGTTGACAGCTTGTTCCATGTCTGAGTTACTCGTGCCGCAAAGAAGGCTTTTCTGGGTCCCAATTGATGCTGAACTTGAAGTTTTTGATCGTGACCTCGGGTGACACGGCTGAGAGAGTTCTTGAACATGCTGTTGTGACAACACGGGCACTCTCTTTGGAAGTCCACCTTGTCGAAGCCTTTCAAAATTTTGAAGGTCTCGATGATGTCCGACCGTTTCCGTCGGAATTCCAGAGTAGGTAAATTAAGGCTCCTGAGGCGATCTGAATATGAAAGGTGAGACAGTCCGTTCACCAGCCGTGTTGCCCGCCGCTGCACCTGTTCGAGTGCATCTTTGTCCTTTTTGAACTTGGGACTCCATATAACAGTTGCATACTCGAGGTGGGGCCTGACAATGCTTTTGTACAAGGCTTTGAAAATGTCGCTGTCAATGTTTGCAAAGGTATGCTTGATTGCACCAAGAATTCTATTGGCCTTGTTAATCTGGTTAGTGACATGTTTTGAGAAGGATAGCTTCATGTCTATAGTGACTCCCAGGTCCTTTTCCTCACAGACTGCTTCAAGGGTATGTTTGCCTCCACCCATAGTTGTCATGGTATACTCACTTCCAGGATTTGTTGGTCCAAGATGCATGACCTTGCATTTGAGTGGATGAAAGATCATCTGCATTGTTTTTGCCCAATCTTGCAAAGAGTTGATGTCCTCTTGCAGATTGTGAAGTTCACCATCGCGCTCGTTGATGACTTGGTAGACCTTGGTATCGTCCGCAAACATAGAGATATGACAATTTAAGAGGTCGGGAACATCACAGACAAACATGGAAAACAAGAGAGGCCCGAGCACTGAGCCTTGCGGCACTCCACTTGTTACATACTCCCAGTCTGAGAGTGATCCATTGACGTTCACTCTTTGCCGCCTGCCTGTTAGAAAACTCCTTATCCACTGATGAGTCTTTGCATTCACCCCTAGAGCCTGGACCTGGGCTAGAAGCCTTTCATGGGGCACAGTGTCGAACGCTTTGGCATAGTCCAGAAACACAACATCCACTGGTAAGCTGTGGCTTAGCGCTTCCGTCCAAATATCAAGAGCTTCCAGTAGGTTTGTGACTGTAGATTTCCCTGTGATGAAACCATGTTGTTGGCGAGCGATAAGATTGTTTGTCTTCAGATGAGCGATGATGTCCTCGCATATGATCCTCTCCAGAATCTTGCATAATATTGATGTCAGTGACACTGGTCGGTAGTTCGCGGGATCACTTTTGTCGCCTTTTTTAAAGATTGGCGTGACGGTGGCCACCTTCCATTGCCGTGGAACTTCTCCAGTTTCAATACTTTTACAGAACAGAGATGTGATGGGTGTCGCAAGTTGGTCAGCAAGTTCGTGCAAAACACGAGGGTGCATGTTGTCGGGGCCTGGCGATTTATCAATCTTCAGTGTTTTCAGCTTGGCATGGACTCGCTGAACAGTTATCGCAACTTGCATCTCTGCCTCCAAAGGCTTTGGAGCTAGCGTTGGGATCGATGACTTGTCTTCCTTTGTGAAAACGCTTGCGTACTGATGATTCAATATATCAGCCTTGTGCTTGTTGTTAGTTGCCAGTTCACCATTAGCACTACGCAAGTCCGAGATACCACATTTTGATTTCCTGCGACGGTTGACGTAGTTCCAAAACACTTTGTGATTTCCTTTGACTTATTTTTTTATATTATTATTTCACGTACGAGGCACTGACTGGTAATCGATGGTGTCGGCAGTCGCCCAGTTGGTACCGTCGGTCAGCTTGTGAACACCATTCCTCTCGTCTCCCCAGGTAACCGAGCACACCAACCGGCTGGAGAACAAGGTCTCCGGCAAGGGGAAGCGCGGCGCCCAGCTGGTGACCGGCGACGCGCCGCTCTTCTCCGTCACGTGCGCCGACGGCGAGCGCTACGTGATCCCGGCCTGCGTGCGGGGGAAGCTGGTGCAGCTGAACGAGCGGCTGCGCGCCGAGCCGCAGCTGCTCGTCTCCGACAGCGGCGGAGCCGGGTTCGTGGCGCTGATCCTGCCCAAACTGGGCACCAGCCGGGCGCAGATGGCCGGCACGCTGCAGCCGGCAGAGTACGCGGCGCGCCGGTCCGCCGCCTCAGCCGCAGACCGGTGACCGCAGAGAGGTGCCCCTGAGCCACCCGGCACGGACACGGGCACCCGCTCAACTCTCACGGAGACTGGGTGTTCCCGCCCCGCGTAAGAGCAGAGACCAGACTGTACGCTGTACAGTGTGCATCAGCTGTAGTGTGACGTTCCTCAAGTGAACTGTTGAGCTCAGAAGTGTGTAATATGGTACACATTGTGTGTTGCTACTAGTGCGTGTTGTTGAGTTCTACATGAATAGAAGACCAACGTAAAGATCTCGGCATTTGGAAGCTTTACTCGTATAACACACAGACGATCCGGGAGTGTTTCGCTGATGGACGCGTTTTCGGATTGCGACGCCTCTTAACCGCTAGAAACACACCTCATACACACAGAGTCATCATGTATTGTCACGTCACCGTATGTCGCCTCCAATGATGCCCGTCACCAGGTGCTGCTCTTCCTGACCCGCCGGGATGCTGATGCCGCCGCGGTCCTCGGCCGGCGAGTCTGGAGCGATGGTGAACACGTACTCGTGCCGCACGGCCGGCGGCTCGGCGCCCGGAGCCGCCGGAGCCGGAGCCGCGTACCCGGAGAGCATCGGCTCGGCGGCGGCGGCCGGATCGTCCTCCTCCTCGCTGGCCGCGGCCATCAGACCCTTCTGGTGGTCGCTCATGTGCATGCCGTACGAGATCTCGTTGACAGTGCAGAAGTTGCAGAGCTGGCAGCGGAAGATGCCAAGACCGCCGTGCCGGTTGATGATGTGCGACTTGATGGCGCTCGACTGGATGCACTCGTAGTCGCAGTGAGGACAGCTGTACGGCCGCACGCCAGTGTGCCGCATCTGACGGAGGGGGGGGGGGGGGGTCAGACACCAACTGAGGGCTGTGTAAGGGGGAGGGGGGAGGTCAGGTACCGGCCGGGGCATCTGTGGGGAGGGGGCGGGAGGTCAGGAGACAGGAACCCGCCGGGCGCGTCTGTTGAAGGAAGAAAGTGTGTGCGGCAGCAGGAATCGTGGCATTGGAGGCTGTGGGAAATTATGGGACGGGAAGGAGAGAGCGCCGTGGTGTAACACCAATGGAATGAAAGACACTCTCCGCTAATGCACTGAATACTAATTGATCACTTATACGGCAAAACGGATACCGGTAAAGGCAGGAGAGATTCACGTACGCCTCAACCCGTGATGGTGTGCGAAAAGGTACCTCGTCAACGATAGAAGCAAAACAAAATGATTATATTTATATTTACGCCACCATAAACGCGTGCCTAGGCGGCGCAAGCTGCCGACGCAATCCCCACCCGCCCGTACTGACCTTGTGCCTGCGGAAGGTGCTGGGGTCGCGGGTCTTGTAGTCGCAGCCGGGTTCTGTGCAGACGAACGGCGTCTCGCCGCTGTGTCCGCGCATGTGGAGCTGCAGCAGCGCCTTGGTGGCCGACGTGTGGTTGCACACGCGGCAGCAGAAGCTGCGCACCTTCTCGTGCAGAATGCGCTGGTGGATGCGCAGCGTCTTCACCGAGCTGAACATCTTGGAGCAGGTGGGGCAGACGTGCGGCCGGAACCACTTTGGGACCGAGAGCCGGCCGGCGCCCTCGGCGTGCACCACCCGGTGGTTGAGCAGCTGCGACAGCTGCCGGAAGCCCTTGTTGCACTCGGTGCAGACGAAGCGGCGCTCGCTGACGTGCAGCTGCCGGTGGTTCTCCATGTTGCTGTAGAGCGCGCACCGGAACCGGCACTTGTCGCACTTGAACAGGTCCAGGTCGGTGCCGTGCGCGCGCCACATGTGCGTCATTACTCGCGTCCAGCTGGTGGTGGTGAACTCAGTGCACTGGCTGCACTTGAACGACTTGGCCGTCACGTGGCACCGCTCGTGCGTGGCGCGGTACTGCTCGCACGTGAAGCGCAGCGAACACTTCTCCACGCGGCACTGGAACCGTTTATCGTGGCGCAGCTTGGGCGGCGGTCGGCGCTCGCGCGTCTTTTTCGGCTGCGTCTCGTCTGCGGCGGGCGGCTCGGCCGGTTTGGTGGCGGCGCCGGCGCTGCCGGTGGCCGCCGCCGTCTCGCGCCGCTTTCTGGAGAGGTGGGCGCGCTTCAGGTGCAGCTTGCAGTCGCGCAGCGTGTCGGACACGTGGCCACACTCGCTGCAGAGGAACAGCTGTTTGTCGCCGAGCTGCGGCCGGTCCAGCGGCGCGGCCGGCGGCGGCGGCGGCGCAGGGGCGGGGGCGGCCGGCGCCGCCTCCGGCTGGCAGTGACGCTGCTCGATGTGCTCGGTGATGGCCACCAGCGAGCCGAACAGCTCCGAGCACAGCCGGCACCGGAACGCCGTCACCTCGTCGTACAGCAGCTCCAGCGGCACGGAAAAGTCCAGCTGCAGCTGACCGGGGTCGGGCAGCAGCGCCGCCAGATCCCCGCCGGCCGGCGCGCCCAGAGCCTCCGTCAGCCAGCTCTCCATGACTCACCAGCTGCCCGACAAAACAGCGCTGTCAGACACCTAGGTCTTTGATGTGTTCTGTGACAGATGACACTTAAATAAATACTGGCAAAAATAACTTTTGGAAACTACTCATTTTTCAGTTTCAGGTTATATTATGCATACTACGGGACAGCACCTAGTCCTGCATTGCTCATTATCAAAATAACAAAAATGAAAAATATTGATCAGAGACTCTAGTTAGTCAATCTTACATTGGATTATTTAAAAAAGAAACCATTAAACAACTAACCTAACAGAAGTTGAAAATGGAAAAAAATACAAAATAAGTTGCGAGTTGCAACTGCAACCTGCAGGTAGGAAGATTGATAAAATTTGTTGCAATGATACAGCTCTAGTCTCACAACATGGCAGGTATTCTTTTTTCAACACAACAGAAAATAGCTTGATGACTGCACTATCAGTTGATCAGAAGTCATATCACAAAATAACACATTGCTCCACCTTTTTTACTGGACACAGCATTGAACTAATTTTACTTTCAGTGTGGCAGCAAAGAGGGAAATTTTGTTTCTGAGGCAACTATAAACTTTTGAGCATTGTCATCAAACTTGAACTAGGAGGAAAATCTACGAGTTGAACCCAACCCAAGGTATGATGCCTAGTGCATCTTGGTGTTGTGTTTATTGCGGCCAACACAGTCTTCAAGGACCGAATTATTCTCAGTTTTGTCAAAATAAGAATACCTACCATGCAGTAAGATTGAGATGGTCCTGTAGTTCAACTTTGTGATTCAAGAAGCTGCAATTCAAGTGTGGCTTGCAAGCTTACTAAATACTAGCTCTAACAATAACAATAAATTCTTAGGAGCATATAAAACTTGTAAGACAATGCAGTAAGATAAGAAGAACTTAAAAAACTCATGAAATATATCCAACAATATTGATATTAAGGATCAGTTTAAGCACACCAATAATCTACGTATTTGGCTTTGAATAGTATTTACCTGGGTTTAACTCGTCTAGTTATTTCAATTGAATATCCATCTTGCTTCACGGCTTACAAGAGTCAATCACAATCAATCAATGATCAATGACAATGATCAATGTGATCAATGACACAATCAATGATCAGAGTCAATGCGTCAAACAGAGTCAATTGCAATGAGTCAACAGAGTCAATGCCATGACTCTGTCAACAAGATTCATGAGAATATCTGTACGGATATCTTAGAAATCAAATAATAATAATTAATAAGATACTTTCCTACCCAAGAACCACTCACCAGTGTCGGAGAATTTCGAAATAGAAAAAGCAGCAAAACACCACAACTCTCAATGAAAAATGTATTGTGTTCAAATAAAATTCTTTTTCGGCTATTGTCGAAAGATACCGACAGACAGCCAATCACAGTGCTGCAAATTCTTTAGCAGTTGTATGGTTAAATCTCTAGTCGCTTGATAGAACAAATTCTCCATTTACTTGTGCGCCATTTATGCAGCAAGCTCTTGCTTCCATATAATGTCCTCATCTAGCGTAATTCTTTTTTCCCCCCAAAGGAAGGCGCTATACGGAGAATATCCCATTGCGTCATTGAAAAGTGACTTACACCTCTCACAGGCCAGCTGGCTGCGTGGTGTAGTGGTGAGCACACTCGCCTCGTGATCTAATAACCACGCTAATAACTAAGGTACGATACCCGACGCCGGTCGAACTTTTTGGCGCGTTGTAGGTTAGGTTGTAGGTTTGTAGGTTGTAGGTCTGTAGGTTAGGTTGTAGGTTTGTAGGTTGTAGGTTGTAGGTTTGTAGGTTGTAGGTTAGGTCAGGTGAGGTTAGGTTATGTTTGTTTTTGTTTGGTTTGTTTACCAAGAAGCATCTTCGGGTATAGCGCCTTCCTTTGGTTGGAAAAAAGAAACACGCCCTCATCTAGGATCTAGTCCGTAAAAACTAGTAGATAAGCAAAAAAAAATGCATTCTGAGCAATGAGCATGACTGCTAAAACAAAATTTGAGACTGGCACTTACACACTTAAAACATAACGAATGAATGAACATTGAATGGCTTCACTGCCTAGTGCCTACAGCCGTGACCAGCATCCATGCCTTGGAGCCGTTTAGATGGCTATCAAGGGCGCACACAACGGGGGGAGGGGGGGGGCACACGTGGGCCCGTGCCCTCCTCGTTCGAATTGAGGGAGTTGGTCTTCAAATGGGCCCTAATCCTTAGACCGCCGATGATCGTCTAAAAATGAACTGAAATGGCGATTGAAAAGACCGAGGGCCTATCTCGCGCCCGCCCCAGCAGGCCCATGTGAGTCCATGACCTGCAACTTTCACCACTGGGGTCTGGGGCCCTTCGGCATGAGGGGGCCCAGTTTGCATGGAGGGTCGTGCCCCATTCATTCAAAAAACTTGTGTGCGCGCCTTTTGGGCCATGCCTCACGGTTCAGGCTAAGCACACTAAACCAATCTTAACATAATGCTATAGCAAATTCCACTATCATTCCAGTGGCCATCCAGGGCAATTGGTATAACCTTCAACGATGCTCACGAAAAAAAGATTCTCATTTCGCCGGCATTGTCTATGAATAATGTAATCCCAGCTCTCCATATACGCACAATGACCGACCATGGTACATAATTTGCTTTATTCACGCAGATGTATATTGCAAAATGAGCTGTAAACATTGTGATGCAAACTAGCAAGTTGTCGGTGTATCGCCACTTACAATCCCCTTCCATTTGGACCACATGCGGTAGTCGTTACTAAGCAGCAGGGGCTCCGCCAGGCGCCAGGCGCCACAATCTCAGGATGGGGGGGGGGGGGCGATAGGATACACTGGATAGTGGATGGTATTGTGGAAGCGAAATTATTGGGGAGGTTCGGATCCATGCGACTCCCCCGTGGTGGCGGAGCCCCTACCGCGCAGCATAGCAAAACAAAACTCTTGGGTAGGTACCAACATAATAACTACACGTGACAAAAGTGCAACTCTGTGCTGCCAGCGTGGGCGTCACGAGACCAAATTGATGGCAAACGGTGAACATCATTTCTCCTAGTCCTGAAGCAATCACATTCTAATATGAAAACAGAATTATTGCCGCCCTCGAGTCACGACCTGACGAATGAAAATGTATATTCGCCTTATATAGACCGCGTATAGTATATAAATATAAATATGAATATCACACAAATATCGAAAATAGCATCACTTATAAGAAAAATGAGATCTGCGACCACAGTAAAGAGATAACTCACGGCAAATCGACGGTGGATCGTCGGTCCCCTAAAACAAAACGTTCGAGCGGCGAACCCTTACAAGGCAGTTGAGCTCTTGCGTTTGTGCATTGTTGTGACAGAACTCCTTGGAGTGTTAGTACAGAAATAATCCCGTCGAGTGCCTGAGCAGTGTGCTGACATTATTCTATCGTTCAGTCGAGTGTTTGTGTAGACAAAACTCCGTTCAAAAGCACATCGTGCCAATTCTATGTCGAAGTGGGTAGGCCGTTCCACTGGTCCGACCGATCCTCCCTAAAAAACGGCAAGCACTTGGGATCGTCTGTAGCAGCGGCAGCCTATAAAGGCCGGTACAACCCGTCCCGAGTACCGTCGCTCTCAGTCCCGCAGTGACTCTCTCAGTCCAGTACCGACCCTCTCAGTCCCGCAGTATCGTCCCTCTCATGCCCGCAGTAACCCTCTCAGTCGAGTACCGTTCCTCAGTCCCACAGTAACCCTCTCAGTCCCGCAGTATCCCTCCCAGACCCGCATCACTCTCAGTCCTTCTGAAGCGTCCTGCGTCGCGGCTGTCCGGGAATCGGCGACTGCGTGCTCCGGTGACCGGCAACCTTTGGAGGAAACGGACACAAGACGTTACACTACATCCGCAGGGGCTCAGGGCACACACAAACATCAGCTGAGGGGCGCAGTTTTGGACATTTGGTACTCAATTGGTAGCAACTGGAACTCAGCAGAATTTAACGACTAAGTAAATGAGCATTATCCTACCAATGACGTCAACCGACTAGCGATTTGAGTGTTTGCTGTAATATTGTATATTAAAGTCAAACACTTCTTTTTGCTCAAGTTCTAAAATGAGGCAGCCATTTGGTGGGTCAGGGGTCGTACAATATCGAAATTGATCCTTATCATGACGGAAATGCACGATGTCAATACAGAAATCAACAAGAAACCTGACTCGATTAAACTATAGCAGTTATACAACAGCGTACGCGTCGGCTCACCTTCAGCCGATCGTGTCCGCTGGAGTTTCGCTGGTGATCGTCCGGGTCCTCATCCGTCTTCTTTTTCAGGGCCTCCGCCTTCCTCCGCTGGGCCTCCAGGTCGAGCTGGCGAGCCAAAAACAGCGTCACAAACGCGAGCACCGCTATCTCAAAGGCGAAAACTCAGATAACAAATACGAGATATCGGAGATGTTGACCGCCTAGGTGTCATTTAGCTCCGAGTCAGGCAGTCTGAGTTAGCTCACACCCTTTGGCAGTCTGAGTTAACTCAAACACTCTGGCAGTCTATGTTAACTCACACTCTCTGGCAGTCTGAGTTAACTCACACTCTCTGACACTCTAATAATCTTAACTCACACTCTCTGGCAGGCAGCAGGAGAGCAGCAGACAGGCCGGCACGCCGACAGCCAGTACCAGCAGGGCGTACACCCAGGGCCGCTCGGCGCTGTAGTCCAGGTACCAGTCGAGCCACTCCAGGCTCTCCGCCTGTCGGCACAACATCGAGAGCGTCACGGAACCGTACACAGGACTGGGTGCTGAACAGTACTAACTGGTACGGATAACGGAGATATGGATAAAGGATCGTGTACCTAGGCATCGGTAGTCTGCACATACACAGACCTATCATACGAAGGGAACGAGTGGAAGGGGCTGACGCATAGAGCATAGAGCGTAATGCATGGGAGGAAGCTGGGCTACGTACCTTGCCTACCGGTGCAGATAGGGCTGAGTACCAAGGGCACACACGAGAGACGGACGCGTACGCAAGTGAACCCATGGTCCCTCGACTTGATCGCTCCGCTGCCCCCTGTTTCACGGAGTCACCCGTCCAGGACTCACCGTGCTCCTCTGCCGCAGGTGCTCGGCGCGTGGCTCGGGCGGCGGCGGCGGCGGCGGGACGAACCGGTCCGCCTCTGCCGTCTGCGCCGTCACGATCAGGTTGTCGAGCCGCAGTCCATCGCCGGCCGACCAGAGCTGCACGTTCAGCGCGCGCTGCGGCCGCACCGACACCGCGCTCCGTCACTGACAGACACAGACACCTGTGCAGAAACGGAACAAAACGACGAAAACCATAAACCAAAAGGAAATCAATGTAATGACAAACATAACAGCGTAATATTACTAGGTAACTAAACGAGACAAAGCATTAAACTGATAGCAAGCCAAACATGCGTAAAAAAAAACTGTGCAAAACAAAACAAGTTGACAGAAAATAAGCAATAAATGCACAACAGAAAATTATCTGCGAAACAATCAATGAACCATGGCTCGTCTTCATTTTGATGACCTTTGCTTTGATTGATTGTATTGTATCGTATTGAACAATCATGAGCGATCCACATTCTCAAAGTGCGTGGCGATTACTGCCCACTGTTATCTCGTCGATTACTTGATGGGTTTGATGTCATGTTCCACCCACCCTCCCGCGCCCGATGTGCCTGTTCCGACACACAGTCACAATTACTCACTGCCGCCAGGAGAGACTCCATTCCGGCCGACCCCGAGCGGGTGTGGTCGTGTTGCAACTGGCCGTCCGATTCCGAGGTACCCGCCGGCTCCAATAAAGACGCGAGGCTGATGTTTTTCACAATCTGAAACACAGCAACCGGATATACACAACACATCTAAAGTGACGACCGTGAGAGGGAATGATGTGACACGTGATTTATCCACTACAAACCAGTAGGGATCTATAAAATACCGCAATATCAGCATCTAGCCGTGGGAATTTTGCGACAATGCCGTGGCAGGGGCGAACTCTCGCAGTGCTCCCGCGGTCGGCACAGCGTCTGGTACGCACCTGTCCATCGAGCCGCAGTTGAACGGAGCGGCCGGCGGCCACCAGCCGGTACACGTGCAGTCTCTGACCGGGCGCCAGCCGCGGCGGCACGTCGACAGACAGCGGACGGCGGCCCAGGCCCGGACCTCCCAGCTGCAGCTGTGTGCAGAAAGACACATGGGATGGAGTTCAGTAGTAGCTAGACACTGCATCACTTCACTACCATGGTGGGCGTTTATGACGCATGTGTAACGTTTAATCATTGAAACAACTCTACAGCTAACAATAAAAAGTGCCAGTGCCAACATCGCAGAGGTCTTAGCTCCCACCTTCAGTTGGTCCGCGCAGCTCTCGGCGGCGAACAAGAGCGAGTGGGGCGTGCTGCTGTTTACCAGATCCAGCCGGTCAGCAGCGGAGTCCGTGAGAAATCGCAGCTGGACGCCGGCACACTGCCGCAGCCGGGGCAGCAGCAGCTACCGGGAACACAAAGGTCAGGGACACCCTCACAATCAAACACTCACAACACACAGCCACAACCAGATAAAGGCACACTGCCGCAGCCAGGGCAGTCGCAGCTGCCGGCACACAAACTCGGTCACGGAGACGGCCAAAGAACACAGCCTCAGCTTTGGACACAAACATAGGTATATGGTATCAGCATGCAGCTGGTGCAGTGACCCATCATTGTCCACCACACCATCCTGCGAATGTCCCACCAACCTTTCCCCACTGACCACACCCACTGACCTGAAACTGCACAATGAGGGGCCGTCCGGTGAGCGGGCCGTCGAGCGGACGACTCAGCGACAGGTGTCGAGAGCCGGGCGCCAGCGTCAGCCCGAGATCGGACTCCCAGACGCTGTCGGGCGCCGGTACCAGTCGCCATCGCTCTGAGGATGCATGCATGAATGGATGAATGAATGAATGAATGAATGAATGAATGAATGAATGAATGAATGAATGACATGAATGAAGAAATGAATGTGTCAATGCTTGAATGGTAGCATTAGGCCAGTAAGATTACATGGTCAGTGCGACCATGAGTATGACAATTAATGTTTTATCTCATCTATATGTAACTTCAGGGTTGCTGACATTTTCATAAAATATGTTCCTAAGAATATCAAAGCATGTGCTTGTAGATCTAACTGCATTGGGATACAATAACTCTGGAAATGATGATCAAATAGGCATAGGCATAACTGCACCATAGTTAGAAGTAAAAATGTCCTTTATTAGTTATTGACAATGACAAACCATCAAACAGGAAAAAAATTATACAAGACCTAGCTGAGTGTCTTTTTTTTAACTGACTTCCTACTTTGCAGCCAAAGACAGGTTGCTAACACCAGTAAATTAGGTGCCTACATCAAATGTGATGTTACCTCTCTGATTCTCCAATGAAGTTGAAGCACCTGACATTATCCATTCTCTTTCAAATGTCCAAATGTCATCAAAATGTTCCGCCAAGTAAGCGCCCTTGGCCATGGGTGAGACGTATGGAGTAGGTTCAGGAGTATCCACCTCATCATCATCCTGAGGAAAAAGAATGGAAAAGTGCAATCAAAACACAGACAGTGACAAAACCAGACTGTCATATGAATCTCCATAGCTTTACTATAACCAATGTTGGTGTCATTTATCATTCAGAACAGCAACACAAATTTGTTTCCAACCCATCACACCTCACGGCCTACTTCTGAATCTTATTTGCGCCCCAGCCGTAAGAAAAAATAGACTGACAACAGAGAGACTTGGTGTATATTTAAGCTCAAAACAGCATTGTCATAGATATTTTAAAGCTCATATAAAAAGGATAGAAATTATTGATTTAATTTTAATTCATAACTTGACTGCCATAACAATAAATCTCAATTGACCCAAATTTGATCATGTCCAAACACCACCAAACATTTTAACAGCAACATTTTCACTTTTTAGAATCATACTAATCATATGATATAAAACAAAGCAATTTTTACTGACTGTTATTCAATAAACTGTGAGAACTTACTTCAAAATCAGCATAAGATCCAGCCAAACACCTTGACTTTGAATCGTTAAAGACAATTAAAGTCAGACACAGTACAGCTAAGAAACACGTCATGACTATTTACTCTGAAGAAAAGCAACAAAAATGAATCACAGCCAGATGACTGATTTGTGAAAAATCAGACAAATGTGCCATATGATTAATTCGAATTATCTAGCAGTCGCTCCTGCCTTGGTCGCTCCTCTCTCTACACCACGCACACCACACGGCACAAATATCACTAAAAATTAATTGACTTTGCCGCGTCATTTATGTCGTTATCAGTAATAGCTCTTGAATTAATTTTCGTTTCATTTTATTGTGATGTATTGTATTTTGATTGCACTTAGTGAATACTTCTTAAACTCAAAACAAATTATATTAATTCAAATCATAAACAAAAAGTGAATGAAAAAAACTAGAAAAAACAAAATAAAGCGTAAAAGCTTAATTTAACTCTGGTGGTTGCCATGGTGACCTCGGAATGCCATTCTCTGCTGTTGTTGATGTTTTGAGTTCGTTCAAAATTCAATATGATTTTGAGTTCTTTGCCGACATTTATGTTCGCTTAAATTGTGTTGTTTGATAAACATAGTTTGGACTTTTTGATGAATCATTCAGTGTCAGTTTATTCGTATCCTTTGCATTATGCCAGGCGTTCTGGAGCGGACGCCAACGATCACGGAAACAAATATCAGTACAAGTAGGTTTCAGCTGTGGATGTTACCCATGTCAACGTTACAATAAGTGAGATGATGTATTGGAGTATTTGCGACATACGTGTCCTGTCGGGCAGGCACCGATTGATTCCGGGGAAGGGAGAACGTAATAGGATGAACAGGACAAGACAGAAGAACAGGTTCATGCTGCCGCGGCAGCATGAACGCTTGCTCGTCACCGGGGTTGGGGGGAGGGGCAAGGGGGGGGGGAGTGAGGAGGCACACTTACATAGGTACCCGCAGATGAGATATGTCATAAAAAGCCCTTGAGACACCGAACAGTCACAGCGAGCTTTTTCCATCATCTTGACCGCACGTGAGTGGAGTGCATGCCCCGGACTCCGGAGAATAAACTTTCGTGACCTCGTCGGATAAACACGGCTGTCCACTGTCCAGCTCGGTACGGAGCTTTCCGATTTTAATTTGAGGCGTGGAGGAGAAAACTGTTTTATTTGACTTATTTATTTATGTTTTTTTGTTTTTTATGTTTTATTTGACTTTGGCTAAGAGGGAACGGTGACGTACTGCAGTTGACCATACGCCGTGATACGCCGGTATCTGGTGCGATGGCGGTCAACTCGGAGTCGGACGGTGAAATGTGATGGAGGATGGGGTCGAGGACGGGCTTCTCTTGAGGATCGCCTGGGCCTGCGGGATCCGGGTATTTCGAGTAGGTACTCCCGCCGCCGCGTACTAGTATATATAATAGCTGATCACCGCCATCCGCCATCCGGGCGCGCTCAGCTCCGCTTCCGGGGGGGGGGGGGGGGAGGGCCGGTATCACGACACCACAATCCGGTGGAAACAGCTTTTCCCGTCAGATGCAGCAAGCTACGAGCCGGCCTCATGCGCTGTTATAGCACGTGTATCAACTTTTAGTTCCTTGTTACGCTTGATCATATTTCTAGCTCGGCTAATCCAAGCGGTTAGGTTGATTTGATCGTAGGCGATTATACTCATCGAATCCAAGCGAAAGTTTTCATGAAGCGAGGCACGGGAAGGCTATAAATTTGGGTCTGGCGAGCGAGTTAAACGGCAATTATTAGCATTTTGAGGATGCGGCGGCACAGTGCTCAACAGTGGCGGTTGCAATCGGGTTACAGTGCTAATACATAATAATCTACAGAAATTATCCGGTTACCGATGCTGACAACTGGCACCTGACCGGCCCCCCATTTCAGGTGAACTGGAGGATGCATTTGGTCGTGGAGATTCTTTCGGAGGCGGCCATAAAGCACAAGAAACCCTACCCTGCCCTTGAATGGCTTGGAAATGTAAGCATCATTTTAGGTATGGCTATGATCCGTTTGAAAGTACAGGCTAATTAACGATCCCTCCAATCAGTCCAATCCAATTCCTTGGTTGCGTAGCATCGAATGGCGAATGGCGTTCGAAGAATGCCCAGGTCAGTCCCTGGACCCAAAACTAAAGCAGATCCGGCTAAGGTTTCTGTTGGCCGGCGGCCGCATGTGTTCTTATTTTTCTACATCCATTGTGTGATCTGTACCCCGTTCACACAGGACTCGGAGAGTATATTTCTGCTGGACGGCGGCCGCACGTGTGTGCTGCAGCTGCCGTCGGGCGGCACCAAGAAGCACGCGCTGCGCTACCGGGCGCTACACGAGCGGCTGCGCGCTGCCGTCTCCGTGGGCGTGTCGCCGGGCGGCGCCTTCCTGGCCGGGACGGACGTAGGCGGCCGCCTGTTCGCCTGGCACCGGGACTCCAACACGCTGCGCACCGTGCCGCCGCCGGACGACTTCCCCTGTCTGATGGCGCCCGCCGCGCCGGACGGCGACCGGGAGAGCCCGCCGCCGCCGGCGCCGCCAGGTAAAGTCATCGCGGGGAGGGGACTGGTGTCTGCTCCAATAACGTGTGCCGATGGTATCACAAGGAGTGAAAAATCGTTGAAGGTCTACCTCACATAATATTTTGGAATATTCAGATTTACGCGTGTTTATCTGTGAGGTGACGTGATGTAACCCGTCTTTTTCGCCTGGTTCGGTCATCCAAAGTACGGTAAAATTTGTTTCTGTGAAAACAAACACATTATTTGTTCCGGTCGGGTGAGAGCTGTTTTTTAATTGTCGGCTGAATTACGCCGTCAATGGGCTCGGTCATTTCACGGCGGCCCGCTGAAAGCTGACTGTACCTGTTTGTGACGGTTCACTAATCCTTCTGTTCAGACGGCGGCCGTCTGCTGACGCCGCGGCTGTTTGTGGACGCCGCGGCTGAGCGGGCGCTGCTGGTGCGGCCCGCCGGCGGCCTGCTGCTGCTCTGGGAGGACGGACGCGCCGGACGCTGGTCGCTGCTCACACCGCCCGGCCACGTGCCGCTGCCTGATACACCCTGCAAGGAGACCGCCGTCGACGTCGCCTTCAGCCGAGAGGTCGGTGACCAGCTGCCTTATGTAGAGCGTATGACGCGGGCACCGCTGATATTTTTCCTGTTACCTTCATGTGGTCTTCGGTGTCCGTCCCGGCGGGCCAGCGGCTGTTCGTCGATAGAGCGGTGTCATATGTCCGTGCCGGCAGGGGAGGGGAGGGGAGGGTTTTGTGGTTTCGTCGGTTGAGCAGTGTCGTCGCGTCGGTGCCGGCAGGTGGAGTGGTGGGCGCGTTAGTAGAGCGGTGTCATGTGTCAGTCCCCCCGGGGGGGGGGGGGGGTCCGTGAGCTCGTCGGTGGAGGAGGTCTGACATGTCGGTCCCGGCAGTCTGTGATCGGCGGGTGCGCTGAAGGAGTGTCGCTCGCCGCCGGCAGGGTGACCGGTGGGCGCGCTGCTCGCTGGCGTTTGGCTCGCAGCGCGGTCTGGTGGTCAGCTCAGTGACGCTGCGCTGGCGGCCCGCGCCGCTGCTGCTCACCGACGGCCAGCCGCGCTTCTCGGCACACTGGAGCTCCGTCACCGTGGCCTGGGAGCGCATCCACCCGCGGGCCGAGCTGGTGCGACACAGCGGCGCACTACTGGCCCGGTAAGTACCCGATCGCTCGACAGGGGAGCGCCGAATAGCGTGCTACGTATACTGCTCACTCGCTCGAACTCGGGCAGCGATTTATATTAGATGGCCAAACCATTGGTCACGGCGTTGGTGGTATGGGAACAATTCATATGACCGCCGGCGTTACGCAAAAACTTATGTTAACTTATAAAACTTAGTCAGGAAGTGACAATTCATCGAAATTATCATTTTATACGGATTAAAGAGCCACAACAAAGATTCGTTATGAATTCATAGTGGATCTGGGATATGTCCATGTTAAAAATTTGTATGTGCTTGGTGCACTCAGGTACAGCCGCGGCGGCCGGCGCTGCTGGCCGTGGTGGCCGGCTATCGTAGTATCCTGACTCGGTAGTATCTATCTGCCGCTGCGTTCAGGTATAGCCGCGGCGGCCGGCTGCTGGCTGTGGCCGTCAACCAGCGCCATTCGGACCTCAGCCGCCTGGTTTACCTCGGCGGCGGAGACGGCGGCGGCGCCGTGCTGGTGGCCGACCTGCACGGAGTCGGCGGCGGGGAGCTCCCACGGCGTCACCAGCGGTCAGTCGGACGGGCCGGGCCACATACCCTATCACTTATGTATCCCCCACTGCAATGATGGGAAGGACCGAGACTGTCATATACTTTAAAATGCCGTAATCGTAATTAAAATTCTTAAGTCAGTTCTGTGTGGCCGGTCTGAGCTGGCTGGCCGGGGACGCCCTGTACCATGTATTCTGTTGTGCGCAGTCAGTTCTGGGTGGCCGGGCTGAGCTGGCTGGCCGGGGACGCCCTGTACCATGTATTCTGTTGTGCGCAGTCAGTTCTGGGTGGCCGGGCTGAGCTGGCTGGCCGGGGACGCCCTGTACCATGTATTCTGTTGTGCGCAGTCAGTTCTGGGTGGCCGGGCTGAGCTGGCTGGCCGGGGACGCGCTGCTGGCCGCCGTCACCAAGCAGGGCTCGCTGGCCGTGCTGTCGGCGCTGGCCGGACCGGTGCCGCTGCAGCTGGCTGGCGCCGAGGGCAGCGGCCGGCCGGCGCCCTACCTGGAGCTGCACCGGCTGCTGTCAGCCGACAGGTCAGTGGGAGACACACATACCGTACAGACACACACACACACAGACACGGACGGCTCCCTACCTGGAGCTGCACCGGCTGCTGTCAGCCGACAGGTCAGTGGCAGACACACATACCTCACAGACACACACACGGCCGGCGCCCTACCTGGAGCTGCACCGGCTGCTGGCAGCCGACGGTTCAAGACCTTACGTCGGGCGCATATTTGTTGCGGGGACCTTATGCGTGACATCCATTTGTCATTCACTTATTAAGTGGTTTGATTAAATTGATATCGCCGTGAATTATTGGAGACATCTAAACGTCTCGAAGCTGAAAATCATCTACATCGCGGGGCACGGGTGGAATTTTGTGCGGAGCTGGGAGGGCCCGGGCGCAGCAAATCCGCCGCCGCCCTAGCGGTGACCTTGACCTCCGCCGCCTGTTGCGGCCCCAAAGCCAAGCCGACGTGGAATTGGGACAGATCGGGCCCTCCCATCTCGGCACAAAGCTCCACCTATGTCGCGGGGAATGTAATTAACAGTTAAAATCCCTCTTTGCTACTCTATGAAATGATTAAAATTGATGTGCTTGGTTGGCCCACTGACGCGCTGGCTGTTTTCCGTGTGTAAGCTTCCACCACCCAACCGAACACGGACGTAGCCGTACGGCTTTGCGAGGGGCTGGCCGCGGGCACTAGGGCCGTCCCGCTGACGGCTGCACCCCGCCCTCTCCAGCTCGGTTCCGGAGCCGGAGCCGGCCGGCGGTGGTCCGGAGTCGGCCGGCGGCGGTCCGGAGTCGTCCGTCGGCGGTCCGTCGCCGCTGTCGTCTGCCCGCTCGGCGGCCCGGCCGCTGCGCCAGCGATTCTCGGTGGCGACCCACCCGCGGCGGCCCGTCCTCCTCTGCTCCTCCGGCTACCTGGTCACACTGGCAGAGGTCAAATGGCACGCGTACGTACCGCACCGACGAGCGACTGACATATCGGGGGAAGAGCGGCCGACAGCTGCTCGGGCATCGCTTATACTTTTTCTGTATGAGCACATGCTTTGTACTTTATTCAGACATATAAATGCTCATTTATTAGTACTTCTTTTCTTTCATCTATTTTAATGATCAAGTTTGAATGAAATCCGTACCGCTTAATCAAATGCGCCTATAAATTTGTCAGGCCGTTTTCTGTCGGCAGTCCGCTGACCGTCTGCGACCGGTTTATATCCTCGGCTACGGAGCGTCTGGCTGCGCTGAAGCTGTTTGAGGACTCCACCGTTCCCCGGTGGCGTCGGTCCGCGGCTACTCCGTCCAGCCCGGCTCTGAAGCGCGGGTCGGCGGCGGTCGACCCCTCCGGCCGGTCACCAGCCAAGCGTGTCTGGTTCGCTGACGGTCTGCAGTCGGAGGCGGGTGCCGAGCGTTGGCCCGAGTCGGCCGCCCACTGGGACCGTGTGCGGGCCCTCTGCTCCCGCCTGATGGCCGCCCAGGCGCTGGTGGTCAGCCGGCCCGGCCGCTGCACGCAGGAGTGGGCCGGCCGCGCCGCCGGCGTGGCCCGGCTGGCTCGCCAGCTGGCGGCGCTGGCGCTGGCGGGCGGCTGCGGCCGACTGGGCGGGCCGCTGGTGCGGCTGCAGCGGCTGCTGCCCCTGCTGGGCCGGCTGGCTGCGCTGGCCGCCTTCAGCGACTCGGGCGGACACGTGACCCTGGCGAGTGCCGGCGTACTGGCCGCGCTGGTGGAGGGCGGCCTGCAGACGTGCCGCCAACTGCCGGCCGAGGAGGCGCTGCTGGCCCTGACGGCGATGTGCGCCGCTCTGCGGTCGGCCGAGCAGGCCCAGCGGCGGGCCGACCAGGCCACCCAGTGTGTCGACCCGCTGGACCGGCACCAGGCGGCGGCGCTGTTCGCCGTCACGCTGCCGGCCGGCAACCCGTGCTCGGCCGGCGCGGTGGCCACGCTGAGTTCGCTGTGGCAGCGGCTGCTGCGCGCCGCCGGCCGGCTGTACAGCCAGCAGCGCGGCCGGCTGACGGCTGACCAGCACCGCCGGCTGGCCGGTCTGCTGGGGGAGCTGCAGGCCTGTGTGCAGCGGCGCGGCCGGCCGCTGGCGGCGGCCCGCCTGCCGCGCCGCACCCCGGTCCTGCGCCGGTACCTGGCCGGAGACTGGGCCGGCACAGAGACCCGCCTGCAGGACCAGCTGGACTCGGCGCTGGCCGCAGGGAGCCGCGGCGCCCGGCGCGCCGGCCGGCCGGCGCTCGGCCTGCTCTACCTACACGTGGCCGGCGGCCGGCTGCGGCGCGCGCTGGAGACGGCGGACGCGGCGCTGCGGCGCTGTGCGGCCGGCGCGGCCGGTCCCACCGGCGAGCTGTGGGCGGCGCTGCGCCACCCGGCCGGCCGGCGGCTGCTGCACAGCCTGGCGCGCCTGATGGCCCGCTATCACCTGGCGGCGCCGCTGTCCGTGCCGCCGCCGCACGCCGCCCGGCCGCAGCCGCTGCTCACAGACAACAAAGGTAGGACGTACCCTCGTGTGACGTGTGTGCGACTCCATAGACAGGTTATTGGATTTTGTACGTACAGTCGTCTTTACGAGTCTTAAACGCTTCGGTTCGCAGTTCGCTATTGCCGCATACTGCTGCCGGTGGTGATCGTGAGCAGAAAAAGTGTGACTTGTAATCGGTGCAATACAATGTTTTCCGTTGTAATATGATACGCTAACTGACTTGACTCATCTTGCTGCGTGATGACGCTGATAAAGCGAACTGTGCTCTCATTGCTTAATGAGTCTCCATTTTCAGACTATCAACACAGCGTCGTCTCTCGAGAGATGCTGACTGCCGACATCTCAACCAACTACCTCATGGACTTCTGGAATCCCCAGCAGGCTTTGAAGGTAAGCAAACCCTAATCACGACTTGTATTTTTTGGTACGGTGCCCGTTCTGATAATTTATTGAGCGAAACAATAACTCGATCAAATGTAAACGAGTAGCGGTTTTCCATATTGACGTGTTGCTGAGTTGTGCCAGCCGCTTATCGTGACCGTCGTGTGCCGTGTTTCAGCTGCTGGTGTGCTGCGGTCTACTCAGTGAGGCCTTCTGGTTCGCCCGGGAGCTGGGCGACTGGCGGACGGCCCTGTTCATCTGTGTGCTCAACGACCAACTGCCCGGGCACCGTTGCAAGTACGCACTTTCTCCGAACAAATTACGCAGTACACACGGCTATTTTATAATTATTCGAGCACTTTATGTTCATTGTGGTAAAATGACGCTGACAATATTGGTTAGCTCCTTTGCTTCAAGTGACACGTCGCGTAGCGAGTTAATGCTCTAGCGCTGGCCGATGAAAGCATCTGAAATTGTGCCTAATATTCACCTGTATTTGGTGCATGGTGCAGGACGTGGCTGAAGTCGCTGTCGGCCGAGCGGCTGCTGCTGGCCCAGGCCGCTGACTGTCCCTATGTTCCCTGCGCAGATGGCCTGAGTCTTTGTCGGCGGAGCGGCTGCTGTTCTCCCAGGCGGCCTCCTACCTGCCGCTGCCGGCCGCCAGTCTGGAGGAGCGCTCGGTGCGCCGGCTCCTGCTGGCCGCCCTGCTGGCCGGCGTGCCGCTCGTGCCACCCATGCTGGCCGGCCTGGCGCGCCTGCTGCGCGAGCCGCTGCGGCGCCTGCCCTGCCTGGTGCCCGCCGAGCAGCCGCTGCCGGCGCCGCCGCTGTACCTGGCGGCGGCCGCCCTGCCCGACGGCGGCGCCGGAGCCGAGCAGCGCGCCCGCCGGGAGGTGGCTGACGCCGCGCAGAAGGTGCTGTCGGTGCTGCGTGCCGCCGGCCTGCTCGAGCGGTGCACACTCCACTACCTGACAGCCGTGCGGCGGGCCTGCCAGCGGCGCAGCTGCGAACAGGTATACAAAAGCGATAAAAGCAGACTTGACGTGTGTATAATTATTGTATATGTATTTGGTTGGCTTTATATCGCTACCGAAAGCACCTTTTAGTGAAACATCGCAGCGGATCCATGATAAATTGAATTCCAGTGTGCATCGCAGACGTGGCAGTCGGCAGAGCCCTACTATGAAACACACCGCAAGCCGAGGGTTCCGACGTCCGAACTGGCTGTGTTGCAGGCGTTCCGTGCGCCGACGCTGGACGCGAGCCTGGAGGGGACGCTGCGGCAGCTCAGTGCCCAGCTGGCTGGCGAGGAGGCCGACCCAGACGGACCGGAGGGAGGTCGGCAGGGGCGGCGGCAGGTGGCAGACGCTGCCGAACACCTGCGGCACCTCTGTCTGCTGCTGTACCTGCTGCACGCCCGCGACCGACTGTCCAGCGCCCTCCGAGCCCAAACGGTAATACAGCGGCCGAACGCCGCACTTTGCGCACTCGTTTTGCTATTCATGTTTGTGGACTTTTTAGTGTCCCTTCCGTCCTTTCAGCATCCGTCTCCGCCCGTTTCAGGTGCCGCTCTCGTCGCTGACTGCCGACTCGGCGCTGCTGGTGGTCTCCCTGACGGCCACGCTGCGGCCGCTGGCCGCCCTGCCGGCTTGGTCGGCCGACCTGGCGGCGCTGGCCCTGGAGGCCGCGCTCGGCTCGGAGCCGGAGGGCGCCGGCCGGCTGGTGGTGCCGCTGGCTCAGACCCTGTCCGACCCGAGCGGTCTGTCGGACGGGAACCAGCAGCGACTGCGGCGCCTGCTGAGACACTGGGGCGATAACGACGCACAGACAGCCGCCGACGGCAGGCCGCCGGCGCAGCACGCCGCTCCGGCCGGCAGCGGCGCGCAGCAGCTGCTGGATAGCTGCCGGCTGCAGCAGCTGCAGCCCAAGGTGCAGCTGTCGCTGCTGACTGACGGTGACGCGCTGTTCAGCTGTCCTTCCGATCCGTCGCCGCTGGAGACTCAGCCCGAGTATCTGTCCTTCCTGCGGACCATGCTGAACGTGGCCGCGCCGGCGGCGCCCGTCATCACACCAGCCAAACCGCTGCTGGCCGGCTGGCGGAGCTGGCACAAACGCAACGAGCTCACGTCGCCAGTCTTCCTGGCCGGGTACCGGAAAATGGTGGCGGCTGCGGGCGCCGGGGATGCCGGAGAAGACATCCCGGCCGCCGCGTCCGCCTCCAAAGCGGATCTCGCCGCGGCAGGAGTTGCGCGTGATGCGGGACTGAGAACCCCTGGAGCGCCCGCCGCCGGAGACGCTCGCGCCTCGGGCCGGACTGCCCGGCTCAGTCGATCGGCAGAGCGTCTGGACCGGGCGGCGACACCGGCCCGTCGCGGCCTGTTCCGCTGCGTCAGCTTCAGCGACGTCTGGCGGCCGACCGGTGGGGACGAGGAGTTCCTCCTGGCCGGCGGTGAGGCACAGCCGCGGCGCCGGCGGCGCGCCGCACACCGGACGCGGTCGGCGGACGCCGCCCTCGGCCGTGAGCGAGCTCGGCCGTCAGGCCGCTCTTGGCAGACGCTGCCCCGGCAGCGGACCGAACCCGCCCTTCCAGAGCCCGGCGTGAAACAGGGCGGCGGCGGGGACGGGATAGCGCTCCGGCACCCGGCGCTGCGGCTGGCCAAAGGCGTGAGCGCGCCCCGGCTGGAGAAGTACCGCGACGTGGAGAAGCTGCTGGGCTGGTTCCTGCTCTGGCGGCACCGTGAGATCCGCATGGACCTGGTGAAGTCGTTCAGCGGGCCGCGCATCGCGCTGCGGCCCACCATGCCCGACGTGCTGGTCTACATCTGGCTGACCGATCACATGCCGCGGGGACATCCCCAGGGCCGCGGCCGCTCGGCGCCGGCTCGTAACCGCAGCGGCACGGCGCCGGCCGCCATGGCGCCGCCCGGCGGCCCGCCGCGCGCCCCGGACTCCAGCAGCAGCGACGAGGCAATGATGGACGAAAACGTGGACGACGACCCGATGATGCGCCACCGCGGCGAGCTGATGCGCCGCGGCGGGGGCAACCGCGGCTACGGAGGCTACGACAGCTATGGACGGGAGTACGGGGCGCCCGACCCGCGCCAGTACGGCAGGCCCAACACCGCAATGCCCGGCTACAGGAACCAGGGCGGACAGCGGCCGTACCAGGCGGACGGCAACCGCTATCAGGGGAACAGGGGCTCGCCCGCCTACCCGCGCAGAATGGGGAACCGCGGCTATGATTCAGCACCTAACGACCGCTACGGCCCGAGCCGGGAGCCGGATAATTTTAATCAGCGGGACGGTCAGCGGTACGGTGAGCCCGACTACGGCCGCCGTGGGTACGAGGAGGCCGGCTCGGGACGGCGTTCGCGGTACGGCAGCTCGCAGTACCGGCCGTACGAGAGGTCGGGTGGAGGTGGCGGGTACGGTGGGAGTGCTCCGCCCGGCCCCGGCCGCCGCGGCGGGCCCCAACAGGTACGGTTTGACGGCGCTCCGGCGTCCGGCCGAGCGGACAAGTGGGGCAGCTGGGACGACTTCCGCGCGGCGCCGGTCAGTGTGCGAGCCGGCCGCACGCCGTCGCGCTCCTTCAGCGCGCAGCCGCAGGGCCGCGGCGGCTCGATCGCCCCGCGCTCCGACCCCTGGGACGACAACACGCGCACGCTGGTGTCGCCGCCGGGCGGAGGTGGCCGGCCGCCGCCGGAGCCGCCTGCCGGCTGGGAGCGCTCTGACCGCGGCGGGCGGAGGTCGGCGCCGCCGCCGCCGCCGCCGCTGGACTTGCCGGCCGGCACGGCACCCGGCTGGGATAAAACGCTGCACGCGGTGCGTATCGGCGCGGCCGGCGCCCAGTGGAAGCAGATGCACGGCCTGGACAAGGTGGAGGGCGACGAGTGCTACATGGTGTACGACGACAAGATCGTGCGCATGGAGAACTTCACGGCCGACTCGGGCGCCACGATCGACGTAGTGGAGAAGGTGGCCGTGTACAGTCCGACGGGCAGCGCGCGGGCCGGTTCCGGCGGCACGGGGCGCGCGCCGGCCGGTCAGCCGGCGGTGGCGGCGGCGGCGCGCGGCCGGGACGGCGCGCCGTGCGTAGACTGCGACTGGCAGCCGTGGTCGGCGTCCAACCTGAGCGGCCAGCGGCAGGCGCAGTCGGCGCCGCCGGCGCGCTCGGCCGCCGTGCCGTCGGCCCCGACGCTGCAGGTGCCCAGGTCGGCCGCCTCTGCCGGCGGCAAGGGCGGCTGTGTCGACTGTGGCGAGTGGCAGCACTGGTCGGCGTCCACGCTCAAATCGGCCTCTCCGGCGGCCGATCGGCCCGCGTCTCCCCGCGCGCCGGTCTCGGAGCGCGGCGGCTCGGCGGGCGCGGCCCCGTCCCGCTCCGACATGTCGATGTCGCGTCAGTCGGAGCTGTCGGAGCGTTCTGACCTCATCAGCCAGCTGTCGGACGAGGTGCGCCAGCTGCGAGAGGAGCAGCGCCACCTGCGGAGGGAGCTGGCCGCCCGCTCGCCCATGTCTGACGGCGACGTCAACATTCCGCAGCTGACTCAGATCATCGACCAGATCAACGACGCGCTGGAGGTGGGCCTGGCGCGGCTGCAGCGCGGCCAGCCCTGGCAGCCGCGGCCCATCCACGCGCCCGCCTCGCTGCAGCCGTACGTGCAGGCCATGAAGTTGCCGGCGCCGCTGCTCAACGCTATCGTGTACGACCCCGAGTCGCACTACACCTCTCACTCGGGCTCGCGGTCGGCGTCCCGGCCCGGCTCGGGCCGCAGTGACGCCCCTGCGGCGGCCGGCGCGGCCGAGCCGGACGCCGGCTACCGGCGGCTGGACCCCGAACAGATCAGCCAGCTGGTGGCCGAGGAGGTGCGCAGGGCGCTCCGGGAGGCGGCGGGGGCCGGGTCAGCCGGCTCGGCCGGTCAGCGGCGTCGGCCTCGCTCCACCAGCCCCGGCCCGGCGCGGGAGATCATCGTCCACCAGCCGGTGCGGCGCACCCACAGCCACGACCCCAACTCGACGACTCCGCCGACCGCCGGTGCCGGCTCCGAGCGCGGCTCCCGGCCCGCCTCCGAGCGCGGCTCCGAGCGTCGCTCGTCGCGCTCGTCGTCGCCGCCGGCGCCGCCGTCCGCGTCGGTGGGCGCCTACGACGACTACCCATTCCTGCTGCACCTGGAGGACGGCGGTGCTGCCGAACAGCTGGCCGCCCGCCAGGTGCGCGCCATCCAGGAGAGCCCCACTGCGCGCAAAATCGTCCAACTGCTGAGGGACACGGACCCGGCGGCGCCCGGCGGCGAGCCGGACCTGGTCGACCGCGTCCTGACCGTCCACAAACGCAACCTGGGTAACATGTACGACAAGAAGGCGGACAACATGCGTGTGATCAAACTGCTCCACGACCTCTCCGAGGATGAGGAGAAGACGGATCACCGCGCCGCACAAGAGATTAAGCAGCTGGATGATGAGATTGTGCTGCTCAAACGTACCCTGCGAGCGCTGGACTCGACAGAGAAGCTGGCGATCTGGCGCACGCCGAGCGACGAGCTGCGGTACCTGCAGCAGAAGCTGCGGCAGATGGACGGCAGCCCGCCGCCGGCTGATGACGTGGGCGCCGCCGAGGAGGTGGTGGTCACCGGTCCGGACGGCAGCGAGCACCAGTTCGTCTCCGAGGGCACCGGCTCTGAGTGCAAGGTCAAACAGCCGCGCAAACCGGATGGGAAGAAGCACACCTTGATTGTTTATGATACAGATCTACAGAAGCCACCGGAGCGCCAGTCAGTGGTCGAGGGCACGGGCTCCGAGTGCAGGGTGAAGCAGCGGCGGCACGGCGCTAAGAAGCACACCACCATCGTGCACGATACCGGCGAGAGCGCGGCAGCTGCGGAGGACGGCCACTCGTCGGACCGTCCGGCGGCCGCCCGGACGCCGTCCCCGAAGCGGAAGAGCCGCGGCGCGCGGCTGCCCGGCGCCGACGGACACATGGACGTGGACGTCTCTGAGGAGGAGGCGCCGCCGCCGCCCCAGCGCGTCCACAGACGCTTCGTGCCCTCGGACGCCCGGCCGGACGCGGCGCGCTCCACACCGGACGCCACGACGGCCGAGGGCCGGCGGGCGGCGCCGCGGGTCTCCCAGTCCGTGTTCGAGACGACTCGCGCGTACCAGACGAGCGGCGAGGACCGCTACATCCGACCCGAGGACCTGGAGCAGGCGCCGTCGGCGCCGCTCGTCTCCTCCTCGACAGCCGAGGAGATCGAGCTCGGCTCATACTCGGTCGCCGAGGCGGCGCGCCACGGCATGGCGCGGCCGGCCACCACCCGCGACGCGCTCGGCCTGGCTGAGGGACACGACGCCGCGCAGCAGATGTCCAGGGACCGGGTGACACGGACGGACGGCCAGCAGACGGGCCGCCGCTCGCCGTCACCGCCGGCCCGGACCGTGGAGACGGTGCATGCCCCGGAGCCGGCGCGGGCCCCGGAGCCGGGCGGGCCGCCGGTGCCCTCCTCGACCGTGCCCAGTGAGCCGACAATGCGCACGGTGCCCAGCTGGGGCCGTCAGACGGATTCGGCCGCCGGCGTCACTGACTCGATGCTGAAGAGCTACCCGAGCTACCTGCCGTCGGAGCAGCGCCGGCCCGTCGCTGAGGAGGAGCACGTGCTGGAGATCGGCCCGATCCAGGTGGGCATCAGCCCGCAGCGGATCGCCGACCGGCTGGCCGACATCGGCACCAAGCTCGGACAGGCCGTCGGCCTGGTGGAGCAGCAGCAGCGCGACGACGACGAGGTCCGACAGGTGGGTCCCAACGAGTGCCGACCGCGCTGCCATACGGGCTCGGGTGCGCAGATCCCGTACCAGGCAGACGAGACGGGCACCTTGAACATATTAGCATCCGCCCACCACACTTCTCGGATAAAGCCCCAGGCTGCCCACCCAGTCCAAATTCCTTAATTCGAAAACTTGATGAGAATGAGAGTCACCTGAATCAATGAATTTTCCCCGATTGAATAGACCTGCACCATGACATTGGGTTGCCTGCGAAACTACGAAAATTGGGAAGCAAAGGTTACCACGCAATGCACGACTAAATATGATAAAAACGATAAAAACTAGCTCAATAGCGATATTTTTAATGGTGCCACTGAACTTTTGCATATGCCACTTTTTTGCCTCGTGACGTTCTCTTTTTCACTATTGACTCAGTTCAAATTGAGGAGGAGGCATTTCAGTGTGTTATATTGACGTTTGAGCGCGGGATATAACAATTATGAACGGATATGTTTTACGATTTCGCTGGTGCATCTAGTGTGCCCTTGATGTTGCCTTCTTGGAGTAACTGGGCATGAGAGACAAATTTTAAGCAAACTACACAGTTCCTAAAAAAGTAAGCGCAAATGAAAGAAGAGTCTCGGCGCCGGCTCGGCTGACGCCGTCCGAGCCGCGCTGTGCGTGGCCACCGCCAGGGCAGGGCAGCGCTGGCCGGGCTGACGCCGTCGGTGCCGCCCCGCGCTGTATGTGGCCGTTAGGTGCTGGAGCAGCTGGGCGGAGCGCCGAGCGGCACCAGCGCCGACTCACTGCAGCCGTTCAGCTCGGCGCTGTCCGAGCCCAGCCTCTCGATGAAACAGCTGCTAGAGCAGCGTCTGCAGCAGCCGCCCTCGAGCCTGGACGTCATGTACAGCGCTCAGGACACGCTGCTCAGCGCCGACGAGTGCGATATTAGGTGGGAGGGTCGGGTGCCTGGTTATCAGATGCCCGGTGTCTGGGCAATAAGACCTACGAGTATGCGTCACTTTCTACCCAACTTAATACTTGTGCAGTGGGCAGTATTGGCATCTTGCAAGTAATGAGCGTGCAATTTGCAATCTGCATCTTTGGTCTGTTCCAATGGCGCTTCGAGATGCGGAAAGCCTCCAGTATCTTCTCAAACGGTTGTTCTAAGAGCTTGTCCTCCTGAGGTCGCAGGCGAGACTTCAGAGACCTCGCCTTCCATCCCAAAGCGGAGGTAGACCGACCGTGTTGAGAGTGGCTTTGATTTGACACATTGAATATGTGCTTGACGCTGCAGCCCATATCATGCTGCGGTTTTAGAATTTGCTAATGCGAGATCAAGACTCCACCAATTCTGCACACCGGGCCTTTTTGCCCCTTGGCCGTTATCTTTCGGAGATAATGCCCAGCGTTTAAGCCGACTTCAAACGTCGCAGGGCGGGTGGAAGTCGTCTCTGGCTGCCCGCACTCCCGGTGGCTGGCTGGAAGACCCTGCTTCAGCCCTGGCAGTCAATCTCATCTGGAGGCGTCATTGGAACAGACCAAAGTGGCAAGAGTGTCTAGTGCATCCTTTCGCTGAAAACCTTTTGCCTACCGTCGTTCTTTGTCGATCCTTTTCCTGGTTGTTCTGCTAATTGTCCCCGGTCCGATTGTCTGCTGATTCCCTGATGCTCCTATGATTGGCCTCCCTGCAGTGACGCCGAACTGGCGGGTACTGCTGACAATGCCGGCGCAGCGACCATCCCCGACCCTCCTGAGGCGGTCACGGAGCCGGCCGGTATCGCTGACAGTGCCGGCGCAGAGACCTCCCCCGGTCCTGCCGACACCGGCCCAGCGCCGGGTACCGCCGATGGTGCAGAAACCCACCCTAATCCTCCTGGCGCGGGCATCGAGACTGCTGGTATTGCTGACGCTGACGGTGCCGGCGAAGAACCCTCCCCCGATCCTGCTGACGCCGTCACCGGTCCGGCAGCCGGCGGCGGCCGCTCTCCGGACGACGACCAGTCGCAGCAGTAGGTGGGTCCTCCCGGCAGCCATGACAAACCGATTAAGTGCCGAGCCAGACAGTGAAGATTTGCCGCTACTTGCCTCAGCAGCTATTTTAGCAGGCAATCCAAGTGGCATGGTGCAGTGTCGCAAAACATCAGTTTATTCGCTTGCCTGTTAAAACAATGCGTGAAAGCATTAGCAATACCGTCACCGACCCCCATAAAATGCGAGATAAGTTCGTTTATGTTTGGTGGGGCGGTTGGTGCCCTGAACACTTGGTTACACACAGCTGACCTCAAATGTGAACCTTTGCGGGACTCGGTTTTTCATATCTTTGCTAAAAAGTACAAACGCTCCTGAAATCAGAGAGGCCTCGCATTAAACTTATGGACGTAATTTCAGTGACCCCACCATTTTTCCCTTTTCGCAGCTCGCAGAGAAGAAAAAGCGGCAGCTGATGAAAGGAGAACGAAAAAAGAAAAAAGAACGCCAGAAAGATGCATCTAAACTTTTGACAGAAATTACTGCTCACCCTAAAAAGGTAATACGCTTATTTGGCTTCACTATGGTCTACTGTTCGGTCTATCGATTACCTGTTCAACGTTCGAATTTTTCTTCTTCACGTAACGATTCGTGTGTAACCTGCGTTTTCTGTGTGCCAGCCGCCGGCGGAGCGTGTGTCGCCGCCGGATCACTGGATCAGCTCGCCCGTGGAGGAGGAGAACGTCAGCGACCGCCGGCCCGCCGACCAGCAGCGGGTCGGGCAGGAGCAGAAACAGCAGACAGGACAGCACAGGCAGCAGAGTGGACTGGAGAACAAACACCAGACTGGACAGAAACAGCAGACCGGACAGCACCGGGAGGACGGCGGCTGGTTCGCGGTCGGAGTCAATGCCATCGAGCACGCGCTGGCCACCTCGCCCGAGGAGGACCAGGAGGCCGCCGAGGAGGAGGCCAGCGAACGTGAACTGGCCAGCTGGCTGCCCTTCTCGTGAGTGCCGGCGTGAATGTGGGCATTTGTTGCTTATTGTTAGCGATTTCACCGTAAGAGCCCAGCTCAAAACGAGTGAAAATGATGACGTAATTTCACGACGGGCTATCCGGCGAGTGCACCTAATTTGACCAAATCTGCACGTAATCTCTTTTACAGCAAATATCTTTATTTTATGAATTTATTTCAGTGTTTTAACCGATGATGCTCTCTAATAATATAACAAAACAGGCTTATAAGCAATTAGTACAAACCTAGCTGATAGCTACTAAGAGACACACTGAACCTAATTAGACCAAATCTGCACCTAATCTGCACCAGATGTGAACCAAATGTGTACCAGATGGCCGTCGTGAAAACGGCTAATACCACGCAGTAATTAATGCACTGTCGTAAGTGAGCGTCAAAAAATGGCTCGTTTGGGATATTTAACACCGAATATGTGACTGACCTGCGTGCTCGCTCTGCTGTCAGTGGTGGTGTTCCGTTCGGCTCGGAGGAGCCCGGCGACTGGAGCCCGTTCCAGACCCGACAGTCGCCCGTCAGTCCACTCGCCAAGGCGCCGGCGACGTACGACCAAAGGTAGGTCCTTGCATCTGCATCACTGCAGATGCACATACCATTACAGCCTCAGCCGAGGACTCATGATACAGTCACACATGCATACACACATAACGTACCCCAAATCCCGTATGATATGCCTACTTATATACCTGAGAAGTATCGAGTCCATGAGTGATCAGCAGGAACTAAAGCAGCGATGGCGTACGGCGTGACAAACGAGAAGATCTGCTTGGCGACATAATTTACATCAAGTATTTACCTTTAAGTAAATAATCGGCGAAACATTCGCCTATCACAGACAGAACGGCCGTAGCGGTCATAAACAAGCGAACGTCATTTTGGCAACACCATGACCAAACACATTTTTGGCTGTAAACTCGCGACCGATCACTGTGCCTCACGAATATGCCCTTATGCTGCACCTGTGTTGATAAAGCGCGTGGCTGGTGCAATGATCCAGAGCTTTCCCCGAGCGCACTAAAAAAATCATGACTAAAAGCCGAAATAAGGCGCCAAATTTATTATGTGACTTCGGAGGTAAAAACTAAACTTGGAGTTTTGATTTAGGGTTGGATAATTGGAAGTTGTGTGGGTAGTCCTACAACATTAGTTTTATGCATTTTGGCTCGGTAACAAACTTTTTCACGAATGCCTAAACGTCCTGTCTCCCATAATCCGTTCTTCAGCTCCAGGTCTGTCAGTATTCCGTCGGAAGAAGGAAACTGATAGGAACAGATGACCTTTGCAACCTACTCGGACTAAAAATTTATTTTTTGCCTCATTTATCTGTTGCGGGACTTTATTGTCCCGCAACAATTTATGGAAACTTGTCTTTTTAATTTATTTTATGATGCCATTTATTTTAGAGACCTTTATACAAAATTACCTGACCCGTAATCAATATCGTGTGCTTATTTGTAGAATGTCATTGCGTTCTTTCAGTGATTATGGACATGGAGGTTTCTTTACACCGGGAATTCGAGGAAGCACCGGAAATATTCAGGTGAGTTTATTTACCTATAGTATGCTTTTAAGTGGCGTGCATTGTACAGTCTTGAACAAATAGTCTTGTTGGTAGGTAATCTTGTAGGCAGTCTTAACCCGCGCCCAGATGGGGTCGGCCGAGCAACGCGGTCTGATGGGGGGGGGGGGGGGCCATTTTGGCCCCCCCCTCAGATCTCGAGAACCACGCAACATAGCGACAAGCGGTAAACGGTGTTGGATAGCCCCAACGGGGAACTACCTTGTGACCCAATTTCATTGACCTCGGTCAAACCGATGACGTCACAGGTCAGGTCAAAGGTCGAATTTTCACCGTTTACAGGCATTTCAAGAAATGCGTTGTAAAATCGTGTAAAATGCATTTCATTGAAAATCATCGATGGGGAAATGTTCTTCAAACACATATTTTGCTATTTGAGGTCACTGATACCAGGTCAGGTCACAGAGGTCAGGTCACTGGGGGGTCAAAATATGAAAGTGTCGTGTGATACATGTTTTATGGTCCATTTTACATGACAAATGCGATTATGTGGGTCAGACAGACTTTAGGGCCAGCTTAGGTCACGTTTTGGTCAAGGTCAGGTCAAGGTCAGGTCAAGGTCAGGTCAAATTAGGTCAAATTTCAAAGTTGATATTTTTGCATAAAATGGGTATCGATTCGATGCAGCTCGTCACGGGGAGTTCAATGGTGGTCTCCGTTTTGCGCTACGAGGTCTAGAATTGCTAAAAATTGAGTTCAAAAATTTGACGTCATCAATTTTTAACAGTTTTTTCGCTATAACTTGGCCAAAAAAAAGAGGTATCGATCTAAAATTTGGTATGTATATCGAAGAGCGCAGGGACTATCACATATATTCCGGTTTTTTCGAAATTCGAAAAAAATTTTGGAAATTTTTTGAGTTTTTCTTAAAAAATCAATTTTTTTGATTTTTGGGGGTCAAAATCCAAAATTTTGGAAAATCCGAGATAGCAGTTTTGTAGCGCCGTCTTTTCTCTACACAACCACATAAAGAACTTTAAAATTGCTTGTCAACTGTAGAATTGGTGAGCGTTTCAAGATGTCATGTTTTTTGCTCTTTTTTACTCGAACATGACCTCAGTTTGACCTCAATAACTCCTGACCTGAGGTGACCTGTGACTTGAAATTTTGTGTGAAGGTGTCAAATTGATGTGCGGTAAGGTACCCAAAATTTGGCGGCGCTGCGCGCCGCCGTTTTCTCGCTATTTAAGAAAAACCACAGGGGGGGGCAAAATGGCCCCCCCCATCAGGGCGCGGGTTAATCTGATTACATTCTTTAATGCTCATCGATCAAGCTTCGTGTAATAAATCATGAGTAAAATTACTGCTTATTTCACCGTCAGAAAGTTTGACCAGCCAATTTTTTATTATCGTTGATTAAATAGTATTTGTTGGTGGCTTACTTGTAGTCACATCTCGTTGATTGCGTTCTTGGTCTTGCTAAAAGAAAGAGAATCACTGAAAGATAGGGAATATGGTAGTCTGTTGTAGTCGTGATATGTCGTGCTGTGCGTGCAATATCGGATATCCTATAACCGCCCCTAATCATTCATGTTTCGTACTTGTTGTGTGCATACTGCATTGATCCGAATGTTTACAGCAAAAGCGAGTTCAGGGAGCGGTTCCGGGCAAAGCTATCCGCGAGAAGTCCAGTAGCATTGCCCAAGTCGCGCCGAAAACAGCGGTGCGTATAGTGTATACGGTGTATACCGAGCAGCTGATGGCTGGCTATGCATATTCTAATGACCGCGCTGGGAGCATTCGAGCTGATTGCATTATGTGATATTTGTGTAACATTGTTCAACAGTCGAGTGTGCCACTCTGTAACGTAACAAGTCCATCCGTTGTCACAGAAGCGGCCAAAGTCCGGCTGGGACCGCTCGACTGACGGCTCGGTGGCGCCCTCTGAGTCGGCAGCGGAGCGGCGTCTGAGGCGCGGCTCCCTGCACGGCCCCGTCCGGCCCACCGACGACCGGCGACGCAGCAGGACCGACAAACATCCTCCCGATAGTGAGGGCTTTGAAATAATCCGGATTGATGTTGTGCTTCTGTTGTCACACAGCGAGCGCTACAGTTACTGGGCCACCCTCGTATCATAATTGTTCGTTGTCATGTGCCAGTCGCTGACCCAATGATGACGCTGGTGGTGGCTCGTTTTCAGAGTCGAGCTCGGTGATCATCACCCACTCGTCAATGCAGACTGTGAAAGAAGAGGACGATGGTCAAGGGGGATTCCTGCCCGGAGCTCCCATCATACCGAGAGCGTCCGCCGAGCGCGCCACCAACCGTTAGTGCACTTCGTATTACTCCGGCATACGTCCGTGCATTATCAAAACTATGCGTAACTTTTAAGTAAAAGTTTGAGCATGTTTCTGATAAAAGAGCGTTGCACTTTAATGTTACACGAGCGATGTTCATTACTCGTTTGTCTCTCGGTATATGTGGTCAAACTCACCGGTGGTTTGGCCGCAGGCTCGTCGTCGTCGCTGTCGTCGGGCACGGAGGCCGACGACGAGCGGGCTCGGGAGTCGGCGCCGCGACGGAAGGCGTCTCCTGCCCGGCGCCGGCCGACCATCCGGCGGCCCGGCCAGCGGCCCGGCAGCGCCGCCAGCAGCCGCACCTCCGACCCCGCCGACGGCGACGACGACGACGAGCTGTCCAGCTGGCGCGTGCCGAGCGTGGTGTTCCGGCTGCTGGGCGAGGGTGGCACCAGCAGCAGCGACGAGACCAACCCGGCCACCGACCAGCTCCTCTACAGCATCTTCGGAAAGGACATCTGACCAGGGCGACTGGATTGTTCCGCGCGGACAGTCCAGTCGCTGCAAAATGTCAACCTCGAAGTGTCGCCTTCGAAATGAGCAGCTAAATTGAATGACATTTTAGTAATGTAACTAGTCGAACTGTCTTTCTTAATCAGAGTGAACTGTGATTGGCCCTTTTGGGTCGATTCAGAGGCGTCTTTCATGGTAGCGTCCATCGTATGGTCTTCTGTTTTCTCAGGCGTGGTCCAAGCCTGAACGAAGCTGCAAATTTTTGTCACGTCTCATTTTCAATTATTGTTGTGTGCCCTGTTCAAGCGTATACCTAATGGTCCTGTCATGTCTACACTTTGTGTCGTTGAAAGTATTTTGTTACAATACAATTTGTAGCTTCTTTCTTTTATTGTTTCACTTGCTCCATCAGTGATCGCTGTTGAATTGTAGTAGACAATTAATGACTTCAAAAGTCAAGTTTTTTTTAAAGCCGACAAATTCCCCGTAAGTTTCAAAAGAAATGCGTCCCAGTGCCCACATTGATTGGTTACTGGTAATAAGACTCTCCCGTCCTATTGTGACAGAGCGTCATGTTACGAAAGTAAGGGGAGCGTGGCCGACCGGGGCCGATGGGGCCGATTGCCGACGCTCGGTGGCAGGTGCGGCTGTCCGTGCGCCGCGGCCAGGGTCGCCGGACGGAACGGCGGCGAAAGTGAGACGCTCGCCGAGCAGCTCACCCCAACAGCTCCGAACCGTGCATGGCGGGTACACTTCCCAGGTCACCGAACCAATGAACCGAGCGTGGTGTCGATATCTTGACTGATTCGTGGGTTCCACCAGAACAACTGAAACGGTGCGAGAAAATATTCCCTAAGCGGAGCACGGGCTCGTCAAGTATTTATGTGCCAGAATACCCAACAAGAGTGCAAGCATGAACGCCCGAGCTTTTCAAATATTTCTTTTCCTTGCGCCAACTGGAGCGGTGAGGCTCTGCGGTCGCGGGAGCCGACCTGACTGGGAGGCGGCAGCACGAGCGGGCCGGCGTCACGGCGTCAGCCGCTCATCACGCGGCGCCTCTGTCCGGCGCGCCGTGACGGACGGCGCCGTGACGGCCGGAATCGGCGTGTCAAACGGCGCGCCGTGTCACCGGGTCGGCGCCGTGCGTGTGTAGCGGGACGCGCCGCGGGCGACCGAGCGAACGGCGCCAGCGGGCCGTGACCGCCGCGCCGCACAGTGGGCCGATATGCCATTCTAGCGCGACAGGGGCTGAATCTTCGAACGGAACCCTTGGTTTTTCGCGAGTAATTCGCGTAAAAAGTTGCCGATCGCAACGAAACTTTCAGTACCCTCGCGATAACTACTTTTACAGCTAACCTGAAAATTTCATGACCCTGACCTTAATGATCTTTGACCTGTGACCTTCTTTCGAGACCATGTTTGGCCGGAATCGCGATTCAGCGTATGTCGGCTCGCATTAGCCGCGGGTTTGCAGTCTTTTCTTGGTTTAAAGCGTTCAAACATGGGATATTATGTTGCTCCCATGCATTAGGGTGGGTGTCAAGGTCACCAGAAGGTCAGGTAAGGTCATTAACCTTTGATGATCTTGGTTCACTTTTTCGAGTTTTACATGTTTCTAGGCTAGTTTTTTTTTTTTTTTAGCTGAATTCGAATCTAGCAACCATTTGAACATTTACTATGTAGCTTTGGTGCCTTCGTAACATGTTACAAAGCTATCAGAGGCGGTTGCCACCTACTGCAAATACCCGGCAAAACCCTTACTAGTTGACCTGACCTGACCTGACCCGACCTGGCCTAAATTATGAAGGCATCATCTATGATCGTAAATAATATTATATTCGTGATCAGCACCCAAAAAACCCAAAGCAGCCACCCTTTACGACGTTCTAACAGGTCCCGATTTTCCCGACTTTTGGGTCATTGACCTGACCTGGAAGGTCAACCGATGACCTAGGACCTTACAATTGGGTATCATCAGCTTCCTCTTGTCACGGGCAACACGCTCGTCTTTTCCGCGAAGCTCTAGCTCGATCAGGGGCGAAACGGCGGGGGGTCCAACGGACCCCTTCTATACGTTCGCGGCTGGAAAAACACCACTAGGAGCGAGGGTTAAGCCAAATCTGAGGGCTCATTTCAGAAAGACCGCTAAAAGAGCAATCGAATGCACTTTTCCGCGACGATGTAGCTCTATTGGTCCCCGAGGTAACAGCCGGTTTTCGATAAATGTTGATAAATGCAACATTTTACCTTTGATGACCTCTGGTGACGTGACCTTTGACCTGACCTAGAAATGACTAATTACTCCATCTGGGATTTCGGGCGCTCTTTCGAATGCCACTTACTACGTGTCCCTATGTGGCCCAAGAGCCGAGTTAGAAGGGGAGTGTTCAATCAACACCTCCCGGCCCAGCGCGTTTGACGCCGAGCACCGGTCCGGCGCGGGTTGATGATAGGCTGCTACATCCAAAGTCGCAAATAGTCGCAAAAAATGACTGTTGGATCTTGCAGTGCAATGAATCATTGACATGTAGCGAGATTTTCGAAGCGGTACTCTGCGGTACTTTTTTTAAAAGTCTATTTGTGTGTGACATCAATTATGTGAAATTATATTTTCGTCTTTAAATCTTTGCGGTGCCAATACATCATAACCAAGTAAGAGTTCGCCACTTTGATGTGGTTATGTGTGTTCTGCAGGCCCGGAGCTATCGTTTGATGTATATAAATGTGGAATTCCTCCTCAAATTGTGATTGTTTTCGTGGATCAAAGATACGTTGTCGAAGAGTGCGGGGGACGAGTTCGGTCCAAACGATTCCGAAGCTCGTGTTTAAGCTGAGTTTTCGCCATGAAATAGCAATTGTGTTGGAAAACAAAGACTACAACAGTGCAGTATGATCATTTTTGAACAAATTGGAATAGGTTTCCTTGCACATCCACAAAGTTCGATTTTTTTACCCATGTCGTGCTAGGCCTGGCGATCGGCCCTGTGTGCGCCGGTCGTCCCGGGACCGGGCGGCCCCCGGAGCCATACGGGCGGACGAACCCAGACGCGCATATCTACTGACGTTCTATTGACTTAATCATTTCGAGAGGAATTTCGCGAGTCGCCTCATGTGAATGAAAAAGTTGATCAATGATATTTAATATACTTACCGAGACAATGGAGCAACCTGTTATGAAATAAGCATGGTAGAGTCTATGCTTATATCTCATCGCTGTAGGGCTTAGAAAACGCTGGTTAACATATTGCTAGATCGGATATAATGCCTATAGGTCATGCACATGTGCTCGAAAGGCTGCTTCCGTCTCTCACAATTCACAACAAAGCGTTCCTGGCGGTCGCTGGGGATGCGGATAGCGTCAGCCCTCACTGGCGTCCCTTCACCGCCGCTCGAGTGCCTCTCACGCGCCGTTTCTCTGCCGGGCGCCGTCGTACAAAAGCGGCGCGGCGCGCGGCGGCCGGCACCAGTCTACCGCTCACAGTCACACCATGAAGACGGCCGCTCTGCTTTGCCTGCTGGCGCTCTCCGGCGCCTCCGCCTCCCGCGTCCGGCGCACCGCCAAGGCCTCCTTTGACGAGCGCGCCTCGGCCAATGAAGTAGAGAAGGCTCAGTGGCGCGCTGCACCGGAGCCGTCGCCGCTGGCCGGGCTCAGCCAGTACGTGCCGCTGCTGCAGAGCCTGTGGTCGCTGGGCTCCGAGCTGCTGGGCTCGCTGGTGGCGGACGGCGCCGGCCAGGAGGTGGCGCGCGCCCTGCAGCAGGCCGACCCCGTCGAGCTGGCGCTCAACACCATCGACCTGGACACGGCCGCGTGCCGCCAGCGGCTGGCCTGCGAGATCCGGTCCACCATCGGCGAGTACGCCTTCGGCGACATGGCCTACAAGCTGCTGGCCTCGCGCATGTCGTCGCTGAAGAAGTACGAGAACCTGTCGGCGCGCCAGCTGGGCGTCACCAGTTGCAGCGAGGCGTTCTCGTGCCGCTACTCGGACTCTCCGTACATGGACACGGCGCGGCAGATGCGCAGCATGGCCGGCAGCTACTGCAGCACCGACGTCGAGACGCTGACCGGCCGCATCTGCCAGGCCTTCGCCTTCGTCATGGACACGCTGGAGACGCTGTAGGAGCGTTCGGCAGTCTCTCGGTGATGCTACCTGACCTCAGTCCGTCTGCGGCGCGGTGACCCGCCGCCGCCTCCGGCCTTGTTGGATATTTTACCGTTATGTTCGCCGTTGGTGAGCCCTGTTGCTGTTATGTTTGTCGTCAGGGAGACGGTCATCTTGACCGGAATGTGATCGATGGAGTCTACTTATGTGCATGTAACGATGATACTGATAATATATGACAACAGCTGAAACATTATTGATTTTCGGTATCTGGAACACCACTTACTCTTCCCATTTCATGTATCGCTGGGAATGAAACCTAACATTTCATTAGATGTTTGGGGTCAGTCTGAGTTGTTCTCTATAGTAGAGTTGCAATATTTCACACGGAAAATAGACATAGGGATGTCGCTGTGGGTCAGGTGCTCAGATTTCGTTTTTATTATCGTTATGTGATGAATTAGATATCATTTGGATGGAACTGAGCAAAGGATGAGAAGCATCGATGCACGCCATGAGGCGAGCAACATACCGCGTTTAGATCTCAGGACCGTCATTTTTAGCGGCAGTGGCCGTAGCCGATGCGTAGCAGATATTAGATAATGTTATATCCAAGCAGGGGTTGTCAAAAATGGTAATCAGAAGATGGTCAAGAAATGAAACTTGAAATGAAGACATCCGCTTTTTTATTAAATCACGTTAGCTAAAATTAGCTCATCTACTTGCTGTCGTACATAACGCTATATTTTTCATAAGGCTATCCAAATGTAGGTAATAAAAATGAAACGAAAGATGGGTTGGTAGGTACAGATATCTTTTTCGTCTTCTCTAGTCTGCCGTTATAACTGAATCATCCATCAAGCATTCGTTCTTTGCATCGAAATATAGGCACTGCTTTAGCTATTCGGATTATTTGATATGACACACTGACCCCTGAGCATGATGACTTTTAAACGAAGATATGTATAAATATTTGTGCTCTTTTACAGCATTGTTTTATGTTGCACTTCATTTTAAGATAGCTTCCTATTCGGATAGCACCGTATTCTATCTATTTTCAGGTACGCGAAATAATGCCTTTAATATTATGAATGCGCCACGTAAGTTTCTTCGTCGTACAGATGCAGGGAACAAGCTAATTTTCATAAGTAAAATATATGTAAGGAAAGGAATGCAGAATGCATCGGTCCAAGCATTGCCCCGAATTCTCTGGACATTTGTATAGGTATAATGTATATATAATGCATTTTCAGACACATGTGATGTATATTTGTTATTCTCCCCGT